AAGACGTCATTTTCAACCTGAAGGATATACCGTTACCAAATATTGTCCTGGCAGTAGCCCTAAGGTTTTTAAATGTTCATACTAATTATTTTTCTATTTGCACCGATCTGGGAAATTTAATGTATTTAAGTACAAAATTTGAACATATCTAATTATGATGATACAATTATCTAAACTTTGTTTGATATAACGATTTGCTTCTGTTTTCCATTCATCCTCTGCCTGCCCTGACACTTCGCTTTTCTTTGCGCCGTACAATCTGTATTTGCCGATTATACAGGACTTCCAGAGAGACCTAGTTGGGGTAATGCACACTTTGAAGAAAAGTACCCCAGTGGGTAGACGGTAGACCTCGGGGACCTCGGAGGCGATGAATGGGACAGTACGTGCCGAACCATTTCCCAGGAAGTCGGCCTTTCAAACGCCAGGAATTGAACAGGTTTTCGCTGAAAAACATTTCTTTAGATATATTTAAAAAAGCACGATTTCTATAGATAAATATATAAATAATTTGTTTATTTTGAGGACATTTAATTTAAAAAATGATAATATACTAAGAGGCAAAAACGTGGCCTTTTAGTACATACTTCAAATCGTTATAATTTTTATTTTGTGTAGTTTTCTGGTTATTTTTAAAGAAAATATAATATATAGCTAAATTTAAAAAATTAAAAAATTAACCCGAGTAATCAAATTTTACCAAAAAATTTGCTATGGAAACAACGAAGAAACTATTCAATTGAACACGAAGGATTTCCCCTTCTTGCGTTGATCATCGCTTGCATTCGACGTGGCATCGATTTTATGATGTTTTGCATGTAGTGCTGTATAATATTTTCAATTCTCTTCCAACAGCGCCATTCTTAATTCTTGCAAATTCTCTGGCATCACTGGGTGACTTTTTACCATCTTTGACAAATCGTCCCCTGTTCAATATGGTTTATGTTTTTTAACCATGGAAAGATATCATCTTGAACCAGAAGTTCACAATATTATTGTGAGAATGAGTCATCGAAGTCACCGGCAAGTGAATATCGCAGAGGCAGTTGGCGTTTCTCAGAGCATGGTCTCCTGGGATTTAGCCTGATTCTTAGAGAGTTGAAGTGCCAATGGGAGGCCTGGTAGTACCTACACCTGCCATGCGCATTCGAGGGACGCCATAGGCTTAGCCTAGGTGGTCCGATCCTTCGCTTCCCCAAGGGTACCACGCCGGTCATACGCACAACAACGCAAAGCATACTCGAGTCAGAGCAACCGATTCACTACCCGTTCCCGTTCCCTTACTCACGCATTCGAGGGACTATTCAGCATAATCATCGCGTCCTCAACGCTTATACGCTGTCGTCCGGTCCACCGTCTCCCGTGAGGCCGGGGGTAATAACGCTGGCCATACGCAAGCTTCACGAAGGTCACAAATAGAAGACAGCCTCTATTTAAGTTCCCGCCAGGGGCGTCACCACGTACCACCACGTAACCATTCCCAGTGTAACTAGGGCTGATTTTGGAACTTTTCAGTTACCCCGTGGTACAGATGGCCATACACCCTCCCCCGTCTATGCAGACGGATCTGGTGCACTGGCCCTCGTGTGACTCTACTAAGGCACCCGCCGCCCATGCCGACCCTAGGCCGACACGAGTACTGTGCTTTAGAGAGGTTGCCACGCCCTCTGGGCTACACCTTTATTTTGTGCCCGGATACCCCCCTTGCAACCAAGGGTTGGGAGGGGTCACAGAATAGAATGAAGGAACGCGGATTGAGAAAAGGGCCATGGATGAGCCTCGAGGTGAGCCGTTTCGGGGTCTCGAGCCTCAAACCACACTATACCACCCGTCGACGCCGTAGTTCCACACATAGTGGGCTACGATTCCCACGGTGAGAGAATATGGTGCAGCGATACGCTTTGAAGAGAGCACCAATCGGAATGCTGTTATGTTTACTGATGAGTCGCGTTTCTGTCTGCATAGTATAACATATAGAATGCCCCAATTCGTGTTCCCTTACGGTACATCTTGGAGGAGGCGGTGTAATGGTCTGGGACGAACTGGACTCTATATTGTTGAAGGTAGCCTCAACGCGGTCCGTTATGTCCACGAAATTATCTAGGAATACATCCCTCAACCCTCGTGGAAGGGAATTTCGATTTCTGAATAACAACGCCAGACCTCATTCCCCATTGCCTCCAGACCTCAATCGCATTGAGCACGTGTGAGATGCGTTGCAGAGAAGGCTTTTCAATCACCAACCGCAGCCAGTTGACCTGCAACAATTGAGTGCAGCGTTGCACATCTATGTAGTTTAATTCCATACGAAATTAGTGGCAGCCTTATTAACGGTATGCCTAACATGTGCACAGAAGTTCTAGCTAACAGGGGGCATTATATACTGCATTATTTTTTTTTTTTAATATGAAATTAAAACCTTTTATTTTATTTTTTTAAATTCCTTAATTAAATTTTCCTTCTGTAAAAACATAATAATTTCCAATAAATTTTAATACAACTTATAATAAAAATGGTAGGGCAAGTAGCTACAAAACTGGCAATATCCCTATTCATTTTTGAGCAGTTTAGGTCGAAAGCTTGGCAGTAACAACTGAATTTGCTTTTTTCATCAATAACTTACCTTGATGCAGTGTTAGTTGTCTCAGAACATTTTTTAGCAAGATATATGTACGATATGATCAGTATTGATATTTGTTTTGTAAACATAGCCAAAACAAAAAAAAATAATTGTTTACATTGTAGTGATTAATTCAAAATTAAGAGTTATATAACATCAGCTTTGGAAATTTATAGATTTCAAGAGTCGTGTAATCAATAGATTATCAAAAAAAAATTTTTTTCTTAATAATGTTTTCATTTATTGTTGATATTTAAAAATAAGAGATAATTATTTTTCTTATAAAGGAGTATCCAAAACCTATAGCGATTATTACGAGCTGTTCGTTATCTGTATGAGATTCAGAGAAAATGATACAATCTTATAAGGTAAAAATAAGTAGTTTTTACTTCTTTTTTTTTTTTCAGAGTAGAATTATTACGGTAAGTATATTATTCAACTTCTGCATTCTTTCAGACGGAAAAACTAGATCGAAAGGCGAGGAATTCACAATACTAGTTAGAATTTAGTATCGTCAAATTTGACAGAGGTAAAATGGAAAAAAAAGATTTCTGAGGAAATAGACGATCGGTCCTTGAAGAATTGTCTTACACATGCAAAGACCGACTCGTATTTGTTTTTTTAAAATTGCATAAGTTGTATATTCTCAGAGCGGCTCCCTGAACGTGGTTTGTAAATGCGCAAATGGTACCAAATGTCAAGAAGTACTTGCAACGCGGAAAACAATTCTATAGTCGAAGAAATTAATTGATTTGCAGTTGACACTTTTTGTTTTATATTGCTCATAAAATCTATAAGGGTCTGTGGGTTTGGCTCCCGCCCAAAATATTTTGGTATTGGCCCAAGACTAGCAATAAAAATGCAGTTGACTTCATGAGGGCGTTACCATTTAAATAAGTGAATGTGTTGATCTGATAAAGGTTTAGTAATATGTAAGTTTTGAATTTAAATAAAATGGAAAATAGGCTTTTAAAACATAAGTCGACATTGGTACTGTATTCAAAGGTTTCGCTTATTTTATGAAGAGAAAACTGTTTTAACTTTTGAAGGCAACTTTCCCTAGCCACCACAGGAGACAGTGCTACATATACTTGAACTTGTCATGAAGCAATTAATTGCAGCTTCGGCCGTCGGGATCTTTCTGTTGAAGTAAGGCCACTGCGTACATTTCGATAAAACCAGTTAGTTCGAAAAAGGAATAAACAGTCTACCGCATCTATTTTCCTTTGTTATTCCTCATTAGTATGACCGAGGATTCTGCGATTCACTTCAAAATTACATAACTGACAGATGATCTTAGTTACGTAACTCAGGTCGACGAAAAATAAATTTAAGCCTATCCTCACCCCCACCTTGCATGCGCCGACAAAAGTGGAACTCCGTCAAACTACCTTCATTTTAAATCGTAACATACTAGCATTAACAAGTAAACTTCTTATTCTGGGATAACATGTGCTTTAAGGTATGTGTACATGAATTCGAAGGCTATTTTGACACCCCTTAGTCAAATCTCATGTCTCCTGGTTTGTAAAGCCTTAAAGAAAAATAATTTACGCCAGTAACAAACTAACCGCTTTACTTAAAGAACGGCGCAATTTATATTAAAACATTGATAGGGGGACCGCGGTAGCCGAGTGGTTAGCATGAGAGACTCTCACGCCGCGGTCGTGGGTTCGATTCCCACCGTTGCCCCTGGCCCTTTTTTCCCAATAACCCCCCAAATTTGAACACACATATACGAATTGTCACATGGCTAATATGCATAGTTCATAACGCCAAAAAAAAAAAAAAAAAAAAAAAAAAAAAAAAAAAAAACATTGATAGCGAACGTAAGATAACAGTGTCTATTTTACTATAAAATTACAAAACACGCATCTCTAATAATAACCCACCATTTTTATTCACACTTCTTCAATAAATACGTTCTCTGTTATATGGAAGTTTTTGCGTTATGCTTTGTCCTTTTAAGTACCAAATGTCAACACAGATCTAGTTGTATCATTGTATGGATATGTTGATATGCTGATTTTTTAAATTATAAATCTCTTACCATCTTTAAAAATAAAACAATCATTTACAAACGGCATAGTAAATGAACAACATTAAAAACTATTTTTTTAATTTTATAAGTATCATACATCTCGAATCAACAACATAATTTTTTAATGTATACATACGTTTTCTTACACAATTTTTTTTCTTGAAACTTAGATTAAAATTATCAACAAAATTTATAACAAATACTCTTTCTTGTACAATGATTTTTGTTGAAATATTCACTTACACAATTTTATTTCTATATTTTTTACTATAACAATACGCTACGCTTGATTATGTTTTTTTGTAGTTTTTGATTTTTATTTTTTCTTCTAAAACAATTGACGTCATTGAGACTAATTTTCGAATCGTTGCGATTTGATTAAGCTATTTTTGTTCTGTTTACAACTGATTACGATCAGTTTTGACTCATTAAGATGGCCTAACATTGCATGAAAATCACTCTAGTTGTGAATACCAGCCGGGACTCGGAAACCTTTGAGGCGAGGATGGTTCGAGGGAGCAGTCAGTTTTTTTGTGCGCATCAAAGTGCTTCGCGTTGTATGTTTCACACCGTGTAAACGCATATGTGTCTCGAGTGTCAGAATAAACCAGGACTGCATTCGACTTATCCAACTGTACGACAGCTATCGATTTTTGTGGGATACTAAAGATAAAAGTCATCATAATAAGAACAAGATAAAGGCTGAATGGATGGAAATGTAATTTTCTTTGTTTTTTTCTTTTTATTCTTAACATAAAGTAACTCCATATCAAACCTTGATGCTCCAGTCGGTTTAGACACGAACGGCATGATTGCCTCGAGAAAACTGATGGCTCATCTTGTTTCGATTCTATGTTGTGTAATGTTACGCTTCCTGAAAATGTTTAAGCCGTTTTGCTAGTGATTATCACGTTTAGTGATTTTCGCGCAATGTTAACGCAGCTGTATTTTTGTGAGCCTCTCAAAAATTTTACAAAACGCAATAATTAGCGTACTTACTTGGCGTTTTTTATATTTGATTTTTGTATTTTGGGAAATTCCTCTTTGTTGATGAACCTTTAATTTGTTCGTATCCGACCATTCCAGTCAGTTTATCCTCGCTGTGTTAAAACCCGATAATTTTTAAGTTTATTTTAATTCCTTTTTTTATTAGATCATTTCACTATCAGATGATAACTAACGTTTAGCTATAAATAAAATCAGATAAACACGTGTAGAGCGAGAAATAATACGATAGACAAAAAGGGAGAGAGAGAGAGCGATAATCAAGCGGAGGGAGAGCAGTTTGTCTTAAAAAGAAGGAGAGAAAGATAACGAGAGAAAGAGAGAGAGTGAGAGAAGGCCATAGAACAAGAAAGAAAGAGAGAGAAAAATTAAGAGTGATAGAGGCAGAGAGAAAGTGCTGTTTCTGGAAAAAGGGAGAATAAAAGAGCAAGAGAAAACGCGAGTTTGAGAAAGTGAGAGAAAGAACTAGGGTGGAAGAGCAAATGAAATGGTGTGAGAGAGACCCAGAGGGATGATGGTGTGTGTTTGTTAGAGGGAAAGGAAGAAAGAAGGAAGGAAAGAGAGAGAGAGAGAGAGAGAGAGAGAGTGAGCTAAAATGATAGGAAGGCAGAGGAGGCTGGTGTTTGTTAGAAAGAGGAAGAGGGAGAGAGAATAATTTAATGAGAGAAAGAGAGAGAGAGAGAGAATTAATGCTATTACTTACTGTCGCAGAATTTGGTCAAGTACCGACCACTCAATGACATAGAGAGATAGTGAGAGAGAGAGAGAGAGAGAGAGAGAGAGAATGAATGAATGTTGTTTTTTTACTGTCGCAGAAGTTGATCAAGTACAGACCACTTAACGACATAGAGAAAAGAAAAGGAAAAAAAGAAAGCACTAACGCGAGAGAGCAAGGAGCAAGGGTAATAGGAACACAGAGGGAGAGTCGTACATGTTATAAAGAGGGAGAGATAGAGAGAAAGGTAGAAATAAATAGAGGGATATTGAGCAAGGGTGATAGGAAGGCAGATGCGGCTTGTGGCTTGTGTATGTTAGAAAGAAGAAAATAAAGAGAGCGAGAGAGAAAGAGAGAGAGTGTGAAAGAACGATAGAGAATGAGCAAGCAAGAGAGGTAGACAGCATGTGATAGAAAGAAGAAGTGCAGGTTAATTTATAAAAAGATAAAGAGAGACAAAGTAACAGAGAGAGGGAGTACAAAGGAAGAAAGAAAGAGCGTGTATTTGCAAGAATTATTTAATATTTGTAGAAAAATATCCATCATATTTTTATGGGTGATTCTATATCATAGGATTTCAAAAATAACTAAACTCAAATTTTCGTGTGACGTGTCGGAGATAAAGTTGTCAATTACAAGCAAAGCTCTATTTTTCCAATATTTCCAACATTTGTTCGTTCTATCGTACCTTCTCAATAGCATGTATTCTTTTCTTTTTTTTTCAAACAATTGATATGGATATCAATTTTGATCAATACTTTTCGCAATCTCAATTTATTTTTATGTTGTCAATGCTTGATAATTAAATGTTTATTTTTTGTAAAAACAGGATTGGCTCAGTGTTGAAAAGAACAATGTAACACTGCAATGGGAAAGTCAGACGCCAAAATGGATTTTTGGACTTGGCAAAATGTTCTACATCGTTGACCCCGAGTTGACAATGTACGCCAAACCAGATGACGTGCCACTTATGTTCAGGCAGGTGCGAATAAATTTCGCCAACCATCTTTTTTTTAATGTGCTAGCTTCTAGATTTAAACAGTAGCTGTAGAATATGGAAAAGATTTACGGACACTTTGAACAAAATAGATTTTAGTCAACAATGAATTATAGAGTTCTCAGTTTGGCGATGAAAAAGTTAATTAGAAAACCTTATAACATAGCAAGACTTATCTCTAGAGAAAAGGAGAGATTTCTACAATAGGTTTAACAAAGAAAAATTCAAAATTTAATCGTTGAATAACCGTTGAATAATAATTCTTAATCGGGGGAAATTAGAGTTCTTGGATGTGTGGAACGAAGCGAAATATATCGCATTTGGTCGAAACCCGATATGTATAAACTCCAGCGTAAAATCCAGGTTACCAGGATAGAGTTAACCAGCGGTCGGTTTTATTCAATTTTGACACGTAAGTCTAGGTAAAAAACTTAATAAGACCAATCAGAAATCGAAACTTCGGTCCACAAAGTCACTTCTTATGAGAACTTTTTTTTCAGTCATGGCCTTACTTTATAACATTTATCTTTTTGGAAAATTTGATCCTCTTCCTACAGAGGAAGCCTACCGCCAGAATCAATGACGGCATAACTTCTTTGGCCCACGGACTATTGCAAGAAGTCGGAAGGTAAGTTGAAAAATTTAAATTATACTTCCTATAAAAGCCGGTGGAAAAAAGCATAAACTGTGATGAAAATACATTTTTAAAATGCTTTACTGGCAAATAACGATTATTCATTTTTTCCACTTATTTTTAAAGAGTAAACAAATTAATATTTAACTTTAGAAGTGCCTTATTGGTTTTGTCATCAAACTTTTTCAAAAACAATACTGCATATTGTTTTCTTGTATTCTTATTCCCACTTGGTTTTCGAATTTTCCTGTTTATTGTTTGTTAGTAAGCAAGACTTATTGAAAATATTTTGCCATTCAGTACTCTACAAGATTGCTAAAAAAAACTTTTATGCATTTTTATACATAGAGCCAGTTTTATACAAAACATTCATCAGTCCAAAGTTAAGAATTTTGATTTTTTCACTTTGGCCAACAGGCGAATTTTTAAAAAAATACCGGAAAAGATCGACGTTAGACGCCGACGTCAAGGATATAAACAGGGAGAGTCTCCTCCATTACTGTGGACGGACCTTTGCTGAAGTACGTTGTCTTATTCCAGCCTAATAAATTGTTGTACATCCAGTCTGTCATTCAAAATTCCAATGGATAATTAAATCAATAATATAAATCATTTCCTTCTCTACCTTTTTGTTTCTAACTGGTGTTGATATGGTATGGTATGGTGGAAAAGGATACTAGGAAGCGGGGTTTGTATTCCCCAGGCACTGCAGCTTTCTGGCTTAATGTACCTTCCTAGTTTAGTTTAGTCAATAGACTCAATCCTTCTTCTTAGAAGTATCAGGTCATTGACTATTGCTGCTGCAATTTGATTCCCTAAGTGTTTTCCGTACGTTAGGTTAAACCTTCATTGAGCTGTTGCTTCGCATTCGAAGATGATATGGGTGGCTGTTTCCTCCTCCTCATTACATAATCTGCAAAGGGATTATCATTGAATATACCCATGTTATGTAGATGTTTTATCAGATGCCAGTGACCGGTTAGTAGTGACTCTGAGTTTGGCCCTCTCCAATTGCAGCAGTGTTTTTGCCAGTCTCGGTGAGGGTTGTTTTAGCATAAGTTTACTGTGTCTAGCGCCCCTAGAGTTTATCTGGATGTTACAACAATAATTGATCTGTAAATCAAGAACCAGTTGGATAACATTAAAAGTGCAAAATAACTTGATTATTTCACCAAAAGCAGACTACTTTTTCCGAACTTATCGTGGCAAATGATTTGTTTTTAAACGTGCCGTTAGCCGGTAATGGTTGCCGAGGTGACACAACTACAAGGTTATTAGCGGGAGAGGCAAAACTGAGTTAACGTTCCATGAAACAAACGTTAACCATGACTTTTTTCAAAGCTCCTCCACCCTTGTCCAATGTTTTCCATTGATGCAATTTGTCAAAAATGTATTCCAAATATGGAGCCTTGTTTGTTTTTATTGAAAACTGCCATTGACCGTTCTGAGCAACTAAATGAATCTGTAGACTTTCGTTTTCGAGAAAAAACTGATCCCAATGATCAACAGTTTTTAAACGCCGTAATTTAAAGCGAACGCGCTATTTATCTTATGCGGCAAACCCAAATGGCGTGATGTCAGGGTTATAAGCAGGGAGAGCCAAGTTTCTGAAACCCCATTCATCAAACATTTTGACAATAAAGCCGTCGTCAAAAACATTCTTTAATAAGTTGCTTAGTGCACAATAACTTGATAGTTTCACTAAAATCAAACCACGAGCTTTTTTGTTGATGGTGTTGGTCTGCGAGCCGATGAACACATGTTGAACTGGTACCGGCGTCACTGTCTGGGTCCGTCTCATTCCTCGCTGAAGGGGCACAAAGCCGACATGCATTTCTTCCAAATATGTTTTTTTTTTTTATTCTCTTCTAAGGTATTATAATTTTCAACGTGTCGTCTTTTAATCAAATGAATCATTGATTGGAATCAGTATGGCCAGATGGCGCTACGTCAGGGGTATAAGCAGGAAGAGGCAAGTTTCTTTGGCGAATTGTGCCAGTGTCAAACGTGATTTATGTACAACTTCCTTTATGAAACTCCATTCATCAAACAGTTTACGAAGTGTACAGTAGCCTGTAAATTTCACTACGATCGAACCATTTTTTCCCAACAAAAACTCGTCTCATGTTAATTTTTAAAGTTTCTTGAATTTTTAACGTGCCGGCCTTTCAAAAATGTTCGGTTGAGTGGTTAAAGCCTAACGCCAAGTGGCTTTAGTCCGATCTTTCAAAAAGGAGTACTTCATGATGTTTTCTTTGAGTGTTGTTGCTGCAAGTTCTAATAGTAAATAAATCCTGAAGACAAATATATATATATGAAAATGGTTCGTTGAAAACTTAACATGCCAGTTTAGTTTCTATGTTTTCAAAAATTACTTTTCTATTCAGATCAATTAATCGATGAAAACTTATTTCAAAGAAAAAACTCTCCACCTGAGGAATATTTCTGTAATGCATTTTGGGAAGAAGGCTTAATGAAAACTCCTGATTTGGTTGAATTAATTGATAAATGAATCGATTAATTATTGGCCTTGTCTTAAAAATAATTAAATAAAGATTTCAATCCTAAGTCTTTACGTTTGAATTAATACAATAATTGGCAAATTGGAAACTTTATATAATTCCTTTTTACTAAAGAAGGTAATATAAAGACATTGTTTTTTTGTTTTTTTTGTGATGGGTCGATTTTGAGGTTTATGTGATACTAATTAACTACCATATACTAAATATTATATTAATAACTTTCTCTTTAAGTGTCAAATAAGCTGTCTTTGTGAGGATTTTAGTCGAGAAAGTTCAGGATTATAAAATAACATGTAAAAGTTTAGTACGCAATACACAAATAAGGAAGTCGTTTGTATACAGGCTAATATCTTTCCCTAAAAGAGCTCTTAATAACGCCTAATTTATCTATTTACACTTTGACAATGAGTATGAAATTCAAATTAACAGGAAAAAAGCAATAAAAATTGTTTACATTATTTTTATGGTTTTGTTTTGCATTTCGAAAAAAGACAAAGATGTTCCGAATTCGGGACGATAAGGAGGTGATGAAATCGTTAATCTATTTATCTGTTTTTCTTTAAATTTTGGCACACGTTTGGCGTCTTGCCTGAGAATTTGTTTTAAAAATACTGCGCCTGTATTGATAATAGATTTTCAATTCACTTCAAATCCAATGACCTCAATAATAATCATATATGATAATACAGTAAATAAAACAGTTTCGGATCAATTATTGAGAGATATTAATGTCAGGCGAAATTAATGAACCTTGGCATTGGCCTAATTGTATAAACGCATCCTTGTGTCAACACAATCGACAAATGTGATTACACAGCGCATACATTTTCAAAACAATTTAAGGATAAATTTTCTTTTTTAACGGTCCCTGATAGGAAATGATTAGAAGCCGGCTGTCCCTTGATTGTTCCAGTCGATCGTGTTTGAACCAGAGTTTGATATAACTGGAAATGTTTTAAGATTTTCAGAAAAGAATTTCCCTGAGATCCTTGGGTATCGGTGATTTATTATCGCTCCCTTATTCAGCTCCTTATTCAAATCCAATACCAATCTTCCGAAAAATGAAAAGAAATCATAAAAGACACTTTCTTACCCAAGCTCTTTGAAAAAAGAATCTAAACAATGAGACGATATATATTATTTAATTTATGATGATTGAGGGTAATATTTGTTACTACTGCACCTTGCAACCATGAAAAATTCGTTATATTGCCTAAACCAATTAATGTTTCTCATAGGCTTGTATTTCGAGGAAGTGAAAGCGTGCTGTATATATGGATCTATGATAATTTGAGATTTTGCGACTTGCCTTGGAATTCCGTTTCCACTTGGTATCTCGCAGCAATCGGCGTCGACTTCTGCTATTATTGGGTGCACCGAGCAAGCCACGGTAAGAAAAAAAAGAAATAATTTTCCAAACTTTGTCTTAAACTTTCTTAATTCTTCAAGAGGTTCATATTTTATGGGCTCAGCACCAAGTGCATCACAGCTCGGAAGATTTCAACCTCACGGTAGGCTTGCGACAGTCTGTTGTTCAGAATTGGTGTGGCTTTGTAAGTAGGCGAGGTTGCATTTTTGATATTTTGTACGTTTGACCAGGAAGGATTTTTTTAGGTCTTCTACTTGCCTTTAGCTTTATTTATTCCACCGTCTATATTCCTCACGCACCAACAGTTCAACTTGCTTTACCAGTTTTGGATTCACACAGAGACCATAAAGACATTGGGGCCTTTGGAATGGTTGTTAAACACCCCAAAGCACCACAGAGTCCACCACGGTAGGTAAATTAATTACAGCTATAAATAAGGAAACCACTTTATTAAAAAAACACATTATTTTTAAAAGTTGGGACCAAATCATAACGGAAAATGTTGTAGGTAGCACTTTGCGTTGCTTGGATAAAAATTACGGCGGGACGCTCATCGTCTGGGACCGGATTTTTGGAACGTTCGCCGAGGAAAAAGAAAAAGAAGAAATGATTTACGGTCTTGTTTTGAATCAACCTTCTTATAATCCACTTTACCTTCAAGTATTCAAATAGAATTGACTCTTTAGCAAAATTTAATTAGAAAATAAACAAACTTTACAGTTTTAAATTTTGATCAATCCTTTGAATTGTAGGTGTTTTACAACGTGCACGTACTGAATAAGTGGAAAGCAATGGACGGTTGGGCGAACAAAATATCAGCGATAGTCAAAGGGCCTAGTTGGCTGCCAGGAAAACCGTGGACAGGAGCCGAAGAAGATAAAATAAACGTGTGTATACATTTCTAAGAACAAAAATTTCCCCAAAAGCTAGAACGTCAACACCTAATAAAATTGCACTTACCGACAGTAATAGACTTTAGAGATGTAAGAGGCAGGGAGAAGGAAAGTGCACTTACAGAAGGGAAAGAAAGACTATAATCATGTCAAAAATACTAGCAAGGAAAAGCAAAAGTTCCTCCCATTTTTAATTCTCTTGTGTCAAACCCTAAATTGAGTACAGTAAGGTGGTCTAGTTACAGCATTGTTTTATTTTTGAACAAATTCTGTATTTCCATATACTATCTGGTCGTTTGTTCTGTATGTTGGTAAAGGTGTTTTGTGTATGTCCACTACGGCTTAACCAGATCTGATGGACCCTGTCCACACCTTGGAATTTTACACCTATTGAAAATGGACATACCGAAGATAGCAGACTGTAGTGATACCGGAGTTGTAAGCAGGGAGGAGCAAAATTTCCTGCCATTGTCTAATTTTCTTGTGACGAACGCGATGGATGTGAACTAAGATTGTCTCGTTACAGCATTGTTTTATTCATGTTGATCTAATTCTGCTTTCCTATATGCTCTATCGAGTCGATTGAGGTGTCTTTGTCACTAGGACAACCTATCTGATGGACCCTTCACGAACCTATCTAGGTTCGTTTGTTCTGTATGTTTGTAAACGTGTTTTGTGTTTGTGTGTATGTCCACTACGGCTTAACCAGATTTATCTGATGGATCCTGTCCACACCTTGGAATTTAACACCTAATGAAAATGCGCACACCAAAGGTAATAGGCTTTAGTGACGTCTGGTATACAAGCAGGGAGAACTTAAGTCACCTGCCATTTTATCTATGCCGTTTTATTGTGTCAAACGCGAAGGATGTAAATAGATTATCTCGTTAGTACGTTGATTTACTATTGAACAAATTATCCATTCTTATTTGTTTATCGAGGCTTTTATTCTGTGTGTATGCATGTATAAGTGACCACTACGACGGGGCCAGGTAGATCCCACTATGTCCAAAGTTTAGAATTTAACACCTAATAAAATGCGCATACCAAAGGTGTCACATTACTGACGTCAGGTATAAGCAGAGAAAGGCAAAATGACCTTCCATTTTATCTACTTTTTTTCCAAACGTAAAGGATGTAAAATAGGGTTCCTATACAGGATTGTTTCGTTCGTGGTGATCCAGTTCTGCTTCTCCATATACTTTACTACTTAATGACCTTGAATTTACAAGATCTATCTGACGCACTCTACATTCTGTCCATTTGGTAATTACTGAGGTAAGAGACCATAGTGATGCCTAGCATATAAGCAAGGAAAAGCCAACACCTCTCAATTTTTTAAATTTCGTGCATCAAACGTGAAAGATCTACTTGACTGGCTTGTGTCGTTACAACCTCGTTACCTCGGAAAGTGCAAGGTTCAAAGTTCTCCTTGATCCATATGTGTATTTAGTAGTCATAATTGATCTATCCCCCGGACACAGGCAGTCGAAAGAGTTTGTTAAGGTGATCAAACCAGCACAATCGAAATGGCTATTCTCTAACTCAAGGAAGGGAATTAGGAAGCTGATAGGTATCCTGACGGGTCACTGCCCACTGAGAAGACACCTCTCCGTAGTGGGTATTCTACCAGGTCCCTTTTGCCGTTTTTGCGAAATAAAAGAAGATACGGCAAGGCACTACCTCGAAGAGTGTGAAAGGTATGCTAGGTGTAGATTTGAAATTTTTGAAGGAGAGGACATCACCAAATCACTCCCCGAGATTAAATGGTACAAAATCTTGGGGTTTGTGAACAGGTCCAAGAGGTTTATGCAGGACACGTGAGCCGACCAAGCCCCGGACCTTTTAGGGATGTGGTACGAGTCTACCCAGGCATTTAACCCCTCGGGGTCTTGGTCGCACACCCTTTATAATATATACAGTCATATTTGACCTATTAATTATTTTAATTAATTGTACCTTTTATCTTAGGTATTTGATGAGATAAAAAAAGGTATTGTCACGAGCGTTCTCCTTGAACTTGAGCAATTTGTTATTAGCTGATAATTTATGTTAGGCTAGTTGTTGATAGTTCAAAGTTGTCCCGTTGGTCTACTGCTCGTTTAAATCGTATTGTGACGTCTTCTTTTCCAACTGTATCCATTTTTATAATATTAGCAATGACCAGAGCAAAGGGCTCAACTCTTGCTTACCTAGCAAGAGGTCGACTTATGTCTTTTTGTCTTTATTGTTTTAAACTTTTACTTTTAGTTAAGAAGTGAAATTTTAGCCCATTGTGAAATTCTCTTTTTATCTACTTGCTAATATTCAGTATAAGGAGCACTATGTTTTAATATGTGTGTACGTTTGGCAAGTCAGCTAGTTCATTTCCTTCAGTCTCTCTTGTCCTGTGCCTTAATAAAGGTCATCCTTTTTGTTTTCCTTAAATATTTGAAAGCTCGTAGGCAGTCTGAAAACATATTGAAGCTAAGAAAGAATCTAGTATTCCTTGAGTAATTCAATATAGTTTTTACCCTGTTTCCACTCTATGTTCCATTTTGAAACCATAGGTCTATTATGTTTCCATTTTAAATTCTAGACCCATTTAGTTTCATTAGATATCGAAAATAGCACGAAAGAGGTTTTCATTTAGTTTAGCAGATCCCTTTGAAGTCTGAAGAATTGAAGGATGTGGGTGTGAAAAGGAGGTCCATCTGGATCAAGCTTGATTTGGAAGAGACAAATAAAATCTGTCAAACCTCTGGTATTAACGCTAATCCAGTTTGTTTTATGGTTTCACAATACCTTATCATTTTTTAAAACATCACGAACATCCTTTGGCAAATCGTTTAGAAATCTATCGGCCACCAAGTTTTACAAGTTGAATAACTGCGGATATTATCTTTCACAGGTACAAAGTAGGAAAAAATACGATGTAAGACTACCTACATGGTGTAACATTTACTTAGTGTTACATTTCATTGTGATCGTCATCAGCTTTCAAGATCTTGCAGAGAGACACGTTGTAAGTTTTATTCATTTATTAGTTGTTATTAGTAGTTAAGATGATTATTCATTATAAAAACTTTTATGTGAATTTTAGGCGATGAGCACAGTTTCATTCTGGGTTTTCGTTACGTACATAGTCGTTTCACTCACTGTGATTGGAATGATGTTCGATAACGGTCCGAACGTGTTCGTCCTGGAGATGTTGAGATGCGCTGTACTTTCGTCCATGATCCAGAGGAACGCGTTGTACATCAATGTTCCGTTTCTCAAATGGTTTTTTCTGTGTTCCGTCCTATTCTGGATAATCCACTGCCTCAAAGTATTACAGGCGAAATTAAAGACGAAACCATTTCGAGATTAAAGCGTGGAAATATGACAATTTAAAACTAAACTAGTGAATTTGTGAAATATTTCCATTTTATCGTCGTTTCTTTTAAAAATGTATATATGCGCTTTTTCTTTCTGAAAATTATTTAATAGGTATAGGTTTTTTATTATAAAGATTATTTTCTTAAGAATAACACTTGTTTTATTTTTGTATTTCATTTTTCTTTTTGGTAAATAAATATACAAAAACACACATGGTTGCCTTATCAATGAGTCTTTCAGTTTGAACTTATCTTAATTCGACATACATATTACGAGGCCATTCCCAAGTGATGATAGCACTTGAAGAAAAATAAAAATTTTAGAAAATACATGGTTTTGTAAAAGCAATAACTAAGAATGCAAATATTAAAAACAAATCCCTAAATGTAAATAACAATAATGATATATTTTGTCATTATTGCAAAACTACTTAGTTTGTATTTTTTTTATAATAATTAAACTTTGATATAAACCGAAATTATAAAAATATTAACCTATCTATCCTTGGGCTTGCACAGAATTTTGGAGACATCTGTGCACGGTATAATTTGTATTTGATCTTCTCCTGATTTATTCTCCTCGTTTGAAATCTGTTAAAAAATCTATGTGATCTAGCAAAGGATGTTTCAAAGATCATATTATAATTAGTACCCATTTCTAAGAATGTATGATTTTACCTTATGGTCCTAGTGACTACTGTACGAAAAGAAACTAGAATATTAATTTTAAAAATATCAATCGTGATAATTCCTGCTACGGTCTGCACGGTGATGAACCTGTCGTTAATCCGTTACCGATTATTTTGGCAATTCGCTATTTTCGGCAGTGGTAGTAGGGATATAAGCAGGTCGAGGCATGGCTTTCATTTACTTGAATTTGATGTCTTTTATTAAAGATGAAACATGACACAACAGTGACGATGGCGAAATACCATAGACTGACCAACCTAGCGAGGACAGGTAGACCAAAATGAACGGTAACGTCCAAATTAAAAAATAACTTACAGACAAAAGAGAGTTTGTAGTTGAAATAAAACTGACTCCTTTTCTCTCTAAATTTACAAAGCAATTTCTCTACGTTCTTCATCGCAATGAAAGCAACTAGTTGAAAAATTCAACGTACCGCTATAACATTTATTTGGTGGGTTTTCAAATTGTGAGGTATGCGACTGTTTACAAACGTTGGAAAAAATAGTAAGGATTCTATTTTCAATACGTTACTTGAAACCGTAAACTATCAAATAATGCCATAGCCTTCTAAGGTATAGGTTTCACCTAACATGAAAAGCACTCGGAGTATCTGTACAAAGCGCAGAAACAAAAAATTTAAAATTGGCATTTGACATCACTTAGCGGTATAATTCTTCTTCCGGTTCTCGGTTACATAGATCTGTCTCAACATCCTTGACATAGTGTATCAATATATCGATGAAATGTTACCAAATGTTCGATGGACATAAGTCTGACGACTATTTTGTTATACCCTTATTCAAATAGTTTATAACTCTAATACCTTCCTAATAAAATGGATGTGCATCATTCTGCTCTTCGCTATTTTCTGAATATATATTTTTAATAAATGATTTATTTTTCACCTGTACATGCCTAAATACATATGACACAAAGGTGCGTATTTGTTTTGCTCGGAGTCAAAACACTGATTACGGTAAACACGGCATCTGAATGGACTGATGGAGCGAAAGCTTAGTGTGGTACCCATAGTTTCATCCTGTTTGTCCAAAGTGGTTGCAGTAACATCTTGAATAAAGTTTGTTGAGAATTTAGGGTCAAAACAGATTTCGGACCAAAAATTCTTATAAGTCGACTCATGAGCCTGGGAACTCCACATCGGTCTATTATCTAGGTAAAGTCCTAAGTATTTGACTTTAGTGGAAGTCGATAGCTCCTTATTGTTGATGTAATGTGGAGGGCAATTCTGCCTTTTGGCTCAGTGATCATGATAAACAAGATTTTGGGGAACTCTATTTTATTCACGGGAAGCAACGACAAAAAACGAACGAGGTGAGTCACTCTTACACGTTTTGGTGAAGGAAAAGTTAGAAATTCTTAACATAGAGTCATTCCATGCCTTTGTCACCAAAACGAGTCCAAAAGTATTGGATATTACCATTTGGCATCACATCCTACAAGTAGAGTTGCTGCAGTAGTCAGCCAGTTTCTGCAATTTTTCTGGGGGTGTTGCCAATGCTAGGAAACAATGGTAGACTGAAGGAGCAAGGTCAGGGCTAAAGATTAACGCCCATCACATGGATTGGAATTAGTTGTTTGCACACTTCTCTTCGTCCTCCTTCCACTTTGCCCAATTTGTGTAAGAGATCTTTAGCGTCTAAGGAAGTCTCTAGAATCTAGATAGTGAAGGAAAAGTTAGAAATTGTTAACATAGAGTCAATCCATGCCTTTGTCACCAAAACGAGTCCAAAAGTATTGGATATTACCATTTGGTATCACCCTACAAGTAGGGTTGCTGCAGTAGTCAGCCAGTCTCTGCAGTTTTTCTGGGGGTGTTGCCAATGCTAGGAAGCGGTGGAAGTCTGAAGTAGCAAGATCAGGATTACAGATTGGCTTCCTCCTCTTGGATTTGAAGTTGTTTTTATAGTGCTTTCAGGTTTTGTGAAACTTCTCATCCCATTTTCACTTTCCCTAACTTGTGTAGCCTTTAAGAAAGTCAATGCTAGGATGCAGTGATAGTTTGAAGGAGCAAAATCAGGACTAAAGATTGACGTCCACCATTTGGATTTGGGAAGGGTAGCCAGCAGGTTTGCAATCAACGTTCTGGTTCTGTGTTTCCTTTTTACCATTTGCTTAACAATTTTTGTTTTTTTTTTTTTTTTTTTTTTTTTTTTTTTTTAGGGAAGTCTTCATTTGTTCTTCTATTTGTCAATCATCTATTGCAGGACACATTGTGCCTTTTTTCTTCACCGCTTTACAAAATGTTTATTCTTTCGAGTTATATTTTGAAAGAAAAGATATTTTATTTTTTCTGCATTAACTAGACGTCATGCGATGACTTAAAAGTTCGAGGCGCTTCGCCGGTATGCAGTTGATGGCGGCCTCAGTCTTCCATACAGTGTAACCTCCCAATGATCGTAGTGTAACGTGTAAACGTAACATTCGTCGAATCTACCGGCCGCAAAGTATTGATACTTTTGATCTCGTACCAGAAACAGTTTTAGCCTGATATTTATGACGTTGCCACAGTCATGCAGAAAGGATTTTATTTTCTATTCGTAAGTGTCATAAAATTTAAATGTATTCGGTCTTATTTCAACATTGACGCGAACTTAGCATTGACATGTTATTTACACAGTAGTTAACACGTCCCCAACCAAAGAAACTTGTTTTAAAAAACATTTCAATATATTTTCGTTTTAATTCTCTTCAAAATTAAAACAGGTTTTGTTCTTAAGAAAAGAAAAAAATTAAAATATGCTTATGAAATCATGGGTAATGATTAAAAAATGAGTTCGTTTTATTGCAATTGTATTTATGACACAACTAAAAGGACATTACATTTTGTCTAAATATATATTTTTGTATTTTCTTGTAAGTAAATTAAATATATAAATGAAAGAAGTTCAATAGCCTTTGTTTTATTGATTTAAGAGTCATTTTGTGAACATCACAGCTAATTAATTGGCGACACCTGTGCATTACCTCCATATTGATTCCACATTTCAAGACCAATTAAAAAAATACATGAAAACAATTATTACTGATTAATATAAGTAGTACGTGTACAGAGTTGAGACTTCTCGCAGTCATCGGCAATTCCAGCTTTTGTAATTTATAATAAATTAACAGTAGGTGTCGTGAATCACCCACCCTGGGTGATGGCAGTCTGGGGTCAGCCCTCGTTCTTATCTGTCCAGCCGCTGAGTTGGGCTCCGGGGGTGGTCAATTTCAGCCCTCAAGTCAATTCCTAAATCCATTCATATTCTCCTCACTTGCCCTTGAATACTTGTTTACTTATTCATATACAATTCACTCAAGGTAGTGGAGTACTCGATATTCCTCCATCACCCTTTACACATATATAACTCACCTAATTAAGAGTCGATGGGGTACTCAATATGCCATCTGCCCTCTCACTCTACACATTCACGCCAATAAATAAATTCGCGTCAACACACACTGGTGACAAAAAATTATCGTTCAATAAAACAACCTGGTTCCAAGGATTGGAACAGGAGACCCCAAATACTTGCTCAATTCTCATGTCAGGTAGCATTCCTACATGCTCTCTATATAGAGCCATGGAGTTGCATCCTTCAATTAGGTGGGTCACATCGAGCAACCTTTCTCTACACGCTGGACACATACATGGGCTTTGGCCCAATAGTAAGTCAACCCCTCACGTGGGTTTATGTACATATAATCATAATTATATGGATCAGTGACAAATATATATCATCAGGCCTTACAAATTAATTTATAATATAATAATAAATATAAAATTCATTTAAATTTAATTAATGGATTGGAATGTAAACATCATACAAAAATGATGAACCAGTTCCAATGTTGGAAAAAAAATGTTTGCCAAAAGTGATTAACATCATTGTCTGGAGGTTGTGAGGTGTTAGGGAGTGATCTTGTTGCCTATTGGGTGGTATGACCTCTAAGATTCTTGGTTCACTATGTAGACGGTACAAGCACATCGAAAAAGTTAAATATGATGATCCTGGGACAAATGCCACTGCTGGGGCCCTGGTTCCTGTTGATCAGGGTTTCCTTGGGCTTTCATCCGATTGCTTTTCAACATCCCAAACTCTTTTTTTTAATAGAATTCAGCTGAGATTCCTACTCCTGGGGGAGGAATAGCGAATGTCTGAAGAATGCACAGGTGCCCTTAACAAAGATTCAGGATCTGGTAGAAAGCTTTAAGATTAACAAAGAGCTCTAGTCAATGGTGGAGAGTGCACAATATTGGTTGTAGTATGCAAGATCATAAAGAAGCTGAATCCTTTTTACTGTAATCCATATTACATTGGGATTCTCAAATCTCTGACAACATTTTGTTCAAAATATTGCCTTAAACATTTTAAATAAAATTAATACTGTAAATTAACTATTTGTGTTTATTGCATAATTTTTTTTTTTCAGATTTTGGTTACTTTTCTTGTGAGGGTTGAATCCAAGCAGAACACAAAGGCAAATGCCGTGGAAGAAGTTACAGATGTTAAAGATTTCAAAAAAATTCTAAGGACTAAAAACAATGTTTTAGTCTTATTTTACAGTTCTCAGAAATCAGCTTCAAATATGCTCAAAACGTTCAAAGAGGCTGCTGAAATTGTCCGTGGGCAAGGAACCATGTTATTGGTCGATTGTTCCGGGTATGTTACAATGCTATAGTGCAATAATATTTTTATTTAATAGTGTAGGTGTTTGTAAATGAAGCCAATTCAGAAAGTTCAGCCTTTTTATTTCATTTTGTGCAATGGCTGTGCTTTGTTGCTGCTTGTTTGCATTACATGCTTTTTTTTTCAGTTATTGTATAATTAATTTAACACAAATATGAGAGAACATACTATAAAACAGAATTTTAAAAAAAGACTAAACTTCTAAGTTGGCTTAATTCATTAAAACCTCCCCATAAAGGTAGGACGCTACCGATACAACAGAAAAAAACTTAGTCCTGACTTTCATATTTATATCTATGTGTGAAATTACAGTTTTTATTTATGGTAGAATTTGTTTTGGCATGATCAACTCCAGTCACAATGATTTGCTTATTCTTGTCCGTCTGACTTTAGCATTTTGCCATATTTACTAGTTGGTTAAATGCAAAACAAACTGAGTGGAAAATATTGTTGATAAAGGCCAAATACTTTCACAAATAAAATCATCAATCATCTACAATAGGCAGGATAATTAATGTTAATTTCCACCAAATGTGACAATCTCACCACAAGATTTCAAAATTTTCAGTATTTTCCTTCCAGTTGTTTGCATTTTATTCAATTACAATTAATTAAGGTTTTTAGTTGAGATGAAAAAGAGCCAATGGCACGAGCGGGATTCGAACCCACGATCTTCGGCTTGATACGCCGCTGCTCTATCACTTGAGCTATCATGACCTCGATCCACTCAGGCATCAACTTCCTATCTCAACCGCACCTTATGAGTTTTCACTCCTTTTTGCCATTTTTCAATCGGTTCGAATCCCGCTCGTGCCATTGGCTGTTTTTCATCTCAACTAAAAACTTTAATTAATTGTAATGTATTACCAACCACCATGTAGCGGACCACGAAATTAGTGAATTTTATTCAATAATCAATTTGAGCTAATTATCACCAATTCAAAAAAATGACCATATATCACCACTTTTTTATAGCCGAATATTGATTTGTACGTGAATAACTCTGTTTTTTATTATTTTTAGTGATAAAGATAAAAAGCTCTGTAAGAAATTAAAAGTCAATCCTGACCCATATGTATTAAGACATTATAAAGATGGCGAATTTCATAAAGTTTATGACAGAAAAGAAACTGTCAATAGCATAGTCAATTTTATGAGAGACCCAACTGGAGACCTACCATGGGAAGAAGAGTCTTCAGGTGTTGATGTTCATCACATACCAGATTATCAGGTGAAATAATTATATAATTCTTATAATAAATTAGGTGAAATAATTTTCAATTAAAAATTTTTTTTTTATTGTTTTCATGAATTTGTTTTCATTTAGGCTTTAGTTAGACTATTGAAGAAAGAGATGGGACCTGTAATGATAATGTTCTATGCCCCTTGGTGTGGTTTTTGTAAACAATTAAAGCCGGAATACAGTGCCGCTGCTACTTCACTTAAAGGAAAGGCTGTTATGGCAGCAATAGATGTCAACAGGCCTAAAAATGCGATGGTCAGAATGAAGTTCAACATAACAGGATTTCCGACTCTGTTATACTTTGAGTACGTTTAAAAAATCGTCTATTAAGAAATTTCTTTGTTTTATTTTATCATTCACTCACTAAACAGGAAGGGTGAGCTGAAAATGACATACGAGGGCGAAAACAAGAAAGACGATTTAATAAATTTCATGAACAATCCCACCGCTCCTCCTGTAAAGCCTAAAGAAGAAGAGTGGTCGGAGAGTGATAATGACGTCATTCATTTAACGAGTGAAACATTTAAACAATTCGTTGAAGTAAGTAGGATTATTTTAATTTTTGTATTTTTATTAGCTTTTCTTATTCTTATTAACAAAAAAATTTGTTATATTATTCAGGAAAGTGCTTCGATATTGGTAATGTTTTATGCACCATGGTGCGGCCATTGTAAGAAGATGAAACCAGAATATGAAAAGGCAGCAAAAACACTTAAGGATAGCAATGTAAGTAGAATATGCAGTACAAAAAAATAAAATAAAAAATCTTTTTTGTTATATAAGTCTGTTTTAATTTTTTAATAAAAAAAAGGTTGACTATTTAAAAGTTTAAATTTTTTTATGTTTAAATGTTCTAGTCTGATGGATTATTGGCTGCAGTGGATGCAACTAAAGAAAAAGATTTGGCCAAACAATACAACGTCAAGGGCTACCCGACAGTTAAATATTTTAAAAACGGCGAATTCCTTTGGGATCTTCCTTCTCTAAGGGAAGCCAGTAAAATAGTAAGTTTCATGAAGGATCCAAAAGAGCCTCCGTCTCCACCTCCGCCACAGCCCGATTGGGAAGAAGAAGAATCAGAAGTTTTATTTTTAAATGTCGAAAACTTTAAGCAAACTTTAAAGAAAAAGAGGCACGTGTTGGTCATGTTTTATGCTCCTTGTAAGATCCCATTGATTTTCAACTATATATTTAAAGAATTTTACTATATTTGATCTTTTATATTTAGGGTGCGGTCACTGCAAAAAAGCCAAACCTGAATTTAGCGCTGCAGCCGAAGAACTTAAAGATAACATGAAAGTTTCATTTGCAGCGTTAGATTGCACTAAACATCAAGCTGTTTGTTCTACAATGGAAGTTAAAGGCTATCCTACATTCAAATATTTCAATTACTACGATAAAAATAAACAAGAATATTCTGGTGGAAGATTGGTATAAAAAATGCATGTCTTCACAAACTCATGATTGAAATTTGATTGTTTTCGTTTTTTTATTTTTATTTAGAAAAATGATTTTATTGCATTTATGAAAAAAATGGAAAACGGTGATCAACCACCTGTCGTTAAAGAAGAAAAACAGAAAAGTTATTGGGATGGATTTCTCGCAGCTGAAAAAATCGTTGACGTTTGTGATCCTGCATACAAGAATATAGTTCAAAATGCCCAGACGTTATTAGTACTTGTTCATGACGGTAAATATATACAAAATATAAACACTTAGGTTTGTAATTTACAAAATATTTTAACAATCCAGTTAACATGTTGACTGGCAAGTCTCTCATGCCTAAAAACCATGCTCTGGATGCATTTTCATTTTTTAAATTATTCTAATACAACTAAATTTGTATTATTCATTGTATTTTACTTCCAAACATTAGAATTATTTACACACCTGAGATGATAACTGAAGAAGTAAAGTTTAAATAAATATTTATTATTTTAGGTTATTTTCAAAGAGAAAAATACAATACAATGGAATAAAATTTATTTTAGTTTATGTATATTTTATGACAGCAAGCAACAATTTTATCACGAAACCTTGGAAATGGTTATAATTTCTAGATTGAATTTGTTGTTAAGGGTACGATACAGCTAACCATTATTCACTCTTTCTTTTTCTTCTTCCCCATGAAACCCATTATAAAACCAGAGTTATTATACACATATTAGACTACTACATGCATTTTGAAGCATTCTCCAACATCCTCTCAGTAACATTTAATCTCAATAGACTAGACTGTCAGGCTTACCTAGCTGGAGGGTGCTATGAAATGTATTTTATTAAAAATCATGTAGATATATTAACTTTGAAAAAGCGTAATAATACCACCCAAACAACACAATACACTTGCTATCGTTTAATGAGAAAAAAATGAGAGAAACATTAGAACATGTTTAAGGGGTTCTAACTCAGTGCTGACATGTGTGACTACTCTGCAGTTATCATTTGACTGCAAAATGAGATTGTCTAAATGTAAACTTTGTTTTGTTTGTAATTTTTAGGAACGAATGCAGATGTTAAGCTGAAAGAGTCTTTTGTTGCCCTAGCGACTGAATATCCTAGTCTAGCAACTTATGGATCCTGCGATGCTAGGAGTAACAAACAATTTGTCATTGAGAATAAGATTCACTCTTTCCCATCATTGAAACTCTTCAATAAAGGAAAAGTTAAAGACTTTCCCAAATCATATGAAAAAAGTGATATGGTGAAATTTCTCAAGAAATTTTCCCCTAAAGAAGAGTTATAATAACAGATGTATGATATAGGACGGAAAATGTTAAATTTCTTAATATGCGACTTTTATCAAATGAGTGCTACTAAATGTATTTTTTAAGCTGGATTTCACATCAAGTTTCACCAAGACTGGACTTTTTTTATATGTTTTAATGAAATTATCGCAAGGAGGGAACTCAGATATCTATAGTTGTAATTATTGTGATATTAGAAACAATCAATTATTTCCTTTTACTTAAAGTTATTAAACATTGGCTTCCAAACATAACGTCGATGTCTTGAATTTTTTCTCATAAGATAATAGAGAATAAATGGTTGTCTGCCTTTTATAATCAGCATTGTTCCAGCGACTTGTTACATTATTTTTATTTTGCGCCGTACCAGGAATCAGTGCATTATATTGAATGCAATTGTGCATTATAGTGTTTAATTTGTATAGCAATTCAAATGGGGTGAGCTTTGTAGGATTATATAGGAAAATAATCTGTATATATATTTTTTTTTTTGTAATTAATCAGTATTGTGAATGTCAATAAAAATGAAAACTTTAATGAGGAATGTTGACGAAAAACATACATATATCAATAAAATATATAATTTTTTAACCATTTCTGCACGTTATTATTATTTCCATAATTAATAAAAATAATAAGTATGCTTCTTTTTATAAAATTAAAATAAAATATGTCTGGGTTTAATTCATGATATAATTTTGCAGATTTTAGATTGTATGCTATTTGCATTTTTCTAGATGAAAATGTTAAAAAAATCTTAACACAACTTAAATCATCGTTGTATCTGCTTCTTGTAGAATTGTATTTACATGAATTATATACACTGTAATAGTGTTTTGGTTGTTTTTACATGTATATTTGTTATAATTTAAATTTGTATTTAAGTTACTATCAAGTGCCTTGTTAAAGAAAGTTTACATCACTAATAAATAAGTTTATATTACTGACTGGATTTTTTTTAAACATTAATTCCCCATCTGGACTTCACACTTAAAAATCTTGGAAAAACCGGATAGCTATTTATTACAGACACACTGCAATAGCTAGGAAACTATGAAATGACTATTTACATAGGAAAGCCTTTCCTGAGTAAGAACCTCGATATCATACGCCTGAGAAACTTCTGTACCTCATTAAAAAAACAAAAAGTTTTCAGAAAGCTGTTTACCAAATATCAGACACAAGACGAAAGTTTAAGTACAAAAACACACATGGAGGTAACACAGGAATCAAAGAAGGTAGACTGTTTTGGAAACCAACAAAATGTGCACTCTATGATAATTATATAAAAATCAAACCAATCATTATAAGTTAATTATGTAGAAATACAACAAGGTAAAAGCTTTATATTGCATTGTTTATATCAAGTAATATAAATAAAATAAATTTAAGTTTAACCCCTTACAGAGCCATTCAATTACGGGATAACTGAGACAGAAACCTGCAAATTATGGCATGAAAAAGCACAACCATCAGAATATGTTCTATATGACTTCAACACATTGGTCTGGAAATGGTCCTCTTCTGAAAGGCGATACTAATGCCTAGGGATATTAGCGAAGAGGTACTCTTAAGGTAATTAAGTGGTATGGAAATAAAAAGACAATTCTGAAACAAATCTTTAGGTCACAGGAGAAGAAATGGAGACTATTTCATGGCCATGGAAAAGAAAAAAGACCATATTTTTAAGGTAAATAGAAAAATAATGTTACTATCCTTCGAATTTAAATAGTATTTGATCTTAAATTTTTCTATCTGCTCAGAGAGGAATTGATTCTTCCAAGATAGTCAGTTCATGCAAAGGTGGGTTTTAGTTTAATTCCTATCTTAAGTAATCAACTGACAATATTGCTAAGTTTTACCTTATTATAATTTCTTACTGATGTCAGTTAGCAATCAATCAGCATTGCTATGTAGTTATATTTAAAATGTGCCGATCACGGTACAGGATGATCATGGGGCTCAACACCCCCACACTTCGGAATGTTTCATAAACATTAATTTAATGTATGAACTAAAAAGAATTTTAAGATTGAAAAACTGCACTTAAAAATAATAATAATAATAAAACTGTCTTCTAATTTTTATTATTGTTATTTGTATATTACATTTTATTAGGTTTCATGGTCCGCTTGACCAAATAAATTCTTTTCAATTAATTAAGGTTTTGGTTAAGATAAAATATATTACCTTACATAATATTATATATATATAATATATTACTTTAATGCCTCCATTATATTTTAGTACATATATATTTTTTTTAATTACCATACATAAACTAAATAAACACGTCTGCCGAACCTTTCATTAAAAAAACATTACGAAGCTAAGTGAATTGATATAAGACAACATACAGCATATTTTACAGATCAAGTCATATACATCCTTTATTCCTTTTTTGCACTGGAGTTAATATGTCAGAGGAAACTAATAAAATGGATAGGAATATAAAAAATTATTTTCAACATTATTTTCGTTACACATTTTATTAGACATACATAGTTCAATTTTATAGCTGTAATAAGCCCGAGGTGTACTTACAGTTTCAAATATAATTGTAATCATAGATGTAATAATGAATTTAGTGATTATTTGGAGATTGTGAGATGGTGTGACGTAGCTTTTAGAAAAAGATTTTCTTTATCGTGCTAACGTTTCCAACTTTATTGAGATCATCGTCAGGGCTCAGTGTTTGTTTTCCGTGTAGATGTGTCAAACTTATATATTGATATATTGAATATCTCACTGGCACTCTCAACATGACACCCAAGAATGACACATCTACACGGAAAACAAACATTTTGATCCCCTGAAGATGATCTCAATAAAGATCGAAACATTGGCACGGTAAAGAAAATGTTTTTCTAAAACCAACGTCACACCAGACCACATCTCACGATCTCCAAATAATCATTAACTAATGGTCATTAAACACAACATAAATAAATTTAGTTTTATTTTAATATTTTGACTATGTTACGTGATGTTAAGCATATTTTGGAAACTATTATTGTTCACTCTGGCTTCATAAAACAATTATTTAATCACCACTTGACTACCAATTGACAATTGCATAAGAAGAAAAAAGCATCTTCAGGCCGAGCAGACAGAAGACAATTTCTGTAAAAAGAACTAATTTTAAACACAAGAGACATGTGAAAAATGAAGCATACAAAAAATTAAATAAGTGGGTTTTTTGATGTAACAAGCGGCCGCTGCATAACATGTTTGATCCTCGGTTGATCCTAAACAACCAAGAATATCAAACATATCTTACAGCAGTCACATTGCGGGTTTTTTTGGCACATTTCATGAAGCAATTTACAATATGAACAAATGAACAAGCCCAAAAAGCAAAAATATGAACTAGATCTTTAAACCAAATGTTTTTGTTTTTTTCTTAAATTAAAAGCTCAAAAATCCACCGCCACATTCCTTGTTTAAATCGGCCAATCTGCACTCACTAGCAAGACGATAGCAACTCGTGGAAATGTCAGTTATCCTGGAAGAAAATGTTTCTAAACCGAAGTTACCTTTGTGAATCCATTTAGCAGTCAAGACGTTCAGTAAATAACGAAAATCAATATAAAACCTCCGGACGACTTGCCAAAATCGTACTTATTCAAAATATAATTCGTTATAACTTCTTCGGAACACACTGAACAAAATGGAGGCATGGAAAAGTTTTGTTATAACGAAAACTGACAGTTCGACAATGTACTCGCTTCGGCGGTACATATACTTAACTTGGAACGACAGTAATAATAAAATATAAAAACGACAATGGCAGAGTTTTATATTTTTTTACAGTAAGCAATGAAGACTGATATTACAAAATAGTCTCTATTAAAGAAGTACAAAATATTTCCTCAATCAATTAAGCATTAATAAGTTCGGGACGTATTCTTTAGGTTTCGTTTATTTTCTGATCTGACGCGATATTTAACGAACAATGTTACAACTTAAAAATACAAACTAACGTGGAATGAATAAGATTTTTTTTAATACATAAAATAATCTTCTGTCTATTTTTGGGGTTTCTCCTGGTACTTACGTGTACTACAGTCGTTGAACCTGCGTGGCAAAAAATGAATAAAAAAGGCTAAAACAAGTATGGAAATATATATTATTTACCTGTATATCATGTGCGTACTTTGTTTCCTTCTAATTGCTTCACGTTGTGTAAAAATTATTTAACACATTTTACCTGCGCTCATTTTGAAAGTTATAATTTAGGATCATTTTACATTCCCCCTCATTTTGTCTTATATTGTCTAAATTTCTATTATAAGAACATGTTGCGAAATTTTTTTTAGAATCATCTAAATAACAAATACATACAAAATAAATTATAAAAGAGACAAGAAAGCGAGTAAAGTTGCAGGTTGAACAAATTAAAATATATTTCAATCTTTAATTATATTGTAAAAATTAATAATTTTATTTTTATTTGTTTAGGAAAGAGTGACAACATTACGAAATTCCAAGGGTAGACAGCAGGATTTTGACAAATATGATGGCCTAAACTGCAAGGCGATGCAAGAATTCGGTTTTGGAACAGGGCCCGGGTCAAAAATTGAAATATTTTCTTCTTTCCTTCATAGCCGGCTTGATTGTATTATAGGTAAAATTTATATGTCAATTTTTACTTTTAAAATTCATTCGGAACACAAAATATTCTGTGTCTATGCAAACATTTGCGCAAGATTGGTTTGGCTTCATTCAAAACAAAATTGTTTTTTGTTTACATATCATTAACAACACAAAATGCCGCGGTCACACGATACCTACAAAAACAGGTAAAAAAGCTTTAAAAAAACAGTTTGTCGACGAAAAATCAACTTACAACATAAACATAAGTGACGGAATGTACATTGACGAAGGGGTTCGGTTCTCTGGCAGCGGTACTGCCCCTCGGACACACGGCGGTGTAATGATAATGCCATTGGCATTGCTACCAGTTTTCCCTCGACCCGGGGGCGGAAGGGGTGCAAGAAATAAGAGGGGATGGAATCGGGGGAGGAAAACTACAGACTTCCCACCCCCGAGAGTATGATAAACAAGAATAATTTTCGATTTCCTGGACGGAGGGATGGTCCTGTTTTCACCGTACGGGAAGAAAACCACGTCAATTTGATATAAGTCATTATTGTCTTCTGTTAATGTTATGGTTCATTTGGTGATTAATGGATTTACCATAATAATACACTCAAGCAAGACAGTTTACAAGGGTTGATCATTAAACAATGATTTTTTTTTTTTAAGAAACATAAACGGCCATTAAAACGATTTTTATTTTTAACAACTCAAGACATTTCAAAAGGGATTTGGAAAATATCTTTACAATATTTATTTCTGATCTATGAAGGCTCTAAAAATCAATAAAAATAACGATCTCAAAAAGTGCTCTCCTTGTTTTTGTTCTACTTTTTCTTTGTCTTCTTTGTTACTTCTTTTTAAAAATAACTTTTAAGTACATCTGGCGCGTGATTTTAGAGATTAGGGGTCCGCAAATTACGGGATCCAAATGAGAAAAATTTAGCTAATTTAATATTTTGCTAATGATCAAAATCTAATAATTAATACAATTATTAGACAGTTGTCGTGATGATCATCTTTTTTTCACACCTGCTAGCAAACCACCCTCTGAACACAGAAATGTATTACGAGATGCCTTCAACAGACAAAACTCACTTAATTCTTGCCACGATATTCGAGAAAAACTCGATAAAATCATGTAAATGTTGTGGACTGGACACACCCTCAAAATTCTTTCAAAATCGGTTTAAGATAATCCGCACCCGCGGCAAAAATTCGTTTTACCTTGAAGCCCCCTCTAAAAGAATTTCTCTAAATTAAATCGCAAATCGACCGACAGAATTGTTTACCCTTGTTTAGTAATCGATTTATTTATTAAAACTAGACAAAAAAAACTTGTTCAAACATTGAACAATGATTATTGTAATAAAAAGGTAAATTTAAGTTGCACCCACTGGCGTCCTTATTAGTATATTAATGCTCAAACCGAAGTCGAGGAAGATGGTACATGAAATGGACCTATAGTGCAGGAAAGTAGAGTTAGTTGGTGATCTGCACCAGTTAAAATCAGAAAATTGGACAGACGTGCCCGAACATGGGGTACACAGTACACACACATGCACTTGAAAATAATCTAAAAGTCCTTTTTTTAAAAAGATAGTTCTTACTCGCATTAAGTTGTTTTCCAACGATCCGGATTTCGAGCCCTTAGCTCATCGTCAGGATTTCTAGAAATCGTTCAACCTGACGATGAGCTAAGTGCTCGAAATCCGGTCGAAACAACTTAATGTGAGTAAGAACTATCTTTAAAAAAAAAAGGATTGAACACCGTACTCACTACATCATTCACCATTTCTAATAATCCGAAAGTTTTGAAAAATCTAGACAGGGGTGAGTTTGAAAAGGATGAAAAGTGTACTTAAGTCGTTTCTGATCATTTTGATCTGCTTATCCTCTTGGATGTTTTTCTCTATCGTCATCTTTGAGTTTTTACAATAATTTTGGTTAAAATGCAGCACTAAAGATGGCGACATGCTGAAACGCGTCTGAAAGGACCAAACTACACGCTCATCAACTCACAGGGCTCACCCCTGTATAAGGGTAAAAGTGGAATGAAATCGGCAGTAGAGTTTGCTGTGGGAAGAAGTCATCATAACTGATCATTAATACCTTTTAAATCTAACTGTAAAATACAGGAAAAAAACAGACCGATACGAGTTAGGATTAGACGGATTATATTTCGATACCTTGGAACTTCAGCAAATTTATGCTGTGCAAGAAATTTTAGTAGTAGTAAAGTAAAAGTATTTGTACTCACTCAAAGTGTTTGTTTTCCGTGTAGATGTGTCATTCTTGTGTGTCCTGTTAAGAGTGCCAGTGAGATATTCAATATACAACTACACGGAAAGCAAACACTTTGATCCTCAGAAGATGATCTCAATAAAGATCGAAACGTTGGCACGATAAAGAAAATGTTTTTTCTAAAACCTACGTCATACCAGACCGCATTTCACGATTTCCAAATAATCATTAACTAACGGTCACTAAACACCACACTTTTGTAAAGCCATTCCTCTGACAGACTTCCAGCCAAATTCAGCCCTGATGTGATGTTTAGAAGTATTTACAGACAAATGAAAAATATTTTTGATTAACTTTAATTCAATTGTTCTAATTTCGTCTAGATGTGCACTCGCCAAAGGTCGGATGTAAACAAGGTAGTAGGCAGCAGCTATGGTTTCGAATGACTTAAATTTGGTTTCTGTCGAGCTTGATTTGCCTTTTAAAAGAATATCTTTCACCTTACCCAGAGCTTGATTGTCCTTTTGTTCAAAATAATTATCAGGTCGTTAAATTTTCCATTCATTGTAATAGGGATTCCTAAACATATACAATTATTAGCATAGTCAATCGGTTGTTCAGTGTAATATAATTTTTTAAGTTTCTTACACTTGGATGACGATCGAAAGGCTTTTGTTTTGTTTATATTTGCTGATAAAGAATTCTGGGCGCGATATTTGTGTTGAACATTGAAAGTTTTTTGCACTTCACTGAAAGAGTTCTCAAACAAATACCATGTCGTCCGTAAGCAAAACACAAAGTATGCAATGGAGTTCATCTAAACGCACCACCCATAAGTTCATGCTGGAAGAATGGTATAAAATCTGAAATAAATAATTTAAATAATGAAGGCGAGTCGGAGATGATTAATTGTACCAATATTTCTTACGCCTTGGGAAGCCCCCAAACGTTTTAGCCATCGGACCTCTTTCACAGAACAAAATCCTGGGTGGACCCCTCGCATTCAATATTTAAAATTAGATACTTACAGAATATATAGTAAATTAAAGTTTTATAAATTAACAAGTCCATTGCTAATTAGGAGATGGAGAGAGTTATCACTATGAAAATAAACAATACATTGACATACTTAACTTGATTTGCAAAATCACACAAAACACGTTTTGCTTTTTCAACGAGCTGTTGAAATTTTTTTTGTTTTTCAGACGGAGTCAAAAAATGGGGGTAAATATTGGACTCGAAAGTAGATATCAAGGTGGTGTCTGAAGTAATGTCTATCAAATAATCGTATTCACTTGAAGATAGACTGCTATAGCTTTGAAAACGGTTTGACCATTTGCAAGACCCCCCATTGGTCTCGCAGCATTATATCTCGAGCTGTTGGAAAGTGGTGCTCATCGTTAAAACAGACAGGTAGCCCTAGACATCTTGAAAAACGTGCGAAAGAAAAATCTTCAATCTGATCAAAAGAAACCTGAAATGCTTGGATAATAACATTTACATGGGTCCAAGCTCACGTCGAAAGCAGGGGAAACGAGGCTGCAGATCGAGAGGCAAAGGACGCTGCAATGGGCACAGTGACGGCCGTGGAATTCTGTCGTGCACCTACGAGTTATGGGAAGTACCCAAACTCGAATGCAAATACTGGATCAATGGAATACTGCATGATCACGGCAGAGCAAGCGACGCATACCAAGAAGTTCTTTTCCAAGTCGAGAAGAATAAAGGCTTTCCCCACTCATTCGAAACAACTCAATTTTTGAGTGGGCATGGCAGAGCTAAGTCGTATCTCTTCCAATTCCACGTGATCGACGACCCATCATGCAAATGCCAGGCAAGATCGGAAGAAACCTGGGGTCACATTCTCTTTGACTGTGACCTACACAAAGGGCCACGGTGTTCACTTAGGAGATCAGTGATTCTGCAAGGATCAAATTGGCCAAGTGAACACAGAGAATTAATAGAAAAATATTTGTGCTCTTTTCTTAAATTTATAAATAAAATAAATTTCGATATTATTTAATCTTCAAAAATGCAAATATTGAATCTTAAAAATTCTCACTAAAGATAAAATTTGTTATTTGTTTGTTTCAGTACATTAATTTTATTTGTTTATATTACTGTATATATAAAATACTCTGTATCAGTACTGCATGAAATACGTGCAATCAGTATGGGGGCACGTAGTAATAAACTCCCCTATTTACTGTAGTAAGGAGGAAAAAAGTGATGCTCAAAGGACATCTCCAAAATTCGAAGGTGTTCACATTTTTCATAGATCAACGTGCCGTTCGCAAGCTCCAGTTTGTTTTCTTGTAAAAAATCATTTAGAACAGGAAATCACTCTACTTATTCCATTTTAACAGGGTCAACCGAAAACTGGATTTTTCTTATGAAGGTGTGAACTTTGTCATTGGCATCGAAAGTTGGATACTCATCCCATACAAAGAAAGACTAATCTCATTCATTTTAATGAAAATATCTGATAAATACGACAGTATACATTGCCATTTCTCATTATTAATATCGTTGGCCAATTTGACATTGTGGTCAATCAACGGCGGTAGCCGAGTGGTTAAGGCGTCAAACTCTCGGCTAGAAGATCCCGCCGTCGTGGGTTCGATCTCCACCGTCGCCTCTGGACTTTTTTCTGACCGCAATTGAAAAGAAATTGACACGGCACTCGTCAATGGAAGGAGCGGGAACAGATCTCAGCGACCCTGAATTTGTTCTCAACCCCCTTCAAAAATGAGTTTCTTGGATGGGAAGAACACCGGCACACCGGGGGCTCAAATTCACACTTGTGTTGCCCCCAAAAAATGGAACCAGGAATAAAGCACAATAAGCTGTACAGCTGAAAAAAAGCTCTTGATCCTATCCTTTACGTTATTTTATACTGCTGTCCTATCAATACATCCTAACACTATGGGGTACTGCCATCCTATATTCAGCGCAAACAGTCCTTCCAATCGAAAGTCAGACAAATTGTCAAAGCACCTTATTAAGTCACCAACCTCTCACTATCCACCAAGACAGCATTTCTTTTGTCAACTAACTGACCCGGTCCAGATTCCAAACCTTCCACACCTATCTTTCGAACCATCCTAATCATACTACAACCCGCCTCAACCGACGGTGGCCTCGGGACCTCCTTGACACCTAATCATACACATTGAGTGCCAGCAATGGCTGGCTCCTCAAACCATGTGTTCTACCGGTGCAGTGTTGCACTGGCATTAGTGCTAGTGTTGTGCTGCGATACGTTAACCATGTGTACATATTTTTATAATATAGGTAACAAATAAATTTTACAAAAATTTTAGCAATAAATGTAGCTTGATCGACCACGATCATCCTGGTCTGATATTCCTTTTAAGAGTTGTATGTTTAGGTGGGCTGGATGATGAGAGGAGAGTTGAATGTAATGAACGAATTGTGGAATGATAAAATTAACTTGAATTAGCAGACGTGATGATCGAAGACGACGTTTGTGCAAAGAAAAAGTTGCCAAATTCGTGACTTACTTTTTTAGAAATCAAAGGGACACAAATGTCTAAATAACACACAGCCCAACCACTGAAAATACTAAATGCTGACAAAAATGAATATAAGCGAGAATCGAGACAAGAAAACATAAGCACACCTCTTCCATTTTGAAGCATCTTTGGGACTAAAATTACAAAATAACACACAGGATAAACGTTGAAAATATCTCTAAATGTACATATAACGGATAAAAATGGGCTAGAATACAAGGAAAATCAGAAAATCGACGATTGAACAAAGAAAACGTCGAAAAATCCAAGAAATCAAAGGAATCCAAATGACAAATTAACACACAGAACGACCATTGAAAATAACGAAATTCAAAATGTGAGAAAGACAAGAAGCTAGAACAAGTGGGAGTCGAAACACGAAAACAAAAGCACACCTTCCTTTTGAAGAATCTTTGACACTGAAATTACAACATAATGCACAGACTGACCACCGAACGAAAAGCGTGTGCCGCTGCAGTGCTGGCATTAGTGCAAGTGTGGTGCTGTGTGATACATTAATCATGTATACATATTTTTAATATTTTTATAATATACGATCATGTATCGGTTAATAAATAAAATTTTTTTTGTAATTATTTATTTTTCTGGAAGTTCCCCGGGGACCGCCCTCCTATGGGAAGCCACGGCGTGCTCGTCGTTAAATGATAGCTAAATCCTTTTTTGTCCAAACAACAAATTCACCTCTCAAAACTGATCTTTTTACATCATTGTTAAGATAGAAATGAATAGTCTAACTCCTTGAAAAGTTTAAGTTTTCGTCCATTCTCCATTCAGCCTTTCCTGATCCCTTATTTGACAACGGACGATATCTTGTTGAAATTTGGTAAAAACAGGACAGATCCAACTTCAATAAAATTGTTTGTCGGGAGGGATGTTATCGATCGCGGAGGGCGCCAAGTAGCCAGTCGTCCCCAGGAGGGCTGGCGCCCGGCATTCGGGCGTCTCTTCTGTCGCAGCATCCCTGCAACCATCCTATTCTCAAAACTCTGGGGGAAGAAAAAAAAAGATGAAAAGTCATCCACAACCCTCTCGTTTCCGGTCATCAATATGGTAGCGTACTACGGAGTTTTTCTTTTTCTTTTTTTTTGTACATTTTATTTACATATAACCGAGGGTAGGAAAATTTGCCCTCTTTTCCGGCTCAATCCGGTTGTTCATTTCTGTCAATTTAGCCATTCAAGCATGAGCGGGGTGTCAGAAGAGGAATTTTCTTTAAAAAGAGAAGAAGGTCTACAAATTTATTTTTGAACACGACGAAAATTCGTCCGGAGTTTGATCGCCCCTTTTGAATTCGCTTCGACGAGACATTCTTCCACAAATTTGTAAATTACAAAAACAAAATGAACAATTGACAACGATGGTTTGCATTACAAAGTACAACAAAAGAAACAAACAAACGAAAAATGCTTATTCCGCGCTTGCAAAATAAAACAATCGCAATTCGACTATTATAACTGAAAGACTGGTTGATTCGACTCGAAATTAAATTGTGTTTGTGAAAATATTTTTTGTCAAAAGCCAGAAACATTTCAGAACTTGTCTTTTTAATAGTTTTACAGTGTTAATTTATATACTGATGGACAAAATAAAATTTGAATGTATTTAAGTTTAGTCATATTTTGCATACCAAAAATAGGTTTGGTATTAAAAAGCAAATTTTTATTATCTAATTCTAAAAAATAAAATACAAAATGTTTAAAAAAAACTTTTTTGTCCCCTTTAATACTTATTTTACAATAATAAAATATATTAGATTGAAAGTAAACGGAGAGGTGAATATTGACCTTTACACGATGAAAGACCATACTCACTCAATATTAACGCGTAAAAGAAAGAAAAGGAAAGTGAGGTTGACACATGGACACTTACTTTTGGGCCAAAGCCTGCGTACGTCTGGCATGTAGAGAAAGGCGAATGGTATGTATGGAAAGATGTACATATTTATAAGTATATAAGTGAGAGTGGGAGTAAGTCCTGGGTTAGAAACTTAATGAGTTGGGGGCTGAAATGGCCTATCTGTTAACAGCCCATGGAGTGTAACTTCAGTGGCTGGACGAATAGGACAAGGTCTGACCAAGGACTGGCAACACCTGGGGTGGGTGAATCTTGATGGCTGCTGGTAATTTATTGTAAATTGCACGAAGATGGAATTTTAAGGGGTGCCGCAACGGTTTAGTTATTGACACGGCGCTCATCGCTGTAAGGTAAAGGTCCCGGGTTCGAATCCAGAGGCCCTGCGTTCTAACCCTACATAGGCGTGATGAGTTGGACAATACGAAGTGCCACCCCAGACTGCTAAAACTCGAAGGGAGTGGAAAGTTCCTGAAGTCGTAAGTATATACTGATTCTGTATATACACGGGCGAAGTTAAGCTTTATAAATCAATCAATGCATTTAATAAGAGAGGAAGTTAATTTAATTAACAACGTGAATTTTTTTTTTTTTTAAGCAATAAATTATATATAAAATATGGTAATCTGATGTGTAAATCTGACGTAATTTACAAAATCAATTGTCTAAATTGACCGGCAACTTACATTGGATTACATCCCAATATCTGAATAAGAGAATAAAGTAACATATCTATGATCGCAAAAACCCAAACAAAATCCTCCAGCACCGGCTACACACCATTTTGAACACCAACACCATTTCGACTTTAACAATCCAAAAATATTACCCACGGAACAAAACGAACATAAACGTAACTTTTTAGAAATGGTTTACATCATCAGGGATAAACACAGCATCAATTACAGAACAGACACATGTAAACTCAGTCACAGCTACGCTAATACCATTCATCAAATTCAATATCGATAACATACATATATCACCATCACATCACACAAAACATATAATATAACATATAAAACAATCATCACATTGCACACATCAAACATTTCTACCTAGACTAATTCTTCAGAAATTTGACTTTCCTTTCCCTAATTATCCCCAAATCCTGAAAGGATAAGCAGGCCGATCCATTACCTATTTTTTCCCCATTGTCGGCTCCTTTCAACTCAAAGAAGCCGACTCCTCATATAAAAATGTCTTTCTATCCTGACATCCTTCCTCACCCGTTCAAAATCCAACGTATAAAGACATAAAACAGCAATATCTCACTGGGACACTGGCACTCTCAACACGACACACAAGAATGACACAACTACGCAGAAAACAAACACTTTGAGTGAGTACAAATACTACTACTAAAATTTCTTGCACAGTATAAATTCATTTTTTCATATCCATATATATATTGTAAAATTTAAACAATGTTTATAAGTCCCAGGCCCTAAAGATGATTTCAATAAAGATCGAAACATTGGCACGATAAAGAAAATGTTTTTCTAAAACCTACATCATACCAGACCCATCTCACGATTTCCAAATAATCATTAACTAACGGTCACTAAACACCACACATTGCTAGACACACTCACACTCTCATTCATTCCTAAATACACTATTTTCTATGTACAACCGTACATTGAAGTAGGGTGGTGGAGTTTTCGATACTCCTCCATCGCTCTTTACACATACTGTATAACTTATCTAATTGAGAGTCGATGAGGTATTCGGCCCTCATTCACGCTAATAAATACATTCACTCGCAATATACACAAAAGCCAAAACAAGATATCTACCAAGTACTATACGCTATAAAATAACCACTTTTCCTCTAAAAATTGAGGGACCGAAAGATTCGCTCTCTATATAGAGCCGAGAATGACACCTGACAATTATGCGGGACACATCAAGCAACCGTTCTTTACATGTCGGCTTTGACCCAAAAGTATGTGTCCGTATCGTCTTCTGTTCTTCCGGATTCTTAGTCGAACCCTTTTCTTCGATTCAGATCCTCTGAGGCCACCCATCGACCGTGACCTTATACGAAGGAGCTTCTCGGCCGATCTGACCCCCAGTCGTTGCTTCCACTTCCTTTTGATCGTATTTTTATTGCGCTCCCCCTTCAAAACTATGACTTCACGGACCCAGAAAACCACCATCCATTTGCCGAGACGTCTTTTTATGACAAAAGTCCTAATTTTCCAAAGGATTTAATTGTTTTTCATCCAGACCGTACCGAGATACAGATTATTTTTGAGCAAAAAAGTGTTCGATACATCTAACAATTTAAACCGAAACTTTTCAATTTCTTTTAACACCTCCTTCGTATTACATCTATTCCTAGATAAAAAGACAAATCGAATTATACATATATACATGTATTATATATATAATAATCTTGAAATACATTCAAAACCCAGGCAGAAAACCGTACATATGTAAAACCCCTTGTGTTTTATGTTTCAATAAAACAAGTATCTTGTTTGTTTTTGTATTATACTTTAATTTTTGTAATGTATCATATTAGATAAACCCTTTTTCATTCATCCATACATATTATAGTTATATGAAAACATGCTTCTGTGGCATCGGAATGCACATTACCAATGAGCACCTAAGACAGAAGGATAAAAAGAAAATGAGGCAACAATGGGACTCACTCATTGGGCACAAACAATCCAAGAACCTCTTAACAAACTTTGGAAGGAAAGAAGTAATAGAATGCATTAAAAAAACAACTTCGAATCCTAACAGGACACTGCAAACCAAATGGACAACTGAAGAAGATTGGCATACACCAACAAGGCACGTGAAGATTCTGCAAAGAAGCAGATGAAACACCAACACACCTACTAACAAACTGTGTTGCTACACTTGCCTGCAGGAGGAAGTGTTTTGGGACATACAACGTAACCGTAGAAGAGATTCAACCACTGAAACCAGGCTTACTAATCAAGTTCCTTGTTGAACTAGGACTTACCGGTGTGCTTTAAGCACAGGGCGGAGGATACAATAGTTCTTAAAGCGGCGCAGTATAATACACGCCTCGACTAATACGTCTATATTTACACCTATACAAATATATGCATAATATATATTAAATTTATTAACTATTTTGTAATTAAATTCACATCTGAATATATTAGTTAAAAATATTAGTTAAAATATACTATTAATTATGTAATATTATATCTATAATCTATAAAGGGAACAGATTAATTTTTTAAAAAATATTTACGCCAAACCAAATTTAAAAGTCCTGTACCTTTTAGTTACTTTTATCGCCAAGTAGGATTGCAGTCGCATGATGAACCTTGGTATCTGTATCCTTAGGTTAAAAAGGTACGAATCGTTCATTTCTTGCTCCAGCTCACCGAAGTGTTGCTCATGCTCTATCAAATTAAAGTAAATGTTGTAAATTTAATTTATAATTTAATATTTAAATCCAAATTAAATTATATTGCATTTTTCATCTGTTAATTAAAGTGAGTTTTACCAACTATCTTTGTGAATCGTTCACTCGTTCTTGAACGAATCTGTAAAAGGATTCGTTTGCAGTATCACTATCGGCAGTGGTTACTGGTTACCTTTGCAGACCCGCCAATTTTCTCAGTAAACATATTTTTCTTTGTTTTGATTAAATGCCTTTATCAGTAAGTAGGTGACTTTTTTTTCTTGTATCATTTATCGATTGATTGATTGATGCGTTTGTTTTATAGATTCGTGTAATGAAATTCAAAGGAACGATAAACAGTTTATCACCCTTAAAAAAGACAAAATCGTCAAATAAAGATGTCCAGAGTAAAAAGACACCGACAAAGTCAACTGTACAGTCGCAACATATCACACACTATTTCAGTACGCAAAGCAACAACCTGCCATTGTCGAGGAAAAACAGCATAAAAAAAGTAACAAATCTCGATGAAAAATTTGATGATAATGAAACTAACAGTACAATCCAGCATAAAAACCCAGCTAAAACCAAAGGCACATCCAAAAGTGATGATGATAGAGGTGTCGCAGAGTTGACAGCACAAGAAAAGAACGTAAAAAGAAAATTGTCATTGGCTTTCGAAGAAGATGAGTCTCCGCTCAAAAAGTCGCCGAGGGTGGAAAAGCCAACCGGCACTAAAGACGGAGAGAAGAAGCCTGACAGAGTCTTGAAAGATGAACACTTTGCTCAAGAAACAGTTACATTAATATATAACAACATGAATGCTTTGAATGAAATTTTTCAGAAAGGAAAAACAATTTTAGATGATGAAAAAAGGAAAGAATATTTTATGGCAAATATAAATGATGTAGTGTATGGATACTACAATGGTATGATTTTATATGATTTGCAAGATAAATGTTCAAAAAAAGAAATGGTTGTCGCAGGAAAGGAACTTCACGCCAATTCCAAAATAATTCAGGTAAAACTTTTTTTAAATTGTTTTGATTAAAAAACCTCTGCTCTTCTGTAACCTAACCAAATATATTGTGTAAAATCAGAAATTCCTGCCATACAAGAGAGCTTAATGTTTTACTACCAGTTGGGTGTCGCGGATACAAAGGGTCAAATAACTAAAATGCATTAGTAGATGATGGGCTTTGGTCTTTTTTTTTAGTTATTCAAACGCATTTCGGCATTGCACAGTCTTCATTGAACAAGTGGAGACAGACCCAGTAAGTGGCCATGTGCCGGTTCAACATGAGTTCACTGACTTGCAGACCAAAACTCACCACACAGCCAGTCGGGCTACGTTACTTAAAAGGTGTGAGTTCCTCACTGAAGATGGTGCAGTGCCGAAAAGAGTCGGATGCCCTAACCACTCAGCCCCCCAAAGGTCCAAAGTGTCATGAGTGGTGTTTCATTCTAGCCAGGGCACCTCAAAGTAAGCTAACCTAATGAAAACAAGTTATGACTACTATTAGATAAAATCTAATGTAATAAAGTCAGTACACAATAGATATTAATTTCTGTAGTCTGGATATAAACTCAGAGACCAAACAAAAATACAGCCCAAGTTCTCTGTGTGCATTGCTCTACCATCCACGATCTATCAAAAATCTCATTCGATGTCTGCCTGTCCTCACTTAGGCAGACAAAAATGATTAGAAACTGTCGAATTTAATATTTTAGCCAGATCAGTTTAGTATCAATCAATCCTGTAGTATTATTTTGCTATTTGAAAGTGTGTAGTTAATAAATCTTTATCAAGTATGTTGGCTAGATCATTCCTCGGTGGTCCTGCACCCACATTTTCAAGATATTGAAAATAATATAGTCCTATTATAATTATAAAATTATGTAAATTATAAATAATACAGTTCTGGACCAGGAGAGTTTATTAAATCTTGGGAGAAATTAAGTCCACCAGACCCCTCAGAATAGTCTTCACCTTTTCTATTTTTATTTTTTCTTATAATTTTAGTAAATGAAACCATTTCAAACCAACATGAAAAACCATTTCAAAAACTCATTGAAATTCATGTATATTTTAGGTTGAAGACAAGTGCAACCCCGCCTCAGATCAACAGCCTTTAACCGACTTAAATAACTCTCTTAACTGTGATACCAGCTTGGAAAAAATTAAAAGTGAAAATGGTATTTTTCTAAATGCCACAATGCAAGAAAGTTTGGAAAAAGTCAATTCTGTTGACAATTCTGGGAAAAATGAAATCACTGGAAATGGTGACAACGAACAGACTATACCAATTGAATATGACACTCCTCCTTCTTCAGGTGCAAAAAGTGATTTAGAAAAGAAAAATATTAAAGAAGAAATCAATGTTAATCAATTAGATGATGAAATAAACAAAATTACACATGATACCGGCATTAATACATCAGGCGTTACGACTAATGCTTTAATTTATTCCATTAATAGAGCAAAGATATATGCACCATGCATTTTCACTAATGAAACAAACGAAATTTGCCGAGCTTATGAAAAACTGAATCATGACGCACAATTGTTATATCAGAATCTATTGGATAGAAAATGGTCCTGGATAAGGAGAACGTCTATCACATATCCTAAAACAAATTCAATTTCTACTGCTTTAGAAACTTTGCAAAGTGCTGGTTTTATTCAGATATTAAATAGAGACTGTGAATTAAATGAGATGCTGTGTGTTATGAATGTCAATGAATTGAAAAAACTATGCGATCATCTGAAAATCGATAAAAACAGTACAAAACCAGTTTTAATCAAGAAAATCGAATCTATTGCAAATAGAAGTGGGTTTCAGTTTTCTGCAACATCTTTAAAAAATAAACTGGCTAACAAAGCTTTTGATATTCTTGAAGACGAGCTAATTAAAATAACAGAACGCACAAGGGATGTGTTCTTAAAGTTACTTGTTGTTTCGACATGTCCATATTATAATTCTTCTAGTTTTACACCCCAAATCAGTAGACTAGGTGACCTGAAATATCTATTGCAAAATGTTTCAAATAAAAGTATAATCTTATTACCTTTAGATTCAGCTCCTCGAAAATTGTTCAATTCATCTTTGCATTTTGAACATTATTTTAAATCAGTCCAGCTTCTAGATGATCTGAAAGAAGCTCAGAACAATAAAGATTGGGCAAAAGCTGCCGACATATGTGAGGAAATGTACGAGCAGAAATTCTTGTTTAATACATGCGATTTGCTTGACTATGTACATCTTCGATTTACAGCCAGAAGAAATTTGGTTTATTGCCTCAGCTCTGGCATCAATGAGCTAAAAAGAGAAAAACGTTATGATAAATGCCTTGATTGTTTAGAACTTCTTTTGAATCAACACCTCTATGGTAAAGTTAACAGGGCAAAATGGTATGAACAGAAACTTTTAATAATGGAAAAATACATAAAAGCTGATTCCGATAGCATTTATGAAGTGTTGAAATGTGGACTCTCGGATTGTTCTTTAACACTTCTAGGAAAAAGGATCCTATCAAAAAGAGCAGAATCTTTCTTAAAGAAAAACAAGAAACTATGTGATTTGAAAAAACAAGAACTCACGAACCTCATGTCTTTCCCTGGACCAGTACAAATGGTTTACATTTATGCCAAGCCTATGCCAAAGTAAGTAAACAGGTTACATTTTAAACGTAGCTGTCAGTTAAATCATATTTAAAATGTCTTGCCATATCCAAACTTTTTGTTTTTACAATTAAAATTAATTGACAAACTCGGCAACAGTATATTTTAATTTTATTGACTGATTAATAATTTATGTAAGCCCAAATCTGCACACACTGTACAGAGTTGAACCTATCACTTCTCGCTGCTCGCCAACAAATCCAATTTTTGTGTAATTTACAATAAATTACTGGAGGCACTGAAAATCACGCACCATGGATGTTTGCAGACTTGGGTCAGACCTTGGGCTTATCTATCAAGTCACCGAGGTCGGGTTCCAAGGGCTATCAACAGCTGGGTCATGAGTCATTTCAGCCCCCAACATAATCAGTCCCATTCAACCTCTCACTCAATCCTAAATACATTTTTGCCTATTTACATACCATTCACTCAGTTAGGATGATGTTCTGTATATTCCTGTATACCCCTCTATACATATTGTATGTGTTTTGCGTGTGCACATGCATGTGTGTGTACATAAACCTAATCTAATTGAGGTTAATTCCTACATTCTGCCATTGGCCCTTTCACACCAATAAATACATTCACTCTCAACAAATGCTAGGCACAAAAATATCGGTACAATATACAATGAAAAGAAACCTTGTTTCCTCAAAAACTGAACAGGGACACAAATACTCACTGCCATGCTCAAGCACAATTATCATATCGGGTGGCAATCCTAGACACTCTTTAAATATGAAGCCAAGGAATGGCACCTTTCAATTAAGTGGAATTAAATAAATTACTCTTATTTAATTATATACACAATTAATATTTTTAATATATATTTTATTTTTTAGTGTAACCACTAGTAAAAAACAGATCTTTGAAACAAAAGGTTGTGATGGACAGACATTTTTTGGATCAGTCGAAGAAACTGTTTGTAATTATTATTCCAAGGATTATCCTTATAGTTTCCACGATGAAGGAAATTTGCTTAAAAATATGGCATTAGCTCTATTCTTCCCTGTTCTATACGATACTAAACTCGTTCCAGGAGTCTTTGTGTCTGAATTTCAGAAGCAACCTCTCGATTGGGGCGGTCAAGAGTTTTTCGACAAAAGAAAAGAGTTGTTTTATGTAATTATATACATATTGCATTCAATAGTGCCATTCACTAATTTTGACTGAATAGGCTCATCGGGACACAATAATGCAAAAAGGATTGGACGGAGTTCAAAAAGATTTAGAAACAATTTATTCCATGATTTATATGAAACCAAACATTTTATTCAACATTAGCCAAATAGACATCTCTAACATGATGGTAATTATTACATTTTAAATCATTAAATTATCCTAAACCAATTTATAATATTCTTAATTTATTTAGAAACTGTTGACTTGCATGACATTAGAAAAGGTTATGAAATTCGCTTTGTATCTTCTGGAATACTACAATGAAAGAAAATCTGGCTTTCCAGATTTAACTATGTTTAATAATGAAAAGGTAAGTGGAAAATTTCTGTGCGTCCTATTATAAATTAATATTACATATTGTAGTGCGCTTTTGTGGAAGTAAAAGGACCAAGTGATACACCTTCGATAAACCAACTTTTATGGATGGAAAAGCTCAAAGAGTTCGATTTACCTGTATGGATCTGTAATGTCTCGTGTAAAGTTGGTAAGTAATAAAAAGAAACCCTGCTTCAAGATTAATTTAATATTATCTAACTATGTTATTAATAACAATTTATTCTTTTAAATGCAGGTTGTGAAAGCTATATTACTTTGGATGGAAAAAATACCCCAGGAAATTAATTTTTATTTTATCTTTTTAGTCATTATAATCATATTTTTTATTGTTATGCTCTTATATTTCCATAAAAGATAATTATTTATTTTATTATGTTTTTTAAAATATATTTACATTATTAAATTAAATTCCTCCCTTATTAAATGCATTGTTTTAGGTTTTGTATGTAATTTAAAAAAATAATACATGATATTTTATACATTATTATGGTTTTTTTTTAAATAAATTCATATTGTTTAATAAATTAATTTCCTCCCTTATCAAATGCATTGCTTGATTTATAAAGCTCAACTCCGCCCGCATTTGTCAAATCAAAATTATTTCTTCTGTAACTTTCACAAACTTCGGGTTTTTGCAGACTGGGGTGGGAGCTTGTATTGTCCATCTCATACAGAGTTGAGACTATCACGCCTATGTCGGACCTTTACCTTACAGGGATGAGCGCTGTCAAAACCATTGCGGCCACCCCTTAAAATTCCATCTTTGTACAATTTACAATAAATTACCAGCAGTCACCATGAATCACCCGTCTCAGTAGATAGCAGTCCAGGGTCAGACCTTGGTCTTATTCGTCCAGTCACTGAAGTTAGACTTCATGGGTTGTAAACACCTACGCATTAAATTTCTAAGCCTAAACTCAGTCACACTAACTTATATACTTATAAATATGTACATCTTTCCACACATACCATTCGCCTTTCTCTATATGCCATATGTAGTACAAGTAATTGTCCGTTGTCAACCTCACATGGCATATTATCGAGTTATTTCATCCAACATAACTTTCATAAAAAAACAGTTTTGTCTAGTATATAGATTAATGTCTTACTTAACAGGTCTATGATGCATACCAATTAAAACACATGATGATGGCATCAAGGGAGAATTTCTAAGTCCTCTTCTGTTCTCAATAATTATATATGACAGTTTGGTGATTTTCTAGCAATAATACTTTTAGATTTCCTTGTAGAAAATGGTTCTTTTAAAAAATACTAATATCAATACCACTTCTATATAATAAAGCACAAAAATGGGTGGTCAAGAGGCTAAAACCTTGTAAATTATTTTTCTTTTACTGCATTTTCAAAGCCTGGGCTTCCTCACCAGAATAACTGAAGTCCAAAAATTATTGACTTATAATCTTAGAAAATGCATTAATCTATAACAACTTGGTTGTTTTCATTTATCAAAAATCCCAACATTCAGCATGTCTGCACAACAGCCAGAGTAAAAATAAAAGCAAAAGGGTTTGGACTACAGCTGAACATTGCAGTCATTTTTGGATCCTAGATATTCTGAAGAGGAAGAAGCCCATTAGACTTCAAATTTAAAAAAAAAAAGGCCATTTGTGCCAGTTTTGAATTAAGGGCCCCTGGACTTGAACCCAGGACCTATGAAGCACCATGGTAGTGATGAACAGTGTGTCAACGCCTAAACTGTTGAGATCACCAGCGTCCTCATACTGTTCTTAGTCATGTAAAAAGCCATCATAGAAATAATTAAAAGGCTTGGTTGGTCTACAAGTCATACTAAAGTGTGGAACTCTTCCTCTCTGAAAACGGTATGATTTTTTTCACAAGTCACAGGTGACTATAGCCTCCCTTTTTCGCACTGCAACTTAAAATATTTACTGTGGTATTGACCCTGGAGAGTGCACTAACTATGCTTGAGGTAGTTGAGTGGTAACAGCACAATAATTTTTTTTTTACGAGGGTTCACAACAGCAGAGGTCATATAAACCCTCGGGGTGCCGGTATTTTCGAAAAAAGGCTCATTTGTAAGTATGTCGGGTTCGAATCCAGCGGCCCTGCATTCGAACCCGGGACTTTACCTTTCAGTGATGAACGCCATGTCAACGCTTAAACCGTTGCGGCCACCGACGCCCCCCTAGATTCAGATTATTCTTGAATAAAAAAGTGGTTGATACATCTGAACACTTTAAAATCCTAAAAATCATGCTCGCCTTAAAGCGATTTACAATTTTTTATTATTAGTATTTTAAAATAAAAGAGGGGCGTCGGTGGCCGTAATGGTTAAGTCGTGGACACGGCGTTCATCACTGTAAAGGTCCCAGGTTCGAATTCAGCAGCCCTGCATTCGAACCCGCCATTCTTACAAATGGGTTTAAGAAAAAACCGCATCCCTAGGATTCATATAACCCCGTAATTGAAATATTCTGTTTAAAATAATAATAAATTAAATAAAATAACACTTGAAAAATCAAGAGTTTCTACCTTGCATGAAATAGCAATTGTATTCTTTTTCTTCCATACATGTGAATCGATATATTTCTTTTTAAAGCATGTGTCTGTTAAATTTTGAAAGTATTGAGGTTCTAACGAAATTTTTGTCGTACTCATGTATTTTATACTTCGAAAGTCCTGCTAGTCTGAAACTAGCAAAATAAATCTCTTTTCAAACTTGTTTTTAACGGTTAAAGTGTAACATTTCCTAGCCCAATGAAAAATCATCTTTGCAGCGTAACAAAGTAGAGTACAACCAATTGCCTTATGCCAATATTGAAACACAATATTCAAACTTTTATCATCTGTATATTACAGTTTTTACGGACTCCTTGATGGCTCGAAAAAACGATGCCGCTTTATTGCAATATTTCTACTCGAATCAAATCCTTAAAGGTATGAAGCACCCGGAAGTGGTGAGCGAATCCTTTTCCCTCGTCGCGAACCTTTTGGATCTGATCTCAGAGATTAGAGAGAGCATCGACTCTGTCTTGTTTCAAGATCTGCGGAAAATGGTGAGCAAGCGTCCCAAGGATTTGGCCGCAGCATCCAGGAAGATAATCAGCGAAGCCATAGAGACGAAAGGAGTCGAAGAATGTTCGGTCGTTTACAAAAGGGCAAAGCAAAACATATCGGTGAACAACAGGGCTACGGCCGCTCACGTCGTATTCGCCTGGAGCGTCGTCGAAAGCATCGTGAGCCTCGCCTCTGAGACGGCCGCGAGGCTCACACTTTTCGAAAACGATGGCAAGACGTACATCAAAAAGGGTTCTTTGAAAGAAAACAACGACTTTTGTTTTTTCGGAAGAAGCGCGGAAATCGAAGACCTGACCGAACTTTTTCTACTGGAAGAAAGCGTATTTCTCAACTCTAGAGGCGGTCACAAAGAAACTACTGCTGCTGCGAATATAGTAGTCGGATTCGTTCTACGCGAAGCGGAAATACATTTGAAAAGCCGAGCTCTCGACGCCCATGAAAAATTCGCCTTCCTCGACGAACCCGTACTTAAGCATTCCGTACGTAAATCTTGCCGGTCGGAGAAAAAAGAGACAAAAAACGGAATACTTAAAATCGGAATCTAAACGGAAATTCGCGAAACCCCTTCCTACAAATAGCCGAAAGAAAAAAAAATTTCAAAAAGGAAAAAATATTTTGTATCGAATTTAACAACTGATGCAAAGAACAAAACCACCGCATGCCTCAATATGGCTACAGATTTTTACTACAAATATTAAAATTTATTATTATCACATAGAGTTGCATTGTATTTTAATTATTGCTGGGTAATTATTGTCCTTGCACAAACTAAGACATAAAATTTTCCTTCCTTTCACAGCCGGAATCGTCAGTATTTAGTTGAGTAATTTAAGAGAGATGAGAATGCAAAAACGAATCTTTTTGACAAAATATACAAGAAGAGGATGACATTGTCCAAGATGTATTAGTGAACTTATTATTCGAAATGGAGGATTTGGGTACCAGGCATCTGCGTTATGCCGAATCAGCGCATATTCAGAACCTGGATTAGCCAAACCGACGATCAGTTTTATGTTTCCCACCCTATTCACTTTGTTCATCTATGATTTTTATTTATTACTGCCTCTTATTCCATGGTTTTATTTCTTCCCCAAATGTGATTATTTTTTATTTCCAATGAAAGCTAAAGTTGCATAGAGCTAAATATTACGTTATTTTCACCACGTGCCTTAAAAAGCTAGAGAAGAGACAAATATTTAGGGCTACGTTTATTACTTAAAGCCATCATAGAAATAATTAAAATAATACAAATACATCGCGGTTATTGTTGGTCTGCGAGTCTGTGAATTTCGGTAAGAAACTCTTCCTCACTGAAGATAGCGAAAGATTTTTTTTTTCAGGGGGTCACTGGTTACTATAGTCTCCCTTTCCTCCACCGTAAGCTAAAACATTTATTGAGGAATTGACCCTTTTTTATTTCCAAACCCCGGAAAGGGCACTACCATTAAGTTGAGCATTTATTGTGGTAATTGGAATGATCAATGAGGAGTATATTAATAAAAACTTCTTTCAACCAATTATTCATTTTAGAGTAAGGTCTTGATTGAGATGAAAAAGTTAGTGTCACGAGCGGGATTCGAACCCACGGCCTTCGGCCGAAAGTCGTGGGTTCGAATTCCGCTCGTGACATTAACTTTTTCATCTCAATCAAGACCTTGCATAAAATGAATAATTGATTGAAAGGAGTAATTTGCTCAATTAGACCACTAAACATACATGGATTAATAATAATAACGATCTTTACTGTTTCAATACAATAAACAGCAACAACACAAATCATCGTAAGATTTACTCATAGTCGAAAGACCGCAATAACACGTGAAAATAGAAATATAATAATATAACAATAAAATTAAATAAATTGAGAATAGATTACAAATTATATAGGAAAGAAAAAAGTAGTGCTGACAGTATATTTCTAATTTTTGATCAAATATCAAATAATAATATGTACTTTAGTTATTTTTCTACTTGATAATTGGACACTTCAACCAGCATAAACCACCATGTTTGGAAAAAATAATTTCTAAACCAATCTTTTTCCGTTAAAGTAATCCAGAAAATCTTGCTGTTGTTTGATTTTTTTAAATTAATAGCTCTAAATTCTCCTAAAATGAGATTATACTTTAGTCGTACTTATTTAAGTTATTCAAAGAGAACCTTGTCCTAGACAACTGAAAATGACATGGTGAAGAGCACACCCGGTTTTTACGACCTCAAAGGTTTTCTTTCATAGGTCCAGTTATCACTAATCATCATCTATGATTTTTATTAATTATTGCCATGATGGTTTTATTTTCTCCGCAGATGTGATTATTTTTTTTTTTTTTATTATTTACAGAGAAAGCTAAAGAACTAAATGTTAGGTTATTTTCTCCACGTGCCGTAAAAAAGTCTAGAAGCAAAAATTAAATATTTTGGACTACATTTATTACTTAAAGCCATCATATAAATAATTTTTTGCAGTAAGAGGTCGTATCAACCCCCGGACTGCCGGTGATTTTGATTGTTGCCGCAAGTCAACTGAGACCTTTTTCTTATAGTGATTAGTGACGTGAGAATGCCTATCTAGTATCTGTATGTGTCTGTGAGTTCTTCACAAACACTTCTCACTGAAGATGGCGTAAAGATTTTTTTTCATGGAGTCACTGGTGACTATAGTCTTCCTGAGAGCTGAAATAATTGAGGAATTGGCCCTTTTTTTAATTCTAAACCCCGGAAAGTGCTCTCCCTTAAAAACAAAACGTCAAGAATACAATTCTAGCTTATTCTTCGACCTCCTCCTTTGGTATGTCTATCAGACTTGTTTTACTCGTTGGTTATGCTTTATAAGTGAGTCGGCTAATTAAAACAGGGCTCGGACTAGCAGTACTCTACTGTACTTTGATTTTGAACTTCAGATCCATCATTGAGCAGAACTGATAGCTCTTTGGCTATCTAACTTGATAGGTGTTTAGTTTTGTATCATATATTTAGATTAAACTGAGACATTCAGCCTGCACTTAGTTTTTCGTTTTCAGGCCAAATACCTTCTAGTATATGAAAATAGAGCTTTAGGGCTTCTTTGACAAAGAAAAGTTTTATCCATTCCAGCTCTGCTTACATAAGTTTTTTAAAACTGATATAACCTGCTTAAATTGTAAGAGAATTGTATAAAATCTCATCATTTTTTAGGACATTCTTCTCAACTTTCCTCACAGAATGGATCCAGATGAACTCTAGGGGCGTTAGACACCTTAAACTTATACTAAAACAACCCTCACCAAGACTGGCAAACTCACTGCTACAGTTGGAGAGGGCCAGACTCAGAGGAGCGATAGGACTATTAACCAGTCACAGGCATCTGAGAAAACACCTTCACAACATGGGCATATATAAACGTTGATCCTATTAGCAGATTATGTAATGAGGAGGACGAAACAGCCATCCATATTATCTTCGAATGCGAAGCAAGGGCTCAACGTAGACATAACCTTATAGAAACTAGGGAATGAAATTTGAGCAATGACCTGATACTTCTGAAAAGAAGGATTGAGTCGATTGCACTGAACTAGGGAACTAGGAAGGTACAATACGCCAGAAAGCTGCAGTGCACTTCTTAGAATCCTCACAATCATCTCTACTTTCCCTATGCCATGCATTTACATGTCTACCTCAAGCAATACATAATTGGCTTTGCAGGTTCATGTACCCAAAGTACACTGGAGTTCGTAATTTATTGGATGTTAACCCAGCCTGAATTATTTTGGTGAGATCCAATAGAATACGCCGCTATTTTCTAGCAATTCCTTATTTTATTGTGTACATGTAGATTTAAATTTTAAATTCAGCAACCAGCGTGCGTGACAAATATTTAGTTGAAAATTTGATTTTAGCAGTTATCCTCTGGGAATAAAATTCAAATTGTAGTTATAAATTCCAGTAAGCCCTGCAAATAATGCTTTATGGAGTAACAAGACTATTTTGGCAAGACCCTTCCAAATGAAGTCAATGACATCAGGATCACTGCACTCCAGGAGAATTTTCGTTCCTCGTCCTATTTTCTTTTAAGAGATTAGTCAGTTTTTGATTTAAACCCAGGCTTTATTTACGTATCTCGTGGAAATTCTGATGATTCAGCTGGTTTAATGGCTTGTCAGCAATTTCGTCAAAAGGGATTTTTTTGTTCTGTAGACACTCACACTAGACGGCACTTACTGGCCATCGCAGTCTAGTGCATTTGACGGTTTGACCACTATTAGAAAGTGAACCATGGATAAAAGTCTAAGCTTACCGGAATGGATGTTGAAAGTGGTAAGTTTCCAGTACGTTTTGATATCAAATTTTTATCCGTTTTGACCACCTTGCCTTTTGTGAGGTAATACCTCTTTTAGGTTAAAATTCTAAATTTACTTACCCCTTTTATTAGTATTGAAACCTTCAGAATACTTAATTAAGGTTATCGGTATATTTGATAAAGATAAAAAAAAAGGTCAAAACAGCTTGTCTTAAAAAAATACCACCGTGTCACTAAATTTATCTTTTTTCATCATTTTCAGAAGGCAAAATCCGAAGAAGAAAATAGTTTAATATCATCTCAAACTGAAATTTATCATATAGCATCTGAAAGTGAACAAATTCTGTAAGTGTGGTGTTTATTTTCTTGCAGCATGTTCTGTATAATGTCCTTTCTTAGGCCATGGTATCAGTAGGTGTGTGTAACTCGACTTCATCAGAACTGTTTTTATTCATTAGAACTCAGTGGTTTCACTAGGTGCGTATTCTGACTATAGGCATACCCCTGGTCTTTAACAAAGATGGAATACGATAAGTATTTTTTGGAAAATCCGCTGTTAAAAGTTTTAGTTTTTGAATTTTTTACTGTATAGATTAAAAAGGAGTGTACCGTATGCTTTTTCAAGATCTTTCGAGTCGCTCGTAAAATTTTTACAAATATTTTAGAATGAGAGCTATAACAAAGTTAAAAATATAATTATAGACCAATATATAGAATATCAAAACTATCAACTGTAAACGTGATATTTGCTTCATTTGATTGTTCCGATGGACTTGTCAGAAACATTGTTCATAAGAACACGCATCCACTTTAACCAAAGCCTTACTGTACAAACACAATATTGGTCAAAAGTGATCAAACATTTTAATTTTGCTTATATATGTACATCATGTTTATGGTGGTCAGTGGTCCATATTATGGATTATTGTTAACTTTATTGATTAAAAAACTACATTATAGTTTAGATGTATTATTTGGAAAACAAATTGCTGTTCTGATTCAACAAGCTCATCCAAGTACAGATTCTAATGTATTATTTGATTGTGAAATCTGACAGCCAGGTCAGATAGAGAGTGTGCATGTGTTTTGACCATAGAATCAGCAATTTAAATCACAATCAGATGAGATGTGTGCATTCAGCCAGAGCCCAACCCACTGGCCTACTACATGGTTTTTTATCAATCCAAAAACTAAATTGTTATTTCTCAGCCATCTGATTTACGTGGGTTTTGAGTTTTGACACTTTGAAAGCTTAGAAGAATCAATTTTACATCTAGACTACCTGATTCAATTTATTAAGCATTAGTACCCTGATTATCAATCAAATAACTTAATTTCAAGAAGTTTGAATGTAGTTACCCCCACAATTATACATCAAAATTGGCTCAGTAATATATTATTTTAAATTTAAAGTGTAAGTGGGGCTTACACTCTACATGCTTATTGCTAAATGATAGGAGAACCTTTAGCGGTCACGCTTAATTATTCTTTGGAGGGAACGTAGGGGTTCAAAATACAACTAACCAGAAAATAGGGTTCAGAAACATTTATTTCTACACTGGACCATCTTAACATTGTAAAAAACAAACAAGTCAAGTCAGCCAAAACTCTAGCTCTGAGCATGAGCTTATTTTCAAGAGGACTTACCCAAACACCAGTTTCACATCTTTCAGGATTTTTCTGCAGCTTCCTGGATCTTTAACAGTCGACTCTATTCGAATTTTCATAATGGCTAGGTCCTAGCTGGCTGAGTCTCCAACTGAGTATGGCTATTTGACTGAGTCTTCCACTCGACTGTGGTTGCTGAGCTCTCACTAAGCTCCCGATTCCGGCTGACTGAATACTCCTGGCTCTGACTGAATCCGTCCTTATGTTTGCTGCTTCCAAAATACTCAATAGTCCTGCATCAGGCTCTTTGACAGTTGACTCTATTTGACTCGTCTTGGCCCTGGACAGTTGATGTCATGTCTCAGCCGCTGCCTTCAAATGTCCCTGTGTCACCGACTGACTATCTTTGCTTTTCAAATCATCTCCTTTTGTATCAATTTTCCACAAGGGTGGAGGAGGAATGGAAAACAAAAAATGTTGGCCAGATGGCCAACTCCCTTCTTTCATGGTCATGATTTGATCGGCTGTGTAACAACTAGTAATTTTTAGGAGTTTGCATTAGTCCCTTGCAGCAAAGCGGTGTACAAAGCCCTTCTCGGACCCAAATTTATGGTGTCCCTCAACTTGAAGAACTATGTCTGAGACCTTCTCACACTAAATAACTTCGACATTTTTTATTTATTGAGCGCTATTCATCCGTCTCGTTTCTATGCCTTCTAAGTTTGTGAACACCCAAAACATTTTTCTAATGGTGTGGAAATTAAGATGTGCTCCATCTTTACAAAAAGAAAATCAAAGTTTATCACTGAGCTTATGCAAGAATGTCAAAATCTAACTGGTGTCAAAAAATGTATATTTGTCTATAAATTTTATATTCTGTCAACATTTTGTAAACTCAACTGTACAACAGATATTAATAGGTTGTGGATATTGTGGTAGCATTAATGTAAGCTTGAGTTCATATATAAAACAACGGAAAATATTGTGTGGATGAGGTAGATTTCTGTCACCAATTAAAATAAAACATGAATCAAAGTTGTTTTTTTTTTAATTATTTAATTTATAATATTTATTTACAAGTTAATTTTAGTTATGAATAAGTTTAACCCCTCGAATTTTATATTTGTGAAAAACAGTCTGTTGCTCCTTTAGATAAGATTAATGTAGGAACCAGCTCCTTTACAACCTGGCACCGCGGCCAGTTTTGGTCTATTGTGCATCTCCATTGTTGTCTAGAGTTCCTAATTAAGCTTAAAACTTTCTACCAGCTTCCAAAGTTTTTTCAAGCACCATGTGTATCCTTCAGACCAGGGCTTTTCCTCTCCCAGGAGGAATCTCAGCCTGTATATAAGCTTATCTTATATAAGATAAATAAGATGCAGTAATAATTGAAGAACTTCCTAAAATCTTCCCAAAGTTATTTATAAAGAATGGTGTATCTGCCTCTTGTGTCATATTGCTTTATTAATTGGATGAACTCACATTATTCTATTCTTATTGTTTTTGCCTAATTAAATACCAAAGTGCTACAGCTTCTAATTAGTCCATTATATAAATATGGACCTAAAACCTTTTTAAGAGGTCCAGAGAGTCGCCTGGATTCTCTTTGTATCTCATACCACCACTATTTGAACCGGACTTTAGTAGTCTGGCAATTATTCTTGTCCTTACCCGTCCTAGATTTAGTAGTTCTGCCATTAATATCTGTGATGGTTCTTTGATGAACTTTTTTTGCATACCTCTCCCCTGGGCTACATTCCCATCGAATGGATGACATTTTCTGATAGGAACATGTTTTTGGCAATTTGGTATGCCATAAAAGGATTCAGGGGCAATAGGTATCGTCATCGAACTTTCCTAGGGCAATTTATTTGTAAATATATGGCATAATATGTGTGTGAAGGGGGGAAAGATTGTTCTCTATTAATTTAGGATTACTATGCCATTGTTGAATAATTCTTCATTAATTACCAGTCATTTACAATAAAATTACTTTTTGTTGTTGTATATGTGTCCACAAGTTTTAGTTATTGTCTAATTGGACAAAATTTAAATAAATTCTAGTTCAACATTTTTCAGGGAACTTTTAGATCGTTTTGAAGGTGATTATAAAATAATAAGCCTCGATTTGGATTGGCCTTCTAAGATATCAAATGTTTTAGCCAAATCCACCAGAATGCATTTATGCATAGGAAGCAGTGCTTGTTTAGTATTTTCGGTGAGAATATTAAAATAATTTTAAATCAATTTATCTCGTGCATTTATTTCTTGATAAATACTTAATTTTTTTTACAGATAAAAAACATTACATCACTCCCCATTGCATTTCTTTCTGTATTGAAACATCCTAAAGTAAAACTCATAGGAAATAATATAGTTAAGTAGGTTCAAGTTTTTTTTTTTTTTTTTTTTTAAAGCTTTGAGATGTGTCTTTTTTCAGCGATCTCTTAAAATTAAAGCAGGATTTTAACATTGATGTTGAACATATTTTAAATAAAAATATACAGCTGACGAATTGGGATAGAGAATCTTTATCGTGTAAACACAACTGGTCCCTGGATAATAATCTCAGTGTAAATTTCATATTTCAATATTGCCCCAATGTTTAAATAGTCATTTTTCATTTTGTGTTTAGATTACTGTGGACCATGAACCAAAAATTCCTGATGATGTTGAGAATGAAATCATGACGTATGGTGGTAAAATTATATTTTGCAACAACTTTTATGATTGTGCGATAGCTTCAGAGAAACTCTTGTAAATTGATTTGTTTTAATTTATTAGGGTTGTAATTATACAATTTTGATATATTTTATTTATCTTTTTAGAAACATGGCTGAGGAAAAGGAAAAGTTTGTAATAGGTTTTGACTTAGAATGGCCTTTTTCACGTTACACTGGAAGAGGGAAAGTAGCTCTGATGCAATTATGCCCTAACCCCGATGAATGCTTTTTATTTCATGTAAGCGTTCTCAAAAGTATATGTCTAAAAATTATAATCAAACCCATTATTTTCTGATATTTTGTAGGTCTCTGAGTTTACAAGTTTGCCTAAGGCTTTGGTAATTTTTTTAAAACGGAAAAATGTCTTTTTGACCGGGGTCAATATAAAACAGTTTGTCTACTTGCCTATTGTGTCTCTAAATAGAGAGGAAAAGGTTTAAAAAAACCCAAATATTTTTCAGCGATTTGAAGAAATTGGGGACCGATTTCAAATTTGATGTAACTTCAATTATCGAGAATAATCTGATTGAATTAAACACATTTGCAAATCAAACTTTAAAATGTTCACAAAATTGGAGCTTAGCAAGGCTGGTTTTGCATTTGGTAAGACTTTATACAAAATTAAAATTCGATGGGATAAACAGTCAATTCAAATTTCTTGTATTATTATGAATAATAAATATTTATTATATAAGAGAATTTTCCCCTTAAAATATTCTTTTTACATATTTTTTATTTAAAAAGTATTAAATTTTAATTTCTTGTACTACTTATTAATTAGTTTTTTTACAGCTAAATCAAACTCTGTTAAAAACATCAGTTCGTACCAGCAACTGGGCAAGCAGACAACTGACAAAAGAGCAGATATCGTATGCTGCAACTGATGCTTATGTAAGAAAATTGTTATGCAAAAAAATTATAAAATTTTAACTTATATTCATTTCCAGGCATCCTTCTTATGCTATAAAACTCTTCAAGATAAATTAAGATGATTAATCAAATAGGTGTTGCACACCTTGGCATGATGAATTACATTAAATCTTGCATACTCCAGAAAACAATTGCCGAATCGATACTCTCAAAAACTTGCCCGTGGCCTGGAGGAGCCCTCCTTCTTCTAGAGCATCCGCCTGTTTATACTGTTGGAATCAGAACGAAAGGGTATACATCCCAAGACGAGGAGAGGTTAAGCGCACTGGGAGCAGATTTTTACAAAATTAATCGCGGCGGTTTAATTACTTTCCACGGACCGGGTCAATTGGTAGTGTATCCAATTATAAATTTAAAACTGTGGAAACCAAGTGTTCGGTGGTACATAGAAAATCTCGAAGAGACTGTAATAAACGTCTGTTCCGATTTATCTGTGAAAGCGAGCAGGTTGAAGCCTTATCCTGGAATATGGGTCCAAGAAAACAAAATATGCGCCATAGGTGTACGCCTGAGTCGTTACATTACGAACCACGGTTTAGCTTTAAACTGTAACGTCAATTTGAATTGGTTTAATCACATTGTGCCTTGTGGGATTGAAGAAAAAGGGGTTACCTCATTGAGCAAAGAACTGGACAAAGATGTTAAAGTAGAAAATGTTGTACCTGTCTTTTTAGATCAATTTAAAAAACAATTTAATTGTAATTTTATACATGTGAAAGAGGAAGAGTTTAATCAACCTCTTTTCCACACTCAAAAATATAATTGTTAGTAATTTTTTATAATTAATTTATTAAATTTTGTTACTTGTTCAAATATTGATAATAGAAAAAAATTAGAATTTATATCAATATCAGCCTGAATTATCCTACTGCCTTTTTCCTTAGTGAATTTAATTTTGTTTAATTAATAAAGAAGAGCATCAGCACTCAACATGACTCAGCAATTACACATCTGCACAGAAAACACACATTTCGAGCCCTGAAGATGATCTCAATAAAGGTCGAAACGTTGGCACAATAAAGAAAATATTTTTCTAAACCTACATCATACCAGACCGCATCTCACAATCTCTAAATAATCATTAATTAACTAAAATTTTCTCCACTCTTTACTTATTACCCTTTCTAACTAGTTTTTTAAAATTTTCAAAGCTGGCCCGAATTCAATTTTTTTTATATACCTTTATTTCAGTTTTTAATGTGGTTAGTTAAAGTACTTTTTTCTTCATTTATCTTTAACCCTGTATTTTTCCCGCTTCATTTAATCAAATATGATCAGGTGCCATTCATAAGGGAATTTCATTGATTAATCTGCAATATGTTAAAATATACCTTTAATTATTTATAACAAATACATAAAAACCATTTAACTTTGTGAAAACCATTGTCCAAACAACAACTCCAGTGAGCTTTCCTTGTTTAGAGTCATAAAATCACAAACTTGAAATGGAATTTTTATAAGTTTTATTTTCTTTTAAATGATACCACAGCTTAAGTATCGACGTAGTTTTCTTTTGGAAAAGCCTCTATTAGCTCAGGGGAGTTAATTTCAGCTGTTCTACCACCTCCTTGCACTTCTCCGATAATCCATGCATCATAGCCTTCAACATTTTTTATATCCTTGCAGAACTGAGCAGCGTGTTCTGGTTTGAAGCATATCAAAAGACCTCCTACAAAAAAATAACATAATAAAGTCAATGTTGAAATTACAATAAGTATTTTGTTTAAACCTGAGGTTTCAATGCCTCTGCCCGTCAGCAATTGAAATCGGTCGTTAACGGCTTTATTGACATCAGCCATATGAGCAATAATGGGGAGTTTTTGTATACAGAATGTTACATCATTTTTTTGATGTCGGGCTAAGTTTTCTGCATGTCCGAGCAGCCCAAATCCCGTAATATCTGTGGCTGCATGTGCATCATAGACTTTCATAAGCTCCGCAGCTAAAATAAAAATGACAAAATCGCTTGTGAACAATAAATATTAGTATGATAGTAGGATGTTAAGCCAACAAGAATTACTTTATAGCATGTAATGTACCTATTTTGTTCAAGCGTGCCATTGAATCGACAGCTTGAAAGTAAGCGATTTTCATGTCCTGTTCGGAAATAACGTGTTTAATGTTATTCCATTTTTCAGGATCTTTAAGCCAAGGATAAGCGAATGTAGCAGTTTGCGTTCCTAAAGGTTTAGTCAATACCAAAACATCACCTGGTTGTGCATTGTCAGGGCTAAAATTGTATAAATGTCATACAAGTTTTATAAGAAAGTTATTTTTTCAATTACACAACGACATCAACAGATCTGCATATTGTTGTAGCGACACCGCCAATAACACACCACGGGTTGTAATTGGTGTCTCCTCCTCTTACAAAACATCCAGCTTCTTTGGCGGCATCCTGTTTAAGTTAACAAAGTATATATTTATTTTTCAAAATTCTTATTTAAATAATACCTTGAATCCTCCCATCATTAGAGTGTAAATGGCAGTTTGTTCTGAATCATTCATTTCAGTTGAAACGCCGACTAACATTAACATGTTATCACAATCCGTCACTCCCATGGCGTACAGATCACTTAGAACATTAGCACAAGCAATCTTCCCTGTAATGAACAATATTAAAAAATTATTATCATAGTAAACTTATCAAAATAAAATCAATACCCATAATGTAAGGATCGTCAATCAAAGGATATAAGAAATCTGTAGTCTGAATAAGAAAGAGAGATCCATTTTTTATTGGTATCATCGCTGAGTCAAGGCCGATTCCTAAAATTTGATCAAATTTAGTATTTTTTATTTTGTAAAGAATTTGGAATATCTTTATTACCTACTACAGGAGAACTACAAGAATGGCTATCTTTGGAACTATCATTTGACAATTGAGGATTTTCATGATCTGTATTTGTGGATAAACCTAAATTTAAAACAAAAAGTGTAATAGACTTGCAAATATGTGGAAATATAAATAAAATGTTAGCTCTAAAAATATATTTTTAACAACAAACAAAAACTTCATTTTTTACATAAGAAAATTATATATAATATTGTTTTTACTGCTGAATGAACATAACATTATGACACACTAAATTATTTAAAATAATTTTTTTCCTTTTATTAATAATATTGTGTGGTATTTAGTGATCGTTAGACAATGATTATTCAGAGATCATGAGATATGGTCTGGTGTGACGTAGGTTTTAGAAAAACATTTTCTTTATCGTGCCAACGTTTTGATCTTTATTGAGATCATCTTCAGGGCCTGGGATTTATAAACATTGTTTAAATTTTATAAAAACACGTAGGATGTGAAACAATTGAATTTATACAAAGCTAGAAAATTTTAGATTTTAAAAATGAATTAGTACAGTGCTAGAAAATTTTAGATTAAAAAAAATGAATTTATATAATGATAGAACATTTTAGATTTAAAAAGAATGAATTTATACAATGATAGAAAATTTTAGATTCAATCAAAGTATTTGTACTCAATCAAAGTGTTTGTTTTCCCTGTAGTTAGGTTTATGTGTTTTTATAGATCTGTACAGTTTTGGGGGCATTGGAGAATTGTTTTGAAGTGATTTGTAGGTGTATTTCAATTTCTTTTTGTTTCTTGGAGGATTTTGTTTGATTTTTGATGAGAGAAAGGGTAGGGTCTGATTTGATTGTGCTGTATGTGTTTGTGTCGTTGATAATTTTGTTAATTTTTCCTTGTACTCTTTTTTGCTGATTGCTACTGTTTATTTTGTTTTATCAGCAGAAAGAATGAGTATGTCAGGATTATTTTTGAGATTTTTTTTTTGTTTTGGTGTATGTTTGTTGTGATGTTGTGTTGACTTGTACTACACGGAAGACAAACACTTTGAGTGAGTACAAATACTTTGATTGAATCTAAAATTTTCTAGCATTGTATAAATTCATTCTTTTTTAAATCTAAAATTTTCTATCATCATATATTTTTTTTTTTATCTAAAATTTTCTAGCATTGTATAAATTCAATTTTTTCACATCCTACATGTATTTGTAAAATTTAAACGATGCTTATAAATCCCAGGCCCTGAAGATGATCTCAATAAAGATCGAAATGTTGGCACGATAAAGAAAATGTTTTTCTAAAACCTACGTTACACCAGACCACATCTCACGATCTCCGAACAATCTTTAATAATAATAATAAAACTTTATTAAAACCTTATGCCGTCTGCTGAGTTTGTTGCTACTTTTTCAAAAATGTAAGAACTATATAAAGTTGAAAATCTAAAATGTAAAGTGCTCCTAATTAGAGAATTTTCACAGATTAACTTTTTAAATAATTCATTATACCTAAACAGCAAAGCAGGGATTATTTAAAACAAATACGATGCAGGGTCGCTTACATATATGATAACCACTCTCTCACTCTCCATGCCTTTCAGACGTACTTAATTAAGCGATGATCATCAGTCTGTCCACTAGAAATGACACAATTTCTTCCCTCAGAAAGTTTTTTTCTTGCCGAAATACGGGGCTCTTACTTCCCTGAGTTGTGGACATATCCAAGAAATGATAAGAATCCAAGAAACATTTTTTTAAAAAAAGATGGTACGAATTCTCTCTTATATTTAAATTACAGAGCAAGCACATTTCAAAATTTGAGTCCTTTTGTTAGGTATGGTTTGTAATTCAGATAGAGAAATTCATCCTGGAGATTAATAAACCATCTTAACTCACCCAGGTTCTCTTGGACCACTGGTTTTTGATGAACTTTATATTCTGTCATAATTATTAAACAATGAAAATTGATCCAAAGTTCGTTCGATACACTCTTCTCAATAAACAGTACCTATTTTAAATGGGAGCAGTGATAAATGATCACCCCATAATTACATAATATTTTTGGGACCTCTCTTTGAATCAAAAGGTTTCTAATACTTGAAGCACAATAATTTTGAGAAATATCAATTTGGAAGAGATAGAGATGTTAAACAGTATTTTATGTGAAGTGAGAGATTAAATGAAAATAGCGGAAAAAAGGCAATTTCAATGGCCAATATAAAGTTTGAGGTAGCCAATGGTAAAACCCATTGCTGTTGGGAAAATAAATCGCATTATCACTAGTGATGATTTATATGATGACACAATGATGATAATCTTGACTTCCAATCAGCGTGCTTATTTGAAACAATTTCAACCAAAACTGCCGAGAGATCTTGGCTGGCATGTTCCAGCTTTCTTTTGTTAGTTGTAAGTGACCTTACTGGAATTTTTAATACCAACTCTGTGCATACAAATCACCATGTCTTTTCCCGCATTCCTAGTTTTGATCCATAACCAAGAACAACCTAACATGTGATTTTTTGGAGCCATCAGTGTACCACTAAAGCATCGTTACATTGGTTTAGTTCAAGGAATTTTTGTTTGAACTCTAATGGGTTTGTTTCCTGTTTTCGGGTGGAGAAAAATCAAATTTAACTTCTGTAAGTAGCCAGGGAGGGGTTAGGGGCTGGTTTTTTTAAATATTTTTTATTTGATCTGGATCTATATTGGATTGTAAAAGATATTCATTGGTATGTATTTTTTTAATAAATACTGAATTGATTAAAATCCATTTGCAAACAAATGAAAAAACGCACTTTTCTCTAAACGTCGGTATTGTAGGTAATTCTTCTACAAGGTACCAAATTTCAAATGTTACCTTAATAAATTGAATTACATAATAGATGAAAACTACTGACTATGTTCGTCACTTCTAGCTGGGTTTGTTACAAGCCCCTCCAAAAGTTTCATAAGAACCTTTTGTGGGACTTTACAGCCTCACCCTCTGAGACCGGCGTAGCTGGTGAGTTTGAAGTTCTGCGGAAGACTCCTGTAATAGGGATAAAGTTCCTTTGGAATGGGCTTTCCTGTCTCAGGAGGCTCCATGTCCTGTTTATCAAAAAAAAAGTTTCATTAGTATAGATTATAATTTTTGTAATATTCTAGACAGGCATACTTGAAAGTTTCTTCTGTGGAACCTATAAACTTAAGACAGAAAACTAGACTACTTGGCAGGATCAGACAGTTTTGGTGTAACCTCAACTGTAAAAAAAAATAACCTTTGAAAGATTGATAACCTCAACCTGATTGATGTTGTAATGTATAACAAGGGTAAAGCCTCAGTTGACCACCAATAATGGGGGCGTCTCATTTATCGCTTTCTGCGGCTTCTTGTTACTCCCATTTCTAATACATAAAATATTTTTTCTGTCTTTATTTTTTTAATCATAAACAAACTTTTAAATCGCGATTTTTAAACGAAGTCCAATGTAGAAGTCAGTAAATAACAAAGATAATTTTAACCATATTGCAATTAGAAGTATTAAAAAAAATTTATGAATTTTTCCCCCCTAATAAATTATTCTTGCTCTGATAAGCTGACTCAGATATAATAACTATTTGGCAGATATGACTGCATCCCAGTTCAGGTAAGTTCAATTTTTTTTGCATTGGCAAATGATAAAATTTTAAATGTTAAACAAGCAAGACTTAAAAATTTATTTCTCAATATGGCATACAAAGTAAGCGTATCAATTAAATTAATTCTACCTCGATGTCTTGGTTGTCCCAGATCTAACACCACATTACAATTTAAATTAGTAATTTTTAGCATTTAAAAACATCTATGATTGATCCTTAAATCAGTGACAGTCAGAAATGATAGTCATGACTGGAGCATGGATGCAATTACACATCCTTTTTGTTAACACTTACAACCATGGTGATCAGATATTTATCTGAATCATACCTCTATGGTAAGGTGGTTTAAATTTTATTCTGCACATTTTTGCATATTTGAAAAAAATATTGCAAATGATTTTTTTTAAATAATTAGAGAAATAAAAATAAATCAGGAGAATAGGAACATGAGAGGAAAAATACAATATCCTAAAATTTTATTCACATTTCTTAACTTTTCAGGAATAAATACATAAACAAACCAACAAAATAGATTTCTCTAGAAATAATCAGTATCTTATTTAATTATAATAATAATACATAATTGAAGAAATAAATATCTACCAGTACATACTAGTATAGTATACCAAGAATGTAAATAACTCATTGAATTGTTAAATCGTGATATTGAATTTGAAATCAATGAGTCACAGAACAATTAAAAAAAGATAATGTTGTTTTGAAATGCCAAGAAAAGTTATGACAACATTCCAAATTGTTTTGATTAAGATAACAGCTTTTATTGTCCCATATCTTTATGAAATGGAAAAAGCTTGTTTTTTTATCTTACATTTATGCTAAAGAAGTAATTTATTTTAAATTGGCATTTTTTAAATACTTTTCTCCATGATAATTGATTAAATTGTGATGTACTGCAACCAATTTTTCTCTGTTGACAAACACTTCTTAATAATTTGTTGAAAAACAGGATTTATAGTTAGAACTTTTTGTAATTGAGTTACTATGGGCCAGATCGACAGAATAGCTTTCTCGTATCAAGAGCACTGTCGATGAGTGGCCCTCGGAGGATCAGACTCTCAGAAGAAGGGCCATCCTTACCCAATTAATAATAGGCCATGCGAGGTTGACTCACGGACACTTACTTTCGTGCCAAAGCCCGCATATGTGTCCGGCATGCAGATAAAGGTTGTTTGATGTGTCCCACCTGATGGGTGCAATTCCTTGGCTCCATATAGGAATGCCACCCAATTGGAGAGTTGCACTTGAGCACGACAGCGAATGTTTGGGTCCAAGTCTGGGATATAGCAACCAAGTCAGCTATAACTGTAAATCTGGGTTGAGCTTATTTGCAAAAGTTTGCAAGTTACTTAAAAGTCTTTTACCCCAAACGATGCTCGCCAATACTAGCTTCCAAATCACCCCTTCGTCCTCCAGGATCTTCTTCCTATAGCTTCCTGGGTCCTTGGCAGTTGACTCTATTCGACTTATCACAATGGCTGGTCCTTGCTGGCACTTGCTGGCTGAGTCCTCTCGCTGAGTCCCAGATAGAGTATGGCTGCAGTCAGTTGGAGTCCCTGAATAGGACTGTTCTGAACTGGACTAGATTGCTCTAGACTTGGGATTTTCAAATCATCCCTTTTTATATCAGTTTCTCTACCAGAGTAGGGGCGAAAAGGAAAATCAAAAGTCAGGGGAGTTCCCATACCATGGGTGGGATCCTCCTGGTGGCCCCTGTCAGGGTCTGTGACACCCTTCAGATTTACAGCCTTTTTTTTGGGTGGTCCTTTAAACTAAGTTTTTTAAAATTATTTTAACAATTACAACTTACTTTATGATGGGGACCGGCTTACTTATTATTTTTAAAACATAATAGTATTTATTTGATAAGGTATGGCACTCTTGTTTGCTGTTGAAGCACCTTTTAATAAAATAATAAAATCCTATCTGACAGACTGGTACTGCCGCTCTTATTAATGCGAGTGTCCCCCAAGGCAGCATCCTAGGGTCCTTCTTATTCACAATTTACACAGCCTCCTTTCATCTAATACTGATCATTCCCTCTCATAGCCACAAATGAATCTTAATGGAAAACCCATTCCAACTTCAGATATTTTTGCTACCTGGGCTATACATTGACAAAAGACTAATGTAAAGAATCTCATACATGACTAAAAAGACAGAAAATTAACCAGTGCTACAAATTATTCCTTAGATTACTTGACTGTATATCTAACCTTACAAACAAACTCAACTCAAGAGACCGATATAGACATATGGAATTGAAAATGGGGGATCAAAGAAAATATCAAATTCCTAGAAAATCCAAACTATCCAATCAAAAATATTAAACTGTACCAACGTTCAAACTTAAAATCGAGAATGACCTACAATAATAATTTGTAATTGATATTATTAAATTCTGATATAAAAAATTCCACAAATATTTAAACTCACAACCTCCAAATAATCATTAAGTAACAGTCACTACACACCACAGGAAAACAAAAAAAACACTTCATTCCACTTCTCATTTAAAACAGTTGTGGCCGAGAGATCTCTTGAGAGATTGATTGGCTCAATGTGAGGGAGTGTCACTAGCTGGGTGACTTGTCTCATGTGTAACATGCTAGACTGTCAATCCTATCTCATTTGCTTGTTACAACTAAAAATCACAGTTGTAAAAACAATTAAATTTGAAAAAATACAATTTTATATTTAACAAATTGCATATCAACATAAAATGCTTATATTTTCAGCAAAGTCGATGAATATGGGTTCGAAAGGCCAGAAGATTTTGACTATGCCATGTATGAAAATTTCATATCCCAGTACCTGAAAATATTAGCTAAGCGGTCAAAAAAATGGTCTACCATCATGGCCTCTGGAAAGTCCCTAAAAAAATATTCGGGCCTAAAAGCAGACATCAGAAAAGGGATTCCAATCGAATTTAGAGAAACGGTGCACCTTTTTATTAAATGATTTTAACATTGAGTTCAGTGTAAATAAATAAGGCCATTTCAGGTTTGGATGATTGTCAGTGGAGCCTATGACGAACGTGAAGCATGTGGTAGCAACTACTATGTCGAACTGTTAGAATCCTTCCACAACCCGACTGTTGCCGAAACAATTAAAACAGATTTACCTAGAACGTTTCCTGACAATATATTCTTTAACGTTACCAATGAACACCAACAGCAATTGTACAGGGTGTTAATAGCCTACGGACAGCATAATCCAACTGTAGGATATTGCCAGGTGATTGCAACATTTACCTTTGTAATATTAAAAATGAACTTTTTATTTTGCAATCATTCTAAACTTTAACGACCTTTTTCCCTCAATGTTATATGAAGTTGATTTTTTCTACAGGGAATGAATTACATTGCCGGATTGCTATTGCTTGTAACGAAAAATGAAGAATCTACTTTCTGGTTGCTGAAGGTAAGCTGGATAATCAAATAATAAAATCCTGATTAATTACTGGCATAAATGTACAATTCCCGTGCCCATGGTATGAAATAAGATTTGATGCTAATTTTTTTTTTTCTTTTTGTACAAATATGCCAGGTTCTCTTAGAAAAAATCTTACCTGATTACTATGGTCAGACCATGGAAGGTCTTTTGACAGATATTGAAGTTATTTCCGAGTTAGTAAGGTATGTATTTTATTTTATTATTTTATTTTCGTGCTAAAATGACTTTTTATTTTATTTTTGAGACTGAGGTACCCGGATGTTAGTGCTCACATGACAAAACTTGGTTTACCATGGCCTGTTGTAACAACCAAATGGTTTGTCTGTCTCTATTGCGAAGTACTTCCTACTGAAGTAAGATTAATTGGTCAAATTAAAAATATTCCTCATCGTAAAATTATTTTTGAATTTATAGACCGTATTACGAATATGGGACTGTTTATTCAACGAAGGTTCAAAAATATTGTTTAGAGTTGCACTATCTATAATTGGGATTCATCGTGCTGATATTTTGGCTTGCGATCAGTTCTCAGATCTCAGCGATTGCATCAAGAACATAACCAAAGGGCCTACTACTTTATACTGCCATAAATTCATGCAGGTAAATTATTTATGATGTTATGTTAATCCTATATAAAAAAAAATCTTTGTTCCGGTACAGGCGATATTCACCATACCTGGCAAATTAAGCAGTAAGGCGTTAACTAAAATGAGGAACAACATAGCCAAATCACGCCACCTGAAGAACAAAGCTGATTAATTAGGTAATTCTTTGTTCCCATGATATAATTAATTATAGTCTCTGAGCCTAAGTCAAAACTTTGTAACAATTAATTATTTATTTAAAAACAATATTTATTAACTTGTAAAGTTGCTGTGATAAATAAATTCGTTAAACGCTCAGGTCATGTTTCAAGATAGATTTTCACCAGCACTTATTGTTTGGATGTACTGTCTTTGAAATGTTTATTACTTAATTTTTAATTTATTATAATTTATTCTACTTTTTTGACTTTTAATGTTGAATTGAATTAGTTTGGATTTGTTGTTATAACGGAATTTTCAATTTGGATCTTTCAGCCATAGCAACATAAGACTGTCTTATCAGCAATTTTGTATTATTAAAACTTTGTTATTAAAAAAAAAATTAAAATCTAATCACAGTTTAATTCAGTGTATTTAAATAAAGAATATTTTGTGAGGAATTTGGGTGATTATTAAAAATTAACATGGCTTGTAATTTTTTTAAATTTCAACAGTGCTGGTGAATGTTGCAAATGGTTCAAATAGAATTGTCTAGTCAGTTCCTGTCTTTACGATTTTTCCCTCCGTTTCAACAAAAAATCACGCTCAATACTTTTGTTGAACTCTTGCCCACATATTGTCATTACACATTTTTTACCAAAATATAAATGTTCGCTAATGACATTTGATAATTACTTAGTATGGAGTAGTATTGTTTATTATTTATTAAATCAATTATTTGTTCAGTATCATTTATAAATTAAATTGGAAATGTATTTATATTTATATGATAAAATTTTGTATTATTATATAATTATTGTGCTTTGTTGTATGTACAACTTAACATTTGTGAGAAAAAAATAAAATTTCTTTACATTTATTAATATTTCTTATTTATTTTAATGTACATTTGGTCAAAACATCAAGAAAAAACATAAGGAGGGGGAAATTTGTCTTGCCACGTACTATGAAATTTTATTATATTTAAATAATAAAAATTAAGAGAAATATATGACTATATTCACAGAAATTTAAAATATGTACAAGACTATCTCGTTTTTTTGCGGATCACAGTCTAATTGTTCATCGCTTAGCACTATTTGTTGCTTTCTAAGTGATCTTTTGCCTCATTAATCTTCGCTGCTATATATGGTGAACCACCTCGGTCTGGATGGTTGAGAGCCATGATCCTTTTGTGCGCTTCCTGCAAGAAAGATACACAAAATAAGGATAGTTTTTAGTTGTAATTTTGCAATGACATTTCTCTACCTTGATTTTAAGCTTGTTGGCCGAAGGGGATATTCCTAGAATCAAACTGGCTTCCCTTTTCGACATCTTTGAATCAAAACCGCCTTTATAGTACTTACTACCTGCAAAAGACTAAAAGTATCTCAGTTAGTACAATTATATTTTTAGCGTATAATTTTATCATGACATTCACAATGTTAAACATTTAACGTTGACGTTGATTTTTGCTCCATGTTTGTATACATGGGTTGAATCCTACACGTCCTAATCAACAAAACTAACTGTTATTCATTTAAATTTATTATTTATGTTTATAAAGGGACCATAATGTCTGAAATAATTAGGATTTTTTCATTGGTTATGTACCAACCATGGCATTCTAATTTATAAAATGTATCATATTTCAAAAAACTGGTCTACGCCTCAATAGTTTGATTTAAAAGCATTATTATACCAAAACAAATCTTTTACTTTATTTATACATAGTATAAGGCTATCTGGTATATTGTAAAATGAAACTGGATTGATGGGCCAAACAAGCTACTTTTAAGGCATTGCTCACGATTCAACCATGAAAATTACTTTAAGCAATTTTTATTCATACGAAACTGATCAACTTTTGATATGCGAATCATTGAATGTTCTTTCTTATACATGGTTTTAACAGCCTTGATCTTATTTTTCTACTCAGCAAAAGTAGGTCCGGCAATTTCCATTTCTTTTATAATAGAACTCAATGCATTTTCCCTCACAACTTTATTTTTATGCTCATCAAGTCACGTCGTTATTAAGCTGTGGAGTTTACAAATCATAAATGTATTAGATATTGACATCTTTTGTGACAAAGATACCACAAATTTTATTCAATTTTTTTATTTTCAAATTTTATTCTGCACTTTTTTTTTAAATATTTCGTGATTTTTTTTCATATTTGAAGAATATTGCAAAAGTTTTCTTGCATATTTTAAGAACATCGCTAATTTAAATACTTTTGTTTACTTATAAAAATGAACATAAACCAGGTAAATAAGAACATGAAAGAAAAGACAAATGAGCCTAAAATTTGATTTGAATTTCAGTTAACTTTCCAGGAACAAAACTTAAACAAACAAACCGACATAATAAAATTCTCTTGCCCCCATTTCCAAAACTTCTAGGTGCAGTTTTCTTTGCCTTTCTTGAAAAATTAAATTTTTTGAAGTAGTGAAAAATACTGAAATAGGAGCCATTTGAAATACAAAAATATCGATGTCAGTCCTCTTTAATATTTTCAACCTGGTAAATCTTAAAAAAAAGAAGCTTAAAATGGAACTTTAATATCTAAAATAGCAAGCTGGATTTTTCCCTTCAACAAAAACAAGATATTAGTTAAATTCATTCGTTCGAAATTAGTTAAATATTAGTGTGTTTTCTGAGACAGTGTTGTGTTCAGAGTATTAGTGAGATTTTAATGTTTTTTGTTTATATATGTTTGATTTTGAAGGGATGGGGAAAGAGCTAGGGCTAGAAATTTATTTTTCTAAGAGAAGTTGGCTTCTTTTAGATCATGTTATTGATAAAGATATATAAACATATCCTATGTAACAATCACTACCCTAAGCACATAATCAACAGACTAATCAAAAACTCACACCATCCACTATCACTAATAACACTACATTAATTTCATCGAACACAGACAAACCAACTTACATATACATTCCATTCGTTCATGGTCTATCCCACAAACATTTCTCTCTTCTGTTAACTTTAAAATAGCCTTCAAAAACTATTCACACTCTTTTTTCCAAAATTAAAGATTCCACACCAGTAGCTGCTTTGAGGTGAAAGGGATTGACAATGGAAAAAAGTTAATAGTTAGCCGTTCAGGATTATTATATACAGGATTATTAGTGAAAAGAGAGATAAATTGTTGGAGATTTAGACTATGTAGAATTGTATGATGTGTGGAGTGTAATGATTGCTTTATATGTTGTATTATGTATTGTGGATATTGAATTTGATTTATGATATTAGCGTAGCTGCGGCTGAGTTTACATGTGACTTTCTGTAATTGATGCTGTGTTTATCTCAGTTGATGTAAACCATTTCTAAAAAGTTATGTTTATGTTATTTTTCTGTGTTTAATATTTTTGGATTATTGAAAACAAAATTATGTTGGTGTTTACCAATACAATTAATTTTACCAATACAACACACCAGACGCATTCACTATAATCATATAATAATAATTTTTAATAATCATTAAAAAAGACATCTTCGATTAAAATACCAGATTAACTGAATTTTGGAAAATTAATTAAATTTTAAATGGAAATGATTAAATTGTTATATGGCTGCAGATTCATCAAATAGGCTACATCCGACAATATAGTTACTTATTAAATTGATGCACTCAGTCTTATGGCTGCAAATTCATCAAATAGGCTACATCCGACAATATAGTTACTTATTAAATTGATGCACTCAGTCTTACTGTTCTTCAGTTAATAAATATACAGCCTAAAGGCTAGTCCACACTTGGAGTGTATTGTGAGTCTACGTGGTACAAGATTTGAAGTCCCATTGAAACAGGATTCGGTGTACAATGTTGCACAACATTGCAAGTGCAGAAGCATGTTCCGGGGGCAACTGTCAATCACCAGTCAAACGCCAGCAGTTGATGCATGTGCTATTTTCCCACCTTCTTTTTTTCTCTCAACAACATGTGGTCAACCGAATTAACTTTAAAGTTAATCAAAGAATTACAAATAAACATTCGCTTGTGGGACCTGACACCTTGGCACAGCCATTTGCAAAAGATTTTCAAAATCTTTAGGTGTCATCTTAAAAAAATGAAAAATCCTATTCCATCTTCTAGTCTTAATATGTCCAAAAGATCACAGCATGTGTCTTGTTACTAAACAATTTTCAAACCCACTAATCTTTGATTTCTTTTATTTTTATTTTTAATTAATAATAACAATGACCGAGAAACATCCGCGAGGCTTAACTCCTGAGACATTTTCTTGGGAACTGCCTCTGTAGAGCAGACATTGTTGCGAAGCAGCCCCCAAAGAGACACGCAACATTGAATCAGGGCTGTTCCCAACAAAGTCGCACAACTTTGATCCTAATGCAGATTAGCCTTAACAGCACACTGTGTTAAATATTGTGAATTTTACCGAAACGACTACTTGACCAAACAACCGCCAAATCATATTAGAGAGCCTAAGAGCTAACTTTTGCTACATATGACATACTTTAAACATCTTTAAATCAAATGTTTAATAGTTAAATTTAGTGCATTGATAAAGTTGATTGATGATTGAACAACAAGAAATAGTTTACTGGGGATTTCGCAACCAATTGTTCGAGGATTTGCCTAAGCAAATTGTTGAGTGTCGAGATGAGACATGAACATAAATATTGATTGATTTTGTTTATCATGGTATGTTTTACCTGTGCATCCATCTTCGGGAAGGATTTGACGGCATCGGCCATTTTCTGGCTCATCGCAGGAGCAGCCTTCAGAGCATATTTCCCGATGAAACCGAGTGCTGCTAAACCGAGCCCGGCCACTATTATTCCCGCTGTCTACAATGGTCATAGAAGGTTTAATAAACAATTAAAAAAAAAAAACTGCAACATTTTACCATTATGGTGATAGACTTGTGTTTAATATACTGACATAAATAGAAAAGATAGTCGAAGACTTTGAAATGACTGCGAATTCTGTAACAAGGCCGTAACCTTCTGTAGCACGTTCACGATGCCTTATCGGTTTATCGTCCTTCCCGCCTAAATCGTAAAGTTCCCGCCCGGAATCGAGAAGGTTTCATTTAGTCGAAGCTAAACCGTTGCCCGTCGCTAAAAGCTCAACACTCAACAGGTCTCCTCATATTAGTTTTCTATTATTTGAATAAAAAAATAGCATAAAATCGACTACAATGGCTGCTAAAAAAGGATCGGTTAATTATCTGCAAATGAAAGGTATTTGATCAAAAATTTTAAAGCTTATTTAATTAACTTATCATCACTGAAATTTTTTATTTTATAGATAAGCTTAAGGAGTTTTTAATCACTTTTGCGGCTACGGATGAAGAAGGAGGTACATTTTTTAAGTACGCCAACCAACTCACGAAGCTCGCTAATCGTGAGCAGGTAATTATAATTTATTCCAAAATAAAGAAAAAACTAAGTACACAAATAGTATGAATGTTCTTATTGCACCATCTAGTTGCAAGAGTACTTACAGGGTACTTCACTGTAAACCCCGTGAAGAAATTTCATAACAAATATAATGCTTATTTTAATCTTATTTTTTAGCAAAGTGACAATAATAAAATTGTAACTTCTGCGTTCTGATCTCTTTGGATCTGCCATTCCATGCTTGTTTGGTCTGTCAGTCTGTTCCATTGCTTCCCCTTGGAATTTCTTTTGAGAATAAGTTTGAGAAAAAAGAAATATTTTTCAAATTTAAAAAATAACGAATAAAATTATCAATTTTGTGGAAATTGTATTATACTTTGAAATTATACAAACATTATTTTGTCATTAGTAACAACTTTAAATAGGATTGAACAAGTTAAACAACAGTGTAACAATGAAGAATAATTAGATTATAACACACAACAAAATTAAAAGATTTAGGTTCCGTTGGAGATTACATTTTTAACTCATGTACTCCATTTTCAGACAACTCTCACTGTTGAATTGGACGATATTTTTGAATTTGATAATAGCCTTGTTGAACCGATAATTGAAAACGCTAAGAGGTACATCAACATCCTGGCTGACATTGTTCAAGATCTACTACCCGATTACAAAACTCAGGATGTAAGTTTTACAAATATATATTAACTTTTCTCAAATTCACAATCGTATTTGTTTTCAGAATATTGCAAAGGATGCTTTTGACATCTACATAGAACATAGGATCTTATTACAAAATCGTGCCAATGCTGCCCACACGGGAGGCAACAATCGAGATCCTTTGAACAGTTATCCTAAAGAATTGATGAGGAGATTGTAAGTTTGGTGGTTTTATATATTGCAATTTTTTGTTTTGATGATGTATTTTTTTTCCCCCAGTGAAATTTATTTCAAAAACTTAACCACTTCCAAACACACCAACATCCGTGACGTCAAAGCACAATACATAGGAAAACTTGTAACTGTACGAGGTGTAGTGACAAGAGCTTCAGAAGTTAAACCTTTGGTTGTTGTTGCCACTTACACATGTGATCAGTGCGGAGCTGAAACATATCAACCGGTAAAAACAAAATTCTTTACTTCTCTTTCAGACGCATCATAAAATTTTTTGAACAATTTCAGGTCACTTCAATGTCATTCATGCCAATACTCGCTTGTCCAAGTGAAGAGTGTAAATCCAATAAAACATCAGGAAAACTCTATCTTCAATCTCGCGGCTCTAAATTTACAAAATTCCAAGAGTTGAGGATTCAAGAACACGTAAGAATTTGCAGTTATTGAATATTATCTATTATTGGAATAATAAAAAAACTCACTTTTTCCAGAGTGATCAAGTTCCAATGGGGACTATTCCAAGATCACTGATGGTATTCTGTAGAGGAGAAACTACTCGTCAATGTGCACCAGGAGATCATATCGAATTAACAGGAATTTACCTTCCTCTTCTAAGATCCGGCTGGCAGCAATTGAGAGCTGGTCTTATTTCTGAAACCTATTTGGAAGCTCATGTAAAAAAAATTACCCATTCGACATATTTTAATTTTTTTTTTAAAGATTCATTTATATAATTTTTGTTTTATTTTCAGAGAATTGAACCCTTAAACAAACTTGATGATAAAATGGGTGAAGGAGAATTGTCAGAAGAAGAGATAAAACAGCTAGCTGGCGATGACTTTTATCAAAAACTTGCAGCTAGCCTTGCACCAGAAATTTACGGTCATGAGGACGTAAAGAAAGCCCTGTTACTTCTGTTGGTGGGTGGAGTTGACAAAAGCCCCGATGGAATGAGGATTAGAGGTGCCGATGTTTAAACATTTTTCAAGTATTTCTTTTATCAATTTATAATTTTTTGTTTCTTTTTAAGGAAATATCAACATTTGCCTCATGGGAGATCCAGGTGTCGCTAAATCACAAATGTTGTCGTACATACAAAGGTTATCTCGCAGGGCACAATATACCACAGGAAGAGGCTCGTCAGGAGTAGGTCTCACTGCAGCTGTAGTAAAAGACCCCTTGACAAATGAATTAGTACTTGAGGGTGGAGCTCTAGTACTTGCTGACCAAGGTATATGTTGTATCGATGAATTTGATAAAATGGCAGAATATGATAGAGTTGCTATTCATGAAGTAATGGAACAGCAAACAGTTTCAATTGCAAAGGTAAAATTTATTATTGCCATGTGCATCTTGTGTTGTTATAAATGTATAATTTAATATATAATCAGGCAGGAATAATGACCCGTCTCAATGCAAGAGTCAGCATTCTGGCTGCTGCTAATCCAGCATTTGGGAGGTACGATCCAAAAAAAAGTGTAGAGCAGAATATTCAGTTGCCGGCTGCTCTTCTATCCCGTTTTGATTTACTTTGGCTTATTCAAGATAAAGCTGAAAGAGATAATGACTTAAGGTAATTTTCATTATTTTATCTTAAATAAGACGTATTGTCTAATCGTGGTCTTATTCTAAAGCCTAGTAGGTACTGGGATTCTTTGAATCGATTCATGTTGCGGGGTAGTCGGGGCTGTGTGATTCATTGTTACAATGCAGCCCCGACTGCTCCGCGACAAAGACCGTGTCCAGACCAAGATTCAGTTCACATTCATCAGTGCCTGTGAAAATGACGGAGGAACTAGCTCTCTCGGGAATTTCCCTTGCTCTTTTTTGCATTGCACGTAGTGAATCCAATCGGAAGTGCATTTAAAAAAAACGCCCAAAAAGATGGTGGGTTCGACAAATATTTCACGGTGGGAATCAGCACAGGAAAAATCTTTTGGACACATTGAGATTAAATGATGGTGCAGGGTTCAGAAATTTTTTGAGGATGTCCCCGACCGATTTCTTACTGAAAATCTTCAAGAAAACGCTCACTAGAACATCAACTAAACAAATGAAGCAAGAGCACTTGTTCCGATTCACGTCCGCACTGGCAAATGTTGCACAAAATTGAGTCAAAGAATCCCACATCCGATGGGATTCAAAAGAGTCCGAAAATGCTAGCGTGCAACACAGCAGATTCATCGCAACAATGAGTCGGGGCAGCCCAGACTTAAGCTAGACGCAGCTGAGACTCTCCCGAGATTCAAAGAATCCCAGTGTGTCCTTTACCTTAACTGGTTTTGACACCATCTTCATTTATAGTGAAACACTGTCCAATCCATTATCTATTATTCAATCGATATTGCCTGTAATTTTGTAGACTTGCTCAGCACATTGCCTACGTCCACAAAAATGTGAATCAACCACCGACCCAAATTCAACCCTTAGATATGTCGCTAATGAGAAGATATATTGATCTGTGTAAAAGAATAACCCCAACAATCCCCCAGAATCTGACTGACACTATTGTTGAAGCATATGTCGACATGAGAAAGGTGATTCTTTTATAAAACTTCACTTTTATTGAAAAGGTGTTTATAAATATATTATTATTTTTGTTATTATTAGGAAGCGAGAAACAACAAAGACATGACATTCACATCAGCACGTAATCTTTTGGCGATTCTCCGTCTCGCAACGGCTCTGACTAGGTTAAGACTCGCCGACGTGGTCGAGTCTGAAGATGTATCAGAAGCGATGAGGCTTCTTCAAATGAGCAAGGCATCGCTTGCCTTCGGGCAAGAAACTGTAGCCAGGTATTTTTATATAACTATAAATCGTATGCAATATCACTACACAGTTTATTTCCAGGCCCTTGTCTGCAGTGGATAGGATATTCTCGGTAATCAGAGAGTTAGCCAGCGGCGCCCAGACTGTCAAATTAAGCGACATCAGAGAAACGTGTGCAACTAAAGGATTTCAAGCCGGTCAAGTTGACGCTTGCTTGGAAGAATATGAACAATTAAATGTGTGGCAAGTAAACCAAGCAAGAACAACATTGACATTTGTATGAATGAATCTACTTTTTCTTTTTTCTTTTTATATTGCCCTTACATTGTCCTCATAATAAATTTTATGCATTAATGTATTCTTGTTCTAATTCATTTAATATTTCTGTGTTGAAAGTAAGAGTTTGGCCTAAGAGTATGGGACAGGGACTGTGATGGAGTGGTTAGGGTGTCCAACTTGTATTTGCCACTCTTAGCAGTTCAACCCTTTCCTTTCACACTAATAAATTACATCCATTATATTTTGTGGTCCAATTGGCCAAATAACTTCTTTCAATTAATTTATCTTTATGTAAGGTAATGGTTGAATTAAAAAGTTAGTGTCACGAGCGGGATTCGAACCCACAACCTTTGGCTAAATACGCCGCTGCTATACCACTTGAGCTATCGTGACTTCGATCCACTCGAATAAATTACTTTCATTCCAATAAATCAACTTAAGCTACATAAAAATGTATATTTAAAAAACCCTATAGCAGGGGAGTCTGATCTGTGCCCAAACGTTTCGCACATGTACCAAAATATTGCATGTGTATATCAAATCTACAATTGAAAAAATGCTCGATCGTTATTTTATCCTTGTATAATGGGTACTTACACACCAGAAGGTGCCTATATGTTATTCTTGTTTGACATGTTTTCAATAAGTTAATAAACAGTGAGATAATGAAAAATAAACAAAATAAATGCTCAGGCAATGATGAAAAGCCAATCAATATAGCAAAATGTATTTAAATAACTAACATGCACAAGGTGACAAATTAAACAGATAAAAAATACTCTTTAAGAACTTTTATTTTACAACTTAAGTCTTTAAAATGTAACAGATCGATTTTGAATAGTAACAAAACTATAAACCAGGAATAAAACAAATAAAAAACGTTTTAAAAAAAAAGCAACAAGTACACTAACTACATACATAAATGAAATCCAAAAAGTTAATTAGAATTTGTTCGAGTATGAATATTTTATTTTACCAATAAAGCATTTTTAAAATAATATAACGATAATATATAGAATTTTCGTGTCATGGACATTCTCGCAACCTGCTTCATATTACTGGAGGATCTCACATTCAGCCTTTGAAGCAGGAAAGCGATGTGAGTATTGCCCTTCAATCAAAGTAAGGCTTTTACCTTTTACCATTGCAATTTTGTTTTTGTTTTAGTCTTACTCCAGTTATACGAATGTTTTAAATACGAGGTTTATCATTTTTTTTTAAATTCTCACAAGGAAAAACCCCTTTTGATTTTATTTAATTTCCCCCTTTTTTTTCTCCTATGCAACTCAATTATTTTGATGTGTCCCTTTGGTTGGTTACAAATGGGAATATTACAGTAATTACTCATTGATAACTTTCTATCGAATTACTTAATTACAAAAATTGCACACTAAAATAAAACAAAAAAGTGTAAAGAAGAATCTGTTACTGAAATAAACAAACAATAAATAATTACTAACAATAATATTCACAAATACTTAATTGATCATAAGCTAACATAATGTTATTATGTAATATCAATAAAATATTACTCAATAAAAATCACATTTCAGCAAATATTACATTATATTCAAGATTATCATTACTATTATATGCATTTTTTTTTTTTTTTTTTTTTTTTACTGCACACTGATTTTTGTTCTGTCTTTATGGAAGAAAAGCCTATGAAAACTGTTTTGAGTTAAATATGACAAAAATGAACATCATGGTTGAAACAATACACTAATTTTTTTAACATTTCACATTACAAAGATCATTAGTAAGTTAAATGTTCAAGAAATAACCAAAAAAATATACATGCATACTGAAATTATCACAATAACATCTACGACTAACATAGCCAACTTTTATAAAATATTATGAAAGACTTTCATAAAAATTCGGTATCAATAAAAATTTTATAATACTTTCTGTCAAGTTGCATTTATATATATATATATTTAAATTTCAAAAATAAAGAAGCCCTAATAAAAATTAAATTAAAATTGTTAATTAGTAAGTTTTGTTTTTTTTTAATTTGAAAGGAATGTTATGTGTCAATGGTAAACAGCCAAATTTCTAGAATGTTAAGGAAGATTCAAAACCTGTTTTAAGCCATTAGATAGCAAGATTTTACTCAGAGATGATTGCAATTTTAAATTGCTAACCGTTTAAAATAATAACTATGAAGATTCTATTATTTTTAAAAGTGGTGATGTAAACTCGAATTTCTATGCCGTAAGTCTTCAAAATATAAATTAGACAGCTTATTGCATAAGAGACAACACTTGTATGTGTGACTAGAAAATAATTATATAAAATAATCAACTTATTTCTATCATTATAACTATTTGGCAGTTAAAGATAAAACAGAATTACAAAATAATAACTAATTTTTTCTGTGCATTATTTGAGCTACATTGGCGTTAATTTTATAATGTATGAATATTAAAAAGTTAAGACTTTTTTTTGTGTGTTCCAATTCATACTGGCATTGCTACAAGATGTAGTTACATGTGTAAATGTTTAGTTTTTATATATAAAGGGTCATTTTAAATTTGCTTAAGCACTCTTCAAGCTCTTAACGGAGTTTTAATGTACACCATATGCCTCAGAATACCGTAACTACAATATGAGTTATTGTCGATATGTCTTATGATTTATGTCATCTGTTATTTCCTATGCCATTTCATTCTTCCTAAAAAAATAATAAAAATAAATTGGAGTAAATTAGATATAGGTAAGATCTTCAAAAGACTTACAGAAAGAAGGAGAGTCTTCTTGGATGATCCCTCCCTTACTTCTTTGATGTAAGAAAAGCTCTCCCATTTTTTCTTGAAGCATTCTCAATTCCGGCGTAGGCTGGAAAGTTCTAGGTGCTTCTTCAAGTTCAATAGGCGGATGGGCGTTTTTTAAAACCTCGACATCATAAGATATTTGAGATCTACAAATGGGGCATAAAGCCTAAAAAGTACAATTTGCTTTAAAACAACTGTTACAAAAATTACTAGAAATAACCTGTTCCACCTTGAATTGTTCCTCTGTTTTTTCCCATGGAGGAAGCTTATCTTGTTCCTCTTTAAAAATATTTTCTGACGCCGTGAGGTGCCCAGCAAGGCAACGAGAGTGAAAATAATGATAGCAATCTGTTTTTATAAAATCATCTCCTTGTCTAAATCCATATAGACAAATACAACAAGGTACACATGGTTTATTACTTGCAGTGAGCTTTTCCTTAACAACCTAAAATATTATTTTGAATGCATCAGTCATCTTAAAACTAAGAGATGTGCTTATAACACACAGTAGAAAGTTACTAGCCCTTGCTTGAAGAGCTAAGACAAAATCTACACAAACCTCAATTAATTCAAATAATGCTGGCTGTCCAATAAGTTGATTACATTTATCTTCTATTTGTGAATATATGTCATTGATTAAACTATCTTCAAGGCCCCTCGGGTTTTTGAGCTGTACAGTTGGTCTTACGTCCGGGTAACCTTTTGGGAGATGCACAACTAATGTGACTCGGACATACTGTAAATCTACATCAAGCGCTGTCCAAGGATGCACTTCCATCTCAATCCCCGTAGCCATGCCGCTGGAAATCATTCAGTTTTTTAAATAACTACTGTAAATTGAGACAACCAGTTCAAAAACAAATACACTTTGCCTGAAATATTATAGTTTATTATTCATAATTTGCCTTTTTATTTTTATTATAGGGAGTTTTATTTTATAGTTTATTATGGATTGTACTTTTTTGTCACTGAAGCATTTGGCTTTTCTATCCGAAAACAATATTTGGTTCAATGTTGCATTGCATATTCAATTGTTTTATCAAGAAATTAGTTTCTATTTTTCCTTTTTCAAGACTTCTGTTCTTGTCATCAGTTCTTTCTGATTCTTGTCAACAAAAAGTTCTAGCCAACAATGGCACAATCTGATTCACAGAAGTAGAATATGTCAAAGATAAATATTTGAAATTGTACAATATAAGATCATAAGGAGGAAAAGAGAACAAAATGAATGAATCATTGCAGATGAACAGACTTTAAGGTAAACAAAGAATACATGGTCATAGCACACTGAAAAATCTGGAGAGTTGTACTATCTACACACAAAGGCAAAACATTATGCCCATAAGGAAATTTTATTTATTATCCTAGTTTTTATCAAATGAAATTTAAAACTGTAATTCACGTTTATTAAAATTTTATGTTCTAATGTCAATTGATTCTTTGTTTGACCTTAACAACCACTCCCAAGATTTCTCAAGTATTTCTGTAGTAAAGTTAGCTTATTTTTCTCCAAAAAGTATCTGTGGAAGATGTATACAAGCTTTTACTACTGGACTTGCTAGTCTAGAATAAATAATTAATAATAATTATTGTTTTACAAAGTTTTAACTAGGAGAGCCATATATCATCATTATGGGGTTAAGAACATGTAATTTGATCCGTATCTATCATTTTGGTACTTGTACTTGTTTAGTTGGTATCTTGGTGGTGGTATCTTCTGTGCAAGAATATTGAAATCTTTTTGGAAGAAGAATGTGAGGCTTTGTGAGTCAAAATGAAGATAACAATACCCGCTTAAAAGTTACATGAAGCTACAGGAATACAAGTGAGATGTTCATCTGTGTTTCTGTTCAGGCTTTTTTTTATCATTGCGATAATGCTGCCTTACCTTGGACTATATCAATGTGTACAAAAATCCAAGATTCTTGCGGCAAGAATATTTCAATTTCTTAAGAAGTGGAATGTGATCATGAGTCATGATCAAGATAATGTTTAAAATTTTGTGATAAAAGAAGCTAACATGCTTTCTACTGGGTTATTCACCTGTTTTTCTATTTTTTTCTTTTTATAGTAATTGTGACAATGCTGCTTTACTTAATTGTACAATTGTACTTTGTACATACTGAATCAGTATGTACAATCTTAGAGATTTGTCTGTGGCAAGAATATCTGAATTTCTTAGAAGAGGAAAGCAAGGTGAAATGTAGGATGAGAAAAAATGAATTTATACAATGCTAGAAATTTTAGATTCAATCAAAGTATTTGTACTCAACTTATGATTTTTCCTTCTTGAAGATGGGATAACAGGTCATCTCAAGAAGTGAGAGGAGATGACCTATTATCCCACCTTCAAGAAGGAAAAATCATAAGTTAAACTGTTGAGGTCAAAATATAAGAAAACATCGTTATTTGTACTCACCCAATGTGTTTGTTTGCTGTGTACTTTGATTGAATCTAAAATTTCTAACATTGTATAAATTCATTTTTTCACACCCTACATATATTTGTAAAATTTAAACAATGTTTAGAAATCCCAGGACCTGACGATGATCTCAATAAAGATTGAAACGTTGGCATGATAAAGAAAAATGTTTTTCTATACCTACGTGACACCAGACCGCATCTCACGATCTCCAAAGAATCATATATTAGTATTATTTCATAATTGTACATTAGGATCATGTCAATATCATCAGTGTATACAAAAATCCCAGAGATTGGAATTCAATATTGCCTGTAGTAGGAATATTTGAATTTCATAAGAAGAGGAAAGCAAGGCGAACTTCAATTCGGAGTCAATAAATGTAACAAAACACATTTTTTGTGATATAAGAACAGGGCCACAATAGAGGTGATCGTCTGTGTTTTTGTTATACCTTTTTTATTAGTGTGATGATGTTGCTTTCATTCACTATAATTATAACACCGTACTACACACTGTAATTCAAAAGATCCTTTTTTTGTAAATAAGTACATCACCAGCCTTTGTTGAGTAGATGATTTATATAACTATTATTTCATAATAGTACATTTTAACCATGTCAATGTCATCAGTGTATGCAAAAAAATCCCAGAGCTGGTTATCTGTGATTTTGTTCTGCTATTGTTGTATTTTATCAGTGGTGATGCTGTTTTCGTTTGCTACAATTGTAGTAAAATCCTTTTGTAATTTGTGTTAATAACACTAATCCTCTTTAACAGTAAAGCATATCGATAAAAGTCCTTACTGAAATAAACATGGAATGCAGTAAAAATTCTATAAATTACAAATAAAAAGATTTGACTGGCACAGTCAAATTTAGGTAATTTATTTTAATTTATTATATTGTAATATAATATAATAAAGATATTTGGCGTATAAAATAATTTCCGAACTTCAAATATATTTTGAATTATGAGAACACATAACTCTATGATAATAAATTGATAAGGATTTTACCTTTCGTTGGTCTTAATGTCAATCTCATTTAGCAGTATCGCTTGAAGAGCCTCCAGCTCGTCAGCCACCCTGAAAGAAAATATAAATTAAACAGTTTAAAAATTGTACAGAAAAGTAGAGCTTTGACAATCTATTTGAATAGTTTCAGATGTAAAAAAAAAATTGTGATAGGCTACCTTTCGTCGTCGTGCATACTCGCCTCCACCGACAAAACACCTTATTAGTAAAATTAACTCAACAATCTGCTTAGATTTATTGATATTTGTCACCAGAACACAAATACCAAGTTGGGGAAAAAAGGGGAAAAGGTAGCTGTGTAAAGTGTGTAATCGAGTTCTTGTCAACGATAAACTTCTACCGTCGTGATTTCGGAGGTGACAAACAAAAATCAATAGATCCTAGATGGTTGTGGTAAAAGCGATAAAAATAAAATTTTGCGATATCGGACGAAAACAAAAAGATTTATCCTTTTTTGAAAGAATTAGGGTTTTTAAATATGTTTTTTTTATACTTTTATTCAATACCCTTGGGAAATTAATGATAAGATATAAGCGGGAAAACTGCAACTATGAAAGTAACTCAGTACAAAGTAAGAAAAACTATTTTTGCACGTTCTAAAAATAAAATTTGTATTTGAGTTTTCAAAAATGTATTATTTCTTTTTTCCAATTTTCTACTTCAAGAATAATACTAATCCAAGTATCCGAATAAAAAATTTAGAAACACTATTGACTGCGAGTAAAGCTTGAATGAATTTGATTTTTAAATTGAGTTTCAATCTGTAAGTATGAAAAATTTTGAACAAAGTGGTGAACTGTAAATCGTTAAACTATCGACCATATTCCAATAATTAATAATAAACTAAATAATCAATTACTGGTGTATTCAAACTAAAACACATTACTGAATTATATGAATGATGTCGATTGTATACTAATATTTATTGTATTAAATTAAAAGTAGCTAAAATAACTTCAGATGTAAAGTAAAAATCCAGCAACTGGAATACGACAGTTTAAAATAATATGAAATTTGTTTTTATTTTATACATGAGGTCATTGTGCGTTCCATTAAGGTTCTCTGTTGTCGTATAAGGTTATCCATTGTTTTGTTTGTATTTTTGGAAAGGGTATTTTTATTCTATTTAGTACTCGGCGCTCGCTATATCCTTTCACTTTTCCCTTCTAACCATGCCATAAATAATAGTGTAAAAAATCTTTTAAAGGAAAATGTTTAGCCCGAAGACTTTGACCTCCGAGCATAGAGATTTGATTCACGATGTCGCCTTCGATATTTATGGAAATCGCATGGCAACCTGCTCCAGCGATCAGACGATCAAAGTGTGGGATGTCGGGAAGGACGGAGACTGGAAGCAGACCTCGTCCTGGAAGGCGCATAGCGGTTCGGTCTGGAAGGTGACCTGGGCCCATCCGGAATTCGGCCAGGTGCTTGCCTCGTGCTCTTTCGACAGGACGGCAGCCGTCTGGGAAGAGATCGTCGGCGAGACGAACACAATGGGCTCGTCTGGGTACAAACACTGGGCCAAGAGGACTAATCTCGTCGATTCTCGGACTTCCGTTATGGACATAAAGTTTGCCCCCAAATCGATGGGACTTCTGTTGGCGACATGTTCCGCGGACGGTATCATCAGGATATACGAGGCTCCTGATGTCATGAACTTGGCTCAGTGGACCCTACAGCAAGAGGTCGCCTGCAAGCACCAAGCCAGTTGCATATCTTGGAACCCCAGTTATACAAGAGAGAAAAGATGCACGAAGAGTTCTTTCGTTAAGCCCCAAGTGTCAGGCGATAAAAAGGACGAGTTGAAATCGGAAGACAGTGAAAACAATGGTACAAATGGACAGAAAAATCCATTTTCAAGCGAAAAAAATGATAAGATGGTCATTTTACCCCAAGTACCGTTATTAGCTGTTGGATGCGATGAATTTAATTGTTCTTCCAACAATAGAATAGTTATATTGCACTACCTCTCCCTAGTCAGAAGGTGGAATAAAATAGATTGTGCGGTTTCTGTAAGTGATCCTGTTCACGACTTAGCCTTTGCGCCTAGACTGGGACGGAGTTTCGATCTGTTGGCCATCGCCACAAAAGACATAAAGCTTTTGACAATTTATCAAATCATGGCTTCATCGGGCGCGATTCGGTTTGAAGTCAGCCTTACCGCCACTTTTGAGGATCATTTCAGCACGATATGGCGAGTCAGTTGGAATTCAATCGGTAGCATTCTTGCCTCGACTGGAGACGACGGTAGCGTCAGGATGTGGAAACAGTGTCAGAAGTCAGTCTGGAAATCTATTGCTGTAATCAAAGGCGATGGGCATATTGTAAAATCAAAAGAGAACCAAGAAACTGTAAATAATAGTTCAAGGTATCTTAAATTGGGTAGTATTAGCAATCCCACCCAAGTACCTTGGCACTAGTTGAAAATATTTTGTACAAAAATGTAAATTTCTACCATTATTAAAATGAAAATGGTAAAATTAATTGTTAATATTCTATAAAATATATGTATATGTTCTATAAAATATATGTAAAATATGTAAGTTTATAAACCAATACAAATAACCCTTATTTTTTACTTGTATGTTATTATTTACATGACAACATTTATGGTAAAAGCAGTTGATATTATTTTAGTTTATTTTGTATTTTATTTTAGTTTAAAAAAAATGTAATTTTACATATAATAAAACAAACTGATTTGAATTGTAATTAGTAATAAAATAATAAATATATCCAATGTTTTAAAATTCTTTATTCATTTTAGAGATTTTATATAATAACTAATTTTTACAATAATTTATTCAAGTTTATTTAGTAATATAAGTAATATGTTATATAATATTTAGTAATTCAAGTTTATTTAATTAAGCAGTAGCATCAAGTATGCTTAATAACTTGATAGTTTTTATTGATTTCTAAAATAACCTATTGACATTATTAAACTTTTTTAAAATTTCAAATTTACAAATTTCAAATTGTATTCATCTTCTGCCTCGCTGTTTTTGTCATTTTTTCCTTCTTTGACTATCCACTGGAGCTCAGATAATTTTTCTCGATTAGATGATAAATTTTCCTTTGGATCTTTTTCAATTGTAAATTTCTGTATGGGATAAATTGTTATAGGACAAGGTTTTAACGTTCTCTTAATTTCTTTTTCTCTCTTGTTCAGCTTGGAATGTTGTTTGTGCTGAGGCTTTGCTATCTTCTTATAAATTTCTTTAATAGTGTCTTGATGACACAAAGAAAATTGTATTTTTTCTTTTTTTAAAAACTGTTTTGCCAATACAGCTTTGTTGCCAAACAACGGATGTAATGGTTTCTCTTCGTCGGTGTATTTTTGAGAAATCAATTTATTGGAGTCTTCTAATAATCTAGAATACAATTCCAGATTGTAATCAGGTCTTATACGTATCATATCTTCATTTTTAACATCATCAGATAATATTTTTGTACTTTTATCATCATCCTGTTTTTCTTTCGTTGGTAGTCGCTTACATTTATGGTTCTTCTTGTAAACTTTACAGCATTTCCTCTCAAAATCATTTAATTTCCCTGAAAGTAGTAAGTTTTTGTTTAATTCGTGATAGTTTTTTTCTGCTTCTTTTTTCAACTCTGCAAAGAGATTCTCTTCTTGGGTTGTAAGATATTTTTGTAGCATGATTTTCTTTTTACCTACTTTATTAACCATTTCCTCCTCACACTTTTTCTGAACTGTGTCGTTTTTCTCTGCTTTTGAATGTTCACTAATATTGAGAATATTATCTGGAATTAATTTAAGCGAAAAACATTTTTCTTCTGCTTCCATTGTTTTCCAAGGTTCTTCTTCTGCAAGCCAAGGATCTATATCCAATAGCCAGTTTTGTTTCTGATTTTTGAAAATGCGTTGATCTGGAAGTTTACTATTTTTATCATTTATCTTACCATCCCATTTGGGTGTTTGTGAATATAGTTTATCCTTCTCTTCAATCTCTGATGTAAATTTTCGAAGTGTCTGGTTTTTTATATCATTTTCAATTAACTCTTTTTGTGGTATGAAGTTTACTTTGTTTGAATCATCATTTTTTTTACCAAGTTCATCTTGAAATTTAATGTCTTTTTCTACCTGCCAAGAAATATTTGTTCTCGAGCCAAAGTAAATAATGTCTCTTTCATATTTTACTGTCTTCAGTTGTTTCCAGGCTAACTGTTCTTTATCGTCTTTTTTAGCAAATAATTGTTCAAAATCAGAAATAGGAATAGAACATTCGACATTTTCAATTTCAGCCATGTCTTTTTTCTCTTTCTTCTTTTTATGCTCAACACCTAAAAACTGTAAAAATTTTAAAAACTCGTTTTTCTCTTTTCTATCTTGTAAAGTTTCCTCTTCCTTTATTTCTGGTTTCATTGGTTTTATTTGCTTTTTTGATGTATTTTTATAATTTTGTATTATATCGTCATTTATTATGTCATTTTCTTTTAGCATTTCTTCTTCTTGTGATTCTTGCTTGGTTAAGCTTATTTCAAAATTTTCTGATTGTATTGTTTTCATCTTTTTTGTATCTTTTTTAGTCCTTTTTCCAGATGTAGTCTTTTTTTTGTGCATTTCACTTTCAATGTGCTTTGATTTATCTTTCTCTACATTTTTTCTATGCTCATTTCTACCAGAATGTGTTGTAACAATATTATTTTTGTTTTGTTTGATGTCGATTTTCTTTTCTTTTGCTTCTCCATTTTGTCTACGGCTCTCAGTACTCGTCAAGCGTTTCTTTTCTTTGTCTTCTTTGGAATGCCTTCTATACCTGTTGCCAAAGAGTTGATCAAGGAATTGCATTGTCCTTTTCGCATGCTCAATACTCATTTTGTTTTTTCTTGCGATTTTCGGCAATGAACCTAACCAAAACGATGGCGCATTTATAGTTACATCATTATTTATATTCTGAGACAAATTTGCATCCGAGCTCAAATCTTTATTTACTAAAGAGCTGTCTTTAACGTCTTGTTCTACTTTTTCATCACTACTCATTTTTCACTCCACTTAAACAAACTCACAGTGAAACGACTCGACAGGATTATACCTTTCTATTTAGTAGTTGCCATGGATATATTTTTCTCAATTAACCGATAGTTAAAACATTTACCTCATTTAGTTATATGTTTTTAGGATAAGAGAATTTTAGTTTAGTACTTTTATTATTTGATAAATTATTATAATTAATTTTCAGTTATAAATTAATCTTTTTAAAATCATAGTTTCATATAATTATAAATCGTTAATAAACATTTATACTGGGTGTTTATTTACATAATAGATGTTCTATTATTAAATACAAATATATTTTGAATAATTTGCGTTGTAAAATGTTTAAATATTAAGTTTCCCGGTCATGAGCTTGGTATTATTTGTCATGCCACTAGGTTTCAGCCAGAAAGTAAGATAGCCTTGAATAAAGCTATAAAAGGGTTATGTTGACAAGATCATACATGACGATGACACTCAACACTATCCAGTGTTAACATTAATTTGTAGGTATCATAAAATTGAGTAAGCATTCTTCGAACTTTGTCTTTTTGTGTAGTATGTGATTTTGTGAGTCAGAAAGTTGTGAATTTAGTTAACACGATGGCCCATGGTGAGTGTCAAGACAATTTATACGAATTTCAATTATTTATCTGTGTTTTCCCTGTCAAACCCACTCCAATTTCTGAATATAGATTCATCCAGACCTGAGCTCTACGAGGAAGTCAAATTGTTCAGGAACGCTAGGGAAAGAGAGAAGTAATGCCATGTTTTTAATTGTATTTTTATTTTATTTATTTATTTTTTGTTTCAATTTAATACATGTATTGTTTTCTTTCTGAAGGTATGACAATATGGCAGATTTGTTTGCTGTCATAAATACACTGCAGCATTTAGAAAAAGCTTACATAAGAGACTGCGTCACCGCCAAAGAGTACACAGCCGCCTGCTCTAAATTGCTTGTACAGTACAAAGCAGCGTTCAAACAAGTGCAGAACGATGATTTTCCAACTATCGAGGCTTTTATTGCTAAGTACAGAGTAAGTAATATTGACAATTTTTATAATCTGTGTTGTACTTATTCTACCTTTCTCAGAGTGAAAGTTCAAACAATTATTTTATATAATTTGCTTTATCTTTTTAGCTTTTTGATACAAATGTTCAATTTTTTTTTTAAATTGTCTGAATGTATTTAATGTACCTCTTTTATGCAGAATGTTGTTGACGTAAACCTTTGAGCATTTAATATATTGACATTAATTTAGTCAATAATTTTTTTCATACTAAATGCGCCCATCCTGCCCATATCAATCAACCTTCACAATCGTGTTTTGTTATAACTAATTTTTTCCATCCACAATTAACTTGAACATAATTGCGTAAATCATGGGTTAAATTTCTGCTTTTCTAAAACTTGTTGGTTTATTAAGTTAAGCGTTATGAATAATCTGGGTCTCAGTATGATCTGAATGTAAAAACAAATTCAGTTATCTGCCAAGCTTTCGATCTATTTTAAGGTCATCATCAGGGCAAAACAATCTTAAAGATGTCTACAAATTGACGTAATTAACTTTTTAATATAGTTTCAAATTTCTTTTAACATGGGCCCAGTCCCGACATTGCCTATGACGATTGGCATTGTTGGGACTGGGCCTACCTTTAAAGATCAATTTGAAACCATCTATTAAAAACTTAATTATGTCATTTTGTAGAAATCTTTAAGATTGTATTGATGTACAACATGGTGTAATAACCTGATAAGTTTTATCAGGTTAAATCCACGTTTTAATGCAAAAATATTGGCATAAGGCAAAAAATTACTTCTCAATTTATATCAATTTGTAAAAAAACAAAAAAAAATTTTGAAGTTGTGTGGAGAGCCATCAACAATGAAGTATTATAGAAAAAACACCAACAACCACTTTTTTTCTTTTTTTGCCGTTTTGACCTTTATTCGGGTCATCTTCAGGGCTGGGGGCGTCTCACGACTAACAAATTATTGAACAACAGGTCTCTAAAACCACAAATTAAGAAAAAAATTTGAACTTAAGATGCCGTAAATTATTTTTTAATATATTAATTGTATCCACAATGTTCATATGAAATTTGTTATCAATTTATCGTTAACCCTTTGTGCAGTTGGATTGTCCAGCAGCAATGGAAAGGATAAAAGAAGATAGGCCGATAACAATAAAAGACGATAAAGGAAACACAAGCAAATGCATTGCCGATATTGTTTCTGTAAGATATGAATTTTTTTATTATAACTTCTACAATATGTTTACTTTTCATAATTGCCGTTTACCCCTATCAGTTATTTATCACTATAATGGACAAACTGAGGCTTGAAATAAAAGCAATGGACGAACTTCATCCAGACTTGAAGGACTTGTTGGACACGATGAACCGGCTGAGTATTCTTCCGTCAGAATTTGAGGGCAAGAAAAAAGTCAACGAATGGCTCACGACGCTGGATTCGATGCAAGCGTCAGATGAACTCACAGAACAGCAAGTCCGTCAGCTGATTTTTGATCTTGAATCGTCTTATAACGCCTTTAATAAACTACTGCACAACACCTAAGATGAGTGATGTTTTATTTAACCACAATGCAAAACATATTTTTTATCTGGCCATATAATAAAATAAATATATGTATAAAATTTAAATATCGTTTATATGACGAAAATTGCTTTAATAAATGATTTGTACATAAAACTTGTGTAATTACCTACTACTTAGATATAAGAAACTAAAACTCAACAATTGTTAAAAAATTTGCAAAATAACCAATGAAACATCACAAACTTATTAAATCTCTTGTCACATGACAATTTAGGACCAATATAACCAGAATCAATTAGTTTAATATGATTTTATTTCATATGTAGCTTTACATTTAAACCAAAAATCTGTTTTAAATAAAAAAGTATAAATATTTGAAATTCATGTGTAAAAAAACAAAAATCTATTTAAACTGTAAATGTTTATATATCATAATAAAAACTGAGATATGGGATCAGTAGGTTGAGGGAAAAACTAAGTGAATGAATAAAATTATATTTTACAAAACTATTAACTTTCTTAATTCCAATTCATATGGTACAATACATGAAAAACAATAATTATAATGTACATTTTCAATAATAATGTGTATACAATTTGAACAAAGGGCATATTGAAGCATGGTCAATTTGTAGGAACATAGAACCATTTTCATTTTTCAAATAAGAGCTTGTTTTTCCTCATTGCGGTCGTTGTAGTTATAGTTCATCTCAATGATTAACACAATTTGTAATTAAATTTTTCTTTTAAATTTGAACAATTTAGCACATAGCTGTTTTCTCACTATATTGAAAAGTTTTAAGGCATGCATAGAAATAATGGCATAGGTATAGCCTTGATCTGAGGCTTTTAAGCATTTATAATGTATTGCATACAAATATGAATAATGCAAGGATTAAAAAGTTAAAATTTCCCACTTTCGTCAACAAAATTTGCTATAAGTTTTTTATATAAACTTTCTGAATTTACGTATTTCATTTTCTATTTGTTTCTCTCGTCTTATAAGCAATATAAATCTCAAGAAAAGTTTAAATATACAGTAAACCATATAGAATTTGTCAAAACTGTACAATATTAAATTAAATTAGATTGAGAAAATAAATATGTCCCAAAAAACCAGACCGTTTTTAAGTACAACCTACTTAATAAATATTCTATTTATAAACATACAGAATATGTTAACCGTTCATAATAACATATATAATGTTTCTAATGATTTCTTTACTTTCATTTACTGAATGATTAATGACCTATGCATAGCGGGCGTGTAATAAAAAGTCTTTGGTATGAAATATCCGTGTTAATGTTATTAATTCAAAATTACACCATTTTATAATTTATAAAGCGTTGATTTTTAGTGTAATGTTGAAGTCTGGTTTTAATGATGTCTGTAAGATCTTGAGTGAATTTTTGTGCACAGTTCCCTTCGAGAATGAGTCTTGTGGCATTCACGCGACAACTCGACGGCATGTCAGCTACAAATAGGTATTTAATGACCTGACACGGAATGTTTGCTCCTATGCTTAATTGTTGTCCTATTGTCACACTCCAGTCATAAATCGCCGAACAAGTGCTGTGTGATAATGTCGAATTCATAACAACGCTTAGAATCTTTGATGTAAGGTCAGGAAGAAGGAATCTGTCTGTAGCTGTTATCATTTCTAAAAGGGTCGATAGGTCCTTGGGCAAAACGCAGGAACAGTATTCGTTAATAACCCGGGTCAAATGGCTTAAACAGTCCATTGACATGTCTGTGATGTGAACTGTTGACTGCTTTGATTCAACAAAGCCCCCTCTGAACATCGCCTCAAATACAGGGCAGCTGTGACTCAACGATTCTTTATTCGCCATGACTCTTGATCCGTCGTCTAAGCTAAAACTTATATTTGACTCCTTCCTCATACTAGCCACTTCACATTGTTGGCAAATCTATTAAAACAACACAAAAATTAAACAATTATTTTGATAATTTACACAAGAATATACCTCAAAGGGGACTTGTGGATTTTTAATAGATAGAGATGTAAATAAATTATGTAATGATGGTACAGCTTCGTCTATTCTTGTGATTAACGAATCCAAAAGATATTTCAAGGCATTGTGCCCAAAAAGCAGACTGTTTAATAGATTTGGTTGTCTGAAAATGTTTAAATGTATCATTATAAAAGTCAATTTTTTCATGAATGAACAAAATTTACTTTATGACGTGTGGAATGGCTAAAGAAACGCTTTCTCTGACATTGTCTGAAACTGTTGCCAGCCTGTAAGTCAATTCTCCTTCCCCAAGACCCGACTGCGCTGCGGTACCCAGTTCATTTAGAACTTCTCTTCCTGTTTCCCTAAGCCTTTTACACTCCCAGCAATCTGGATGGAGGGCTCGACATAGGGATCTTTCTATAGCCAAAATACTTTCACCTCCCAGAAGTATGTTGAAGTAATGCTTACATCTGAAAACGATGAGAAATTTAAATAGAGGACAAAGCGTCGTCTGAACGCCTTACCTGACGATTGAGCTCAATGCTTTTGTTGCTTTGATATAATTCTGTTTGGACTGCGGGTATTTCAGGCCGACCATGTAATCTAAAAATGTATTTATCGTCGTCTTTGATGCCAAGCAAGCAAGAGGAATTTGTAGATATGTTATTTGTGATAAAATTTCCACGATGCACCCATCAACACCCAGATGACCTTCAGGGTAAGTATCAAACTAAACAAAAATATACTAATTATCTTAAACCATAAAAAACAAAAGCTGAATTTTTTATGCATTCACTCAAAGGGAGAAGCAGCCTTACCAGAGACTGCCATCGCTAGATAGAAATAGTTAAACAGATTTTTCCATTTTGCTTTTACTATATTAGAATTTAATTATTTATAACCATGCAATTTGAGCTTATATTGTTATAGAATTTTTCTAGAATAATAAATAATACTGAATATAAAAATTACAAAATATTAGCCTACAAAATTAAGTGATGTATTATTAAGTAAAATTAATTAAAAAAGTTTTGAGGCAAATAGGCATTTGCTTTATTTATTCTGAGTGAGAATCTTTTTTGTAATGTGTGGGACCACTCTAATAAGGGTCATTACAACTCCTGACTCTCGTTTTGTGGTGTTAAGAAATCCCTATTGTGGATGAGGGCTCTATGATAAATAGAGGGGCTAATAACAACCTTTTTGGGACTTGTGAGGAGTTTAATTTAACCTTTCTGGGACTTGTGACGAGTTTAACTTAACCTTTTTGGGACTTGTGACGAGTTTAACTTAACCTTTTTGGGACTTGTGACGAGTTTAACTTAACCTTTTTGGGACGAGTTATCTTATTTGGGCTTGGTGGCTCCCCAGGTCTTGTGAAGAGTTATTTTGTTCTTGTGGGTTTTTTGTTTTTAAGAGTTTTATCTGGTTCTCATGGCATCTATTGGGGTGAGGTTTTATCTAATATGTTTCCGACATCTCAGTAGTAAATGTACCCTTCTCTACCATCTACCATATTGTTCTTCTTTTTCGCCTCTTGTCTGCAAAGCTCACTGTCCTTATTTAGGTTACCCCCCCCCCCTTTTAACTCTGTACTCTACATGTACAGAGTTTACCTAAATAAATCAGTAAGTAGAATTTTTTATTTTTATTATTATTATTTTTAATTTAATTTAATGTTTTTATAAGGGCTCGCAGCACAGGTCATACCTCAACATGTTGGTGTTATTGAAAAAAAGCTCATTTGTAACTGTCGGCTTCGAATGCAGGGCTGCTGGACTCGAACCAGGGACTTTTGCCTTACAGTGATGAGCACCGTTTATTGCCCCTGATACCCCAGTTATTACTTTTTAGTAAATGTAATGGATACTTTTTGTAAAAAATAAATTTTCAATTTAATGCAACTTAGTTTGTTTTTCTCGGTCCATTTACTTACTTCCATTGCAAATTATAATAACTGCAGAATGTACCGTCAAATTTTTCATGGAATTGGTGCCTCTCAAAAGGAGGAAGAGCAATTTGAACTTTTGAAGAGAACTCTTTGAATTTCAACGTGTGAAAAATAAAAGAAGCCGGGGGGGGGGGGTCACAGAGCAGTTGAGAATAAAGGCAAGGAATGTATATTAACATCCTAAAATCAGTCCCAAAAAGGTTAACGCCCTAAAGTCCCTCTAAAACTGACAAATTTAATTAAATGGAGGTATATATTAATGTACAATTGCTATAAGAGTTGACATGGAATTTTTTTTTCCTAAACTGAACTTTCAAGAATGTTTAGCAAGAGCGTTTAGATACGACTAGAAAATTATTTTATGTGATTATTGAAGTTCAAACCCAACTATTTTTATTAAGCATAAAGCTAGTAAATTTTTCAGCTTTTTTTTTGGGGGGGGGGGCAAGACCACATTTTCACAGAATATTCTGCTCCTTCGCCCATTATAAAATGATAATAACCTTGTGTAAGGGTGATGAACCATTACATTGATTGTCTCTCATCATCATGGCCTGTCTTCTCTCGCTCGGTTTGTATGTCCGATGCATCTTCACTGGTTGGCCTGTTGTTATTATGTTGACAATCTTGTACTTTTCCAAGTTGTTCATCTTCGTAAAATTCATTCTCCAATTTCGGAACCAAGCTTCCAGCATTAGTTGTACATTTTGGATGGTTATGATGAATATTAATTGTCTTCAGCAAAGGAAGATATATAGTTAAAATGAGTGGAGATATCAGCAGTGTATTTTGTGAAAAGGATCGGGCTAAGGTAAATTCCTTGAGGAACATCTGCCGAAATGATAATTATGTGTACCCGGACAAGGTATTTGAAAGTATTTGTAGAGGATTCCTTGTGCTTCTTCAGCAAGCCTGAATGCCATGACCAATTAAAGACATGTTTATTTTTCAATGAGAATAATTAATAAATTAATTGTAAGTTAAAAAAAAATATTGTCTTTTTAAAAAGTTATACGTACATAGAATTTTGGAAAATGCACGTATGGTGAACTGCTCCCACTATCACTGTCAGGTGTGATACACCGAGGAGAGTACATTCCTGAATCAGAAGTGGTTGCGTTCATAGGCGGTGAAGATGGGGAACTCCATGGTGAAGAAGGGCTAGATGGAGACATCGGTGCTACTGAAGCAGGCACCGATTCCTGATGGGGGGAGCCGTAAGCTTTAGTGTACTCGCTTAACCTTTCGACTAAGACATTTATTAAGCCCCCTTTTATCATTATCTATAAACAGAATATTTGGTTGGACAAAAAATTAGAAAATAGTTCAATATTTAAATACTTACAATTAAACTTGGCTTATCATAATTGAATTGACTTATAGCACTTAAAAGCTCTAGGTAAAATGGTTTTGCCTTTGGGTTCATCAAAAGAGATAATATTGTTTTAAATCCACTAGGTGTTTTCCTTAATGACGCTCTTATCATCGATTCTCGGCACAATAAACATAACGAAGTAATTAAATCTGTATAAAAAAATGTGTCCAATTTGTTGACAGTTAAATAACATAACATAACGACAGTGAGCTTACATGAATCAATTTTGCCTCCTCCTTCTAGCCTGTCAATAATCGATGGAACTACACCTGCCTTACTAAGTTCAACTCTAGCAGGTGGTGAATGGCTAAGATTGCAGATGAGTACACGAACTATGGGTAGATTTATTTTCGAAACAATGGATACGTAACCATTACCATTGCCTGTGATCTAAAAGCAAAGAAAAAAAAGTTTATATAGAATAAATGAAGAGTAAAAAAGTATTTTCAAGACAGAAAATTGAGATTATCAAGTAAATTATTATTGGAAGGTTTAAGGTTGAGCACAGATTTTTATATCTTATAAATTGCAATATCCTAATATCTGCAGTTTAAAATACACTGTCAGGCAAAAAATTCCACACAATTGATTTTGTTTTTATTTTCTCTATAAAAGAGGCAAAGAAAATTCTGCCCTTAATCTGTCTCATTGGTTTTACCAATAAATATTTGTTTATGCTGTTTTAAATTGGGAATTGCAATTCGAGGTAAACACACTTAATCCTTAATCCAAAACAAGGATAAAGGATTTTTCAATGTTTATTTTTTAAGGAAATTAAAATGTTTATTCAATCTCATTTGAATTCTGAAGCAATAAACTGTTTAGTTTTCATCTTTGTTTTCTTTCTTTCAATTTTTAAATTTAAAAATGCCACTTAGTGCTGAGGATAAGTGGTGTGGCACTTATTGATGATGGACATTCCATCAGGTATGCGGCTATTGCCATTGGAGTTCCCTTCAAAACTCTGCAAGCCGCCGTTAGACGTTTTCAAGAAACTTGTACCACAGAAGGCCTGGTTGTGGACACCCTATGGTTAAAGAACCGCAGGATGGCCGTTTTTTGACTTTGAGAATTGTGTGAAACTGACACCTTACTGCTGTTCAAGGATTTATCAGGTCCAGGATGTTCGAGGTGTCCAAATTTCTAAACACACTGTTCGAAGAAGATTAGAACTGAAGGCTTTTAGCCCGATAAGAGGACCAGAACTGACCAGAAGGCTTGCATTTGCTTGAGAACACATCCATTGGGTCTTTGGACGATTGGTCTGCTGTACAGATGAGTGTAGATTTGCTCAATGATCTCCAGATAGGCGTGAAATTGTGTGGAAAAGGGGAAATGAAAGGTATGAAGCCTGTAATTTTTCCCAGAGCCAACCTTTTCAATGAAGCTCAGTGATGGTGTGGGCGGGAATTTTAATGGAGAGTCGCACAGAGTTGGTTATTGATCGTGGAGGGCCTTTGACGGCCACTCACAATGTGGATGAAATTTCGGTACATCATGTGTTGCCTATCCACTATGAAATCATCAACAATCCTATTCTAACGCACAATAATACACAGCCACTGTCACTCGTATAGTACAAATGTACCTTCAACAGCATAACATCAGTGTCTTAGCCTGACCAGCCTGTTCTCCAGACTTGAACCCCATCGAACATTTATGGGATAACCTCAAAAGACAAATAAGAGCACGTCCATCACTTTCTGATACATTACACAAGGGGTCGGCAACCTTTTTCGGATGGCGGGCCATTTTCAAAATAAAATTTTTTATGCGGGCCGCACATTCAAATGCAACTTAAATAGTGCTTATACAGGATATACGAGTATAAATATTATTATGGGGAGTGCGCAGTAAAATAGTTTCCCACTGTGCTTCTGTTAGCATTTTTGTCACCGGCCACATTTCGACATGCTCACGCTCTAAGTTTGTTGATTTTTCCTAAAATTATATTGGGCTTTGGCGGGCCGCGCAAAAAATTTCAAAGGGCCACAGGTTGCCGACCCCTGCATTACACTATTTTGAAAGTTATGAAATTTTGGAACATCATGTGTTGCATATCCTTGATGATATCAGCGATCATCCTATTCTAATGCTCGATAATGCCCTTTTTTCCATATCTGAACCCCATCAAACATTTATGGGATAACCTCAAAACACAAATAAGAGCAAGTCCATCACTTCCTGATACACTCCACGATCTTGAAAGGACTCTTCGTTAAGAATGGGCTAACCTCTTTCAAAGAAATATGTCCAGAAAGGTAGAAAGTATGCCGAGGTGTCTTTGAGATGTAATTAAGGCAAGAGGAGGAAATACACGATATTGAAATGTTAATTAAAAATCTAAAACAAATTTTATCTCTATCTTTTTTCATTATTATTTTCCTTAGCAATTTACTTTTTTAGACAAAGACTCAATTATTAAAAGTAAAACTTTGATTAATATATAAAAATATATATAAATAAAGTTATATTACAAGTGGGTGGAATTTTTTGCCAGTCAGTGTAACATTATTTATATAGCCCTACCACACACTTCTAATCTGATGATCATTTGACATTCTAGTAGTTTCCAGATTATTTGACTGCCAGATCTGACATCATGTTAGACAATCAGACCTTACTGCAAAATTCATTAATAAGCAATTGGGCCTAATAGTTGTTATTATTATATTTATATCCTACAATTGCACATCTTATAAAAAATGGATGTTTGGGATAAGTTTGAACAGTTGAAAGTGTTCAGCTGTCAAAATGGTACAGAGGATTAAATCCGTTAATAGGAAATTTACAAGTTATTTACTAAACATTTCAATAATTTCAAACAGTAGGAACTGTTCAATGTGCAATCCTACAGTTAATTTAGATAATTGAATTTGATAGTAAGAAAGATGTGGCCAGCATTTATGGCAGCACGTTCATATCTGACAATTGGAATTGTTCCGCTTAACGAGCACATGAAAGAAAGTTCTAACTTAGACTAAGTCTATGTCCTAAATTCTTATGATTCTCGATACATTGTTAATTTTCTTAAAGTTTTTGTTTCTTAAAATAGTTGGTTTGCAAATTGTGGAATGTTTGATCATTGTAACTTTAAATTTGTATTATATTTCAGCATTTCATCAACTGCAAAAAAAAGATAGTTTTAACAATTATTTATCATCTAAAAATTTGATATTATCTAGTCTAGTTATATTACTACATAAAGACAAAGATTTTAAAATAAGTATTAGCCTTGTACATCTAACTTTTATCAATCCATTAGCCTACCATTTTATTTAAGAGATGTTATGACTTCATATCTTCTTAAGTGGAGAATAAATTGATTTATTGAAAAAAATACAAGTGGGCAACCTCTGATGTAAGTAATAAAAATAAATCATGAAGTGCTAATGATAAGTAGATGCAACAAGTATACTGATAAAATTTGAGTAGAGTTCCAGCAACTTGCAAACCACTCAAATCCAATTTAAGCAAGCAATGTTCATAGAAAGTTGTGTCAATAAAACAATAAATGAAAAAATCATAATATATACCTGTAATGCAGTTAAATCGACACAAGGTTGTGTAAATACAACCAAAGTTTGAAGAATAGTTTTGAGCAGCTGAAAAATAATGTAGATATATAAGAATTTTTTCAAAGTTTAAATTGACAAGCAAAAAAAAAACTATCTTAACCCATGTTTAACTTTAATATTATATTGTACTTTTTAAAAGCAAACTACAGGAATGTCACAATTTTAAAGAAAACAAAAATTTTACCTGCTCATTTTCTGTATCTAAGTAAGACGCGACTGTTTTAACAGCTGCAATCCTCAACATTTCATAGTGATATTTGTCCGTTTTCCAAAGCCACCTAACAACAAACAAACATATTTTGGCATTTCACAATTAAAATTTAATAATAATTTAATCTATTAGAAAGATTAATATGGTTGGGGGAGAAAAAACTCCTAACACATCTATGAAATATTTAGTATTTGTTGATTTTTCTCTTATTTGAACAATATATTATATCTAATCTTACACATAAAGCAAACATGTGAAAAAAATAAAGCTTAAGTTATGGAGTAAGCGAACTTCTGAGAAAAAAAAATAGTTAAGCAATTTTACATCTAGTGAATCATTTTCTCTTAGAACATAAAATTAACATTATTCAAAAAAATGACAATTTCTATAGTTTTACCACAAATTTTCTCTATATTGTAGACATAATTTGCCAGACGAACTAATCTACCAATAGATATTTGTAAGTACAAAAGCTCAATAAGTTTTAATGTGGCATATCGACAGGTCTAAAATGGAACAAGAAGCAGATTTTTCCTTAACGAAATCCCTAGGCCAACTCCTTTCTGTCTTACAAGTTGAGTTCATTACAATTGAACTCAAACACACAGGAATTACCCAAAAAGGAGAACTTGGCGTAAATAGGGATAAAAACTGGATCAACAACTAGGAAGAAAAATATGGTAAAAATGACAATCTTGTGAAAGATAGTAAACAGTTGAAACGATCAGATAGGAAACAAGAGAATCTCATACCGTACTAAAATTTCAGGTTTAAAGCAATCAAAAGGGGGGGGGTTGCAATGTTTAAAGTATTGACAAGGGGACTAATCACTATAAGGTAAAGGTCCCAGGTTCAAATCCAGTGGCTCAACACACTTACAAATGGGCTTTTTTTTAACACCTGCAAAAAAATGTTTATAACTTTCAGACAGGAAATCTTTCACTCAATAGGCAGAAATGGAAGTAAATTATAAACCTCTTTCCTGTCCAATAAATTATAATATAAAAATGGTAAAGCTGAATTAGAAACAAGCAGAATATACTGAGATGACAACTATCTGAACTTTTTAATGCAAAGCATTAGCCTGGGTATGCTTTCGCCTCTTCAGAAAGCCATTAAAATGTTTAAATAAATTAGAAAAGCAATACATAAAAAATAATTTGATAGTTACCTATTATCTTGGCCTGCCTAACCTTCCTCTAGTAGACTCATCACTGAAGATGGCACAATGTGTTCAACAGACAACGAAGAATAGGCAGACCAAGATGGTAACTATCAAATTATAGGTTCATCATCCCACAAACTACAGAAAGAAAAAAGAAGAAGAAAAAATGACATGAGGACTTTTAAATCACCAGGAATCCCTGCACCGAACCAAATAAGATCATGTATATTTTGCATATTGTGTAAATAAAAATACATTAATAATGAATGAAATATATAGCAAAATGTTTACTTAATAGCTGTAATAGCTGTCTGTTGAAGTTCGATACATTCAGCAGAACGTAGAATTGGCACAACGTAAAGTGATATATTGGATTTGTGTAGTTCCCTTGCCAAACGGTGAGACTGGGCCATGTTTCCGATCAGTCGACATACTCTCCTATGGATTTTTGCATTTATAGTTTTCTTCAGCAGTACCGTCAATTTTTCGGGCAAGCCATTTATTAGAAGCTGTAACAATGAAGCATTAAAAACTCTCGTCCTAACATAAGGTTCAAGTGATACGCACCTCATCGCAGAAGGTCTCGTTCTTGATCAGGTGGCAACAACAGTTTCCAAGAATGCTCAATACCAGGCTTTGAATGTCTTCGTTGTTCGAGGACAACATCTTCATCAACTGCTTGATCCCTCCGCATTGGTGGAAGGCGTTTATCCCGCTGTTTTTGTTGATCACCCTGTTTCTGATGTAATGAAGAGCCCTGAAGATATCTTTGGACGAGCTGCTACGGAGCTTGTTCAAAACAATGTTCAATTTTTCTTTCGACACGGTTTCCTTTTTTGATACATCCTCATCTCCCGTGGCGTCCCCTTTGTCTGAAATGTCAGTTTTTTCCTCTTCCACTTCCATATTCTCTGTTTAAACTAGAGAAAACAACGATCCCGACGACAGCAGTACCAAGCCGAACATCATCAAAATCTAGCTTCCGATGTCAGATTATGACAAATTTCATATATAAACGCATCTCAACAGGTGAAAAATTTAATTTTTTGTCGCATTTATATAAATAATAGTTTTTTTTATTAAATAGTACCAAGATAACTTATATCAGTATAACCTCGCAGAAAACCAGTGTTCCTAAGGTTCAACTTCGTTTCGTGCTGCTTGGTATTTCTAGCTGGAGGTTATTGATAACTAGCTGCATTTTAAATTACGCGTATTATTTTATGCAATTCTGATAGTCATTAAAACAATTATATATCAAAACAGAAAACATTTAGGCCAATTGACTAAAGGACAGATTATTTTAACAAATTTTACAATTTTATGATGTTTTAAACTTAAAATTATAAATCCATTAATCAAAATATTCATCAAAATGCATACTCATAAGCAAGCCTTGCATATTTTTGAATTGAATATGTAATTTCAAAAATTGATCAGTTAAAGAGTTTATAGTACTTTCTTTTCAATCTCACAAAATAAAACTTGCAAATTTTGAATTTATTATAATACAATTATAAAGAAAACTGGGCATCAAAGTTGGTTTAAAAATTTAGGAAACAACCATATAAAATTTGAAAAGAACCTGTATTTTGAGCTAAAACCTTTTTATAATTGTTTAAAAACTTATTACTACAATTGAATAAAATATATTTACTAAACAAAACCCACAAAATAATTTAATTTGGTAATAAAATAAGTGTGATTTTTTATATTTATTTTTTTGTTAATAGCATCATACATTATAAAGAATATCTTTGGTTTATAGAAGCTGTTGGACTTTTAGGTCTTTTCTTAATACATTTACATTTCAATATTTTATATATACTCTATATTAAACACAATCATAACGTCAATTATGGTCTGACATATGATGCTTCTTTCTACCATTGTTAGATGCAATAATAAAATTAACATTCTCAACAAGTTCATCCTTAACCATATCTAACCATAACAAATAATTTTATTTGTTAATTAGTCTAACCTTAGTCATCTCTAGCAATTCCTATACCCTAACAATCGCAAACCCAAGCCAGTTCTTTCTATTTTCATTCTCTATGCTTTGGCCATGACAGAGTTATACCAATTGCTCATATATTTTTCTCTCCTTACAGCATCCTCTACCCTTGTCAAATGAAATTATAACCTTAACTATTCTCAACAAGCTCATCTTTAACTATTTCTAATTGTTCCATTATTTTAACAATCTCTAGTCCTAGTCATCTCTTTCATTTCCTATACCTTAACCATCTAAAAACATGTTCTTTCTTTCTATTATTCTCTGTGCTTTGGCCATTAGAGAATGATACCTCATGGTATAAGTTATTTTTCGTTTCTTGACAGTTGATGTCCATTTCTGCTTTTGTTAGATGTAATAATAATCCTAACCATTCTCTACAATTTCTTCTGTAACCATACCACTTTAATAATCTCTAACCGTAGTCATCTCTAGCAGTATCTACCTTAACTATCTCAAAATCAAACTAGTTCTTTCTATTTTCATTCTCTATTCTTTGGCCATTAGAGAATGATATCTTATGGTATAACAGTTTTCTCTTCCTGATAGTTGATGTCCATCCTTACCCTTGTTAGATGTAATAATTTCTTGACAAGTTCATCCTAACCATTTCTAACTATACCAAATCATTTTAACAATCTCTCATGATATCTCATGGCATGACATTTGTTCTCTGCAAGAAGCAGCAATGTTAGATGAAACTTCTAACCTTAACCATTTCTAATCATAATTAAACATTCCTGATTTTACGAGTCTAATATGATAGAAAAATCATGGACAGTCTCTATGGACCCAGGCATTCAAAATAGTTTGTCAGCTTATTATACATTATAACAGATTACATAAAAAGAACCTTTTAACAGTAACCAAAATTTTATAACAATTAAAGAACAAAAAAATTGATTAGGAGGAAGATTTGTTATGTAACATACAAGTGGTTTGATAAATATTTATTAGCAGTGAGCAAATTAGTTAAAAGGCGAAAGAGGATATTCAATATTTTATATGAATGCAGGAGCAAGTTCACCAACAATGATGAAGAATAGCCCCCCTTATACAGAGAAAGGTTGCTCGATGTGTCCCACATAATAGAGGCATGTCATGCCTTGGCTCCATACAGAGAGCGTGTAGGCAAGCCGCCGGACTTAAGAAGAGTTCTCGAACACGATAGCAAGTTTCAGAGTCCCCTGTTCTGCTTTTTAGGGGAAATGGGTTTTTTTATATATATTGGGGTGTATATAATATGCCTTATTTGTTGTGTCTATATGTTTTGTCTGAGTGCGTGTATTTATTAGCGTGAATGGCGAGGGGTGAGGGTGAAATATAACGTTATCATCGCCCCTCGAACGTTGAGAGCATATGAGTGTGTGTGTGTTCAGGGTCGATGGCGGAATATTTATAAAAGTACTCCATCGACCCCAATTTAGATTAGTTTGAGTATAGGTCAGTGGAGGAATATCAAGTACTCCACCGACCAAATGGAATGAGTGTACTGTATGGATGTATTTATGTGTATGAATGTATTTATTTGTATGAATGTAGTGTTTGAAAGGGTAAATAGAATATAGACATAGTTGGGGGCTGAAATGACCTAGATGTCGGAAGCTCCAGTCAAAAAAAAAAAAAAAAAAAAAAAAAATAGTACCATTTTGAAGATACAATAGAGAAATTATAATTATCAATTACATATAAAATTTTAAAGAAAAGTAATATCAATTATAAATTTTGATTTAGTTTTAATTGAACTTAGGGAGCATTGTCAAGATAGTTTATCCTTCAGATATGTTTGCATACATTTTAAATTTGCCTTTTGTTCTTCAACTTTTATTATTTATTAATATATTCGTTTATAATCATGTATGTTGCCACTATTATTATAATAAATACAGATTGCTTTTTTGTGGGTACAATGCAATCTATGAGATTTGCAAAAATTTAATATTTTAATATTTGGCAATTAATAGTTTTAATGTTTGCATACATTTTAAATTTGCTTTATTCTTCAATTTTTATTATTTATTAATATATTCGTTTATAGTCATGTATGTTGCCACTATTATTATAATAAATACAGATTGCTTTTTTGTGGGTATGAGATTTGCAAAAATTTAATATTTTAATATTTGGCAATTAATAGTTTTAATTGGCATAGCATTATATTTACAGATTATCATTATATAATCAAGAACAGATATATGATGTCTGATGGTTTATTTGCAATCATTCAACTGCATATAATTTTGAAAGAAATGTCTGACTCAGTTTTCCAATGACTCAGGGAGTTTTCCAAATGTATTTGGACCTTGTTGAATTTTAAGAGCTTAATTCTAGCTAAATTATTCACTGGTCGATCATTATTATTTTAATATTGCATATTGAAAAAAACATTACATTTTTATTATTTATTTGCTGTCTAGTTTCAATCAAAAATATGTGTTTATAATTTTTCCAAAGAAACATAGATGAGGAATTAATGTTCAGTTTATAAAATAATTTTAGTAAAGTATAAATAAACATAGAATAATGAAGAAGTTCAAGGTCGAAAGATGCTTTTTGCTTATTCTTTTACTACTTAACAATAACTAGCGTGAAAAATATGTTATGGACTGGACATGTGCAAAATAAATTTTAAAAATAGCCAAATTACATATAATTTAGTACAGCAGGCAATATAAAATTATTCAACCGAATGTGTTTCAAGGGTAGGGAGCTGATTATATGGGAGAAAAGTCATCCGTTGATCGATCCAGTAGGTTTTTCCCTCGTTGGGTCGTGGGGTCGTCGTTCTCGAAACTGCGGCCCAGCCCAACCCATTCTGCAGAAATAAAATCCCGGTGAAAATGCGCATAGCAGGGGATCGACGTCGAAAGTGTCCGAAGGTTAAACTATTTCGTACCGCATCCTAATCGATTTCGACTCTATTTTGCAAAACCCAAATGGCCCGAGGAGAATTTAAATTGCAAGAAGGTGTGAAGCGCTTCGAAAAATGGGCACCCCCAAATCCAAGACTCCTGAGTAGTTCCAATTGTTTTATACTCTTTTTTATGCTTCTGTAGTAATGAAATATACGCTGGGATCATAGCAAAATGAATTTGCTTAAGAATTGTTTTAAAATTAAATTTTTGAATAAACCGATTCGATTTTCATCAATTTGAAACATCCAAATTCAACCAACATAAATTTTTTATATAACTTTATTTAGGTTGGTGAAGAAAACACCAATTTTCCAAGGGACACGTGGTGTTTAAAAAAAAACAGGTTATTTTATTTCTTCTTTTTCTTTGAAGTTTCGTGGTATTTTCTGCCCATCATCAGAAATCCTAACAAGAAGTACGGTCAATCCTTACATATTTCAACAATACCAATTAATATTATTTTCACAGTTTACATTTGTATTTTATGGTTAAAAATTATCTGTGATAATTACCTACCTACAATTACCATTTTTTCTTTAAAGAAACGAATATATAACTACAGACGTGGAACCAACTACATATGTATGTGCAACCACATGTAGCCATTCAAAAATTAAACATAAACCAACCGACTGATATTTGTCAATTTCCACCAACCATCTAAATAAATTTAAAAGCACGTGGAATAGGGAGAAGCTTTAATTTCCTCGAAATAATTCTTAAGTTTCAACTAGTTATTAGGGTTATAAGAGGGTAGAGGTAAGAATCTAACTGTTTTAATCAAATCCTGGGCTTTAAAAATCGATCGTATAATGCGAATCAAGTCCAAAAGAAGTGAGAGGCTTTAATCTATTCGAAATAATGCTGCATTTTCATAACCAGTCGCTCACTAGATATCAGGGATATAAGTAGGGAGAGGCAAGACGATAACTGATTTAAACTGAGATCTTTCGGAGTTTTAATAAATCAGTCGGATAATGTGATATCAGGTATATAAGCGTGGAGAGGCTTTAATCGATTAGAAATTTGCCTGCTTTTAAAAATCTGTCGGATAATGCAATTTCTGGGATATAAGCCGGACGCTGATTGCTTTGTTTTTTCGAAATATTCCGGTGTTTCAAAAATGAACAGTCCGAAAACTAGATATCAGGATTTTAAGGACGGAGAGGTTAGAGTGTTAACTGATTACTTTAATCTCTTTTTAATTTTCTTGGGCTTTATTTTTGTTGGATAACGAGAAA